CTTCTACCCGGCCAGTGTGCCAGACACTACTTTTTCTTACCAGCGACGGGGAAAGAACGCACAGCTAGCTTTGTGCGTTCTTTCCCCGTCGCTGGTAAGAAAAACTGGCGTCTGGCACACTGTCCTGGGGTGACATCCGCCGAAGAGACGGACGGTCGGTTTAATTACCCAAGTTTGGGGCGTCATTGTAGGGAACCAGATTCAAGTTTCAACAGCTAACTTTCACTACAGATTTCGGCACTTTCCCGGCACTTTCTGTGCTGTTTTCCCGGGAAATTTCACAAGCCAAATTGGCCGGGAATCTGTCTCAGGTTAATCGCAAAAATCTCTAGTAATCTCTTCAGAAAACATGAGGAAATCATAGTTTTGCAAGAAAATAAAGTAAAACTTGCTAGTAAGCTTTCGTTTGATTATTTTGAAGAAATTTCTTAGCTCTGAGATTTCTCGGGCTCTAAAAGTCGCTTAGATCTGATTCATTTACGTTCAAATTTGCTTATCAAGCAACTAAAAGAGTTTTCTGACTTGTAACCTGTGAAAATTGAATAAACTAGCAAGAATCGATCCATTACCAAATCCCTAAGGTCCAGCTACAGTAGTCAAGCTACAGTAGTCCAGCTGCAGTAGTCAAGCTAGAATAGTCAAGCTGCAGTAGTCCAGCTACAGTAGTCCAACAAACTGGCTTTGAAACTGGATCAACTAATTGATCCAGTTTCGAGCCCGGATCCGTTACAAGTCAAGGCCACTGATTAAGCTGTTAACTCGAATTCCGAACCGAATTTCCTCTTCAAAAACTGACCGTATTCTCGCGGAAATCTCGTGATATTTTTTCATCTAATTATCTCGTTTCCTTTTCTCATTTTCACATCAATTTTCTTGAGCAAAGTTCATGAAAAATGGAAAGAAAAAAAGAAAAATTTCCCCTAATCAACTCTTTTTTTTTTTCGAGGAGTTGATTTTCCTCAAAAATTTTTCATTTTTCATTAATCTGTCTGCATTTTTTTTAGTTAGAAAAGTTCTAATTTTCAATTAAAAAAAAAGAGGGAAAATTCAAGTCAGCTGGTCATTTTGAGTACATTTTTCTCTTCTAATTCCCCTGTTTCTTCGAATTTTCGTGTTTTTAAAAGATTAAATTGCATTGAAATCATTCAGAGAATGGATTTTTTTCATTGATAACGTTCTCACAATCGCTTGCCTTCTGGCACACTGGTCCACGTAAATTCCGCTAGAAACAGCCAACTTCCGGTTTAATTACCCAAGTTTCATTAGTAGGCAATTTGTTCTTTGTACTTTCTCACAATCGCTTGTCTTCTGGCACACTGGCCCAGCTAAAGTTCGCTAGAAACAACCATCTTCCGGTTTAATTACCCAAGTTTCATTTGTTTGGAATCTGTTCTTTGTACGTTCTCACAATCGCTTGCCTTCTGGCACACTGGCCCAGCTAAACTCCGCTAGAAACAACCATCTTTCGGTTTAATTACCCAAGTTTCATTTGTTGGCAATTTGTTCTTTGTAAGTTCTCACAATCGCTTGCCTTCTGGCACACTGGCCCAGCTAAAGTCTGTTAGAAACAACCATCTTCCGGTTTAATTACCCAAGTTTCATTTGTTGGCAATTTGTTACATTAAAAAGTACATTTTTCTCTTCTAATTCCCCTGTTTCTTCGAATTTTTGTGTTTTTAAAAGATTTGAAATCATTCAGAAAATGGATTTCTTTCCATTAAAAATCGATTTATTTAAAATTTTTTTCATTTAGAAGATAAATGTCTTGATCAAGAGATCTGAGAGTTTTTCGAATTTTCATCGTTTTTCTGAGGGATTTTCTCTCCTTTTTTTTGGCTGTACTGTTTTTTGGCTATGTGTGTAAACGCTAGCTTTCTAGCCCACCGCATTTTAGCATTAAAACTACCATTGTGCCATTGTTCTAAACGTTTTTCGTTTATAAAAACAAAAAAAAACCTCAAACCGATCATTTCTCTCTTCTATGAGACTGAAAACAAAAATTCGAGTACACTAGAAAGAGTGCGTTTAGCACAAAGCACAAAGTACGGACAATCGGGGTTTTCGAGCACGTAAACACAAACGATCTGGTGCACTGGTGTTGATCGATGCTCACTGATTAACGCATCAAAACTGCAAGTAATTTGCGAGTTCAGCTTTAATTTCCCTTTATGCGAATTCTTGGAAATCACGAAAAAAATAGAGGAAACCCTTTCAAAACCGACAATTTCCGAGCCGAATTTCCTCTGAAGTTTCCCTTTTTTTCTTTACAAACTCCTCATTTTTCTCTTGTCTGCGGGGGTGGGAGAGTTGATTTTTCAAGAAATTTCCCTCAATCCTACTAATTTTCATTGAATTTGTAACATTTACTAATCCTCCTCCAAATCCCTCTCTTTTTCTCATTTTCGGAAACTTTTCTGAGTTTTTGTGGTCATTCAGCGTTTCTTTTCATTAGAATTCAGTCAATTATCCGATTTTCTCCGTGAAAACTCATTCTCGAAACGGATTATTCGATCTGTTTCATTAATTCAAACGATTCCATCTTGATTTCATTCAAAAGATTGACAAAATTGAGAGGGAAAAGTCCGGGTCCGGTTTCGAACCAGGGCCTCGAGCCAGGCGACCGAGCTTGATAAGCGAGGGCTTTAGCCACTGCGCCAAGGAGACAAGTGGCCGTTTGGATAAAAAGCGCCCTTTTATGTCGTGAACTTCAAATTCTTTCACAAATCTTTCATTCTCACATAATTTTTGATGGAATTTGATCGGGGAAAAAATTGCGCGAAAAGAGGAAAAGGGGGGAAAGACGTAAAATCTTTCGCTATCACTTTCTCTCATCAAAAATTTCTCTAATTTTTCGCCCCAAAAAGAAAACCATTCTCCAATCAATTATTTGAGTTGAAGATTGATTTTTTTTGACCGATTCCCATGGGACATTTTGGGCAATTATTGAAAAGCTTTTCGTTTTTTTGGGAAAATTTCCTACTTTAGCTCGATTTTTGAGCGAAAACTGACCAAAGATTTGCGCTTTTTGACAGCTCGGTTTCAATAGGGAAAAGTCTAGCCAATTCTGGTCTAGCCAAACCGCCTTTTCTGGCTTTTATCTTTTATCTTTTCATTTCACATATTGAAAACTTGTTCTTTGTAACGTTCTCACAATCGCTTGCCTTCTGGCACACTGGCCCTGATAAAGCCGGCGTGAAACAGCCACCTTCCGGTTTAATTACCCAAGTTTCATTTGTTGCGAATTTGTTCTTTGTATGTTCTCACAATCGCTTGCCTTCTGGCACACTGGCCCAGATAAAGGCCGCTAGAAACAACCATCTTCCGGTTTAAAAACCCAAGTTTCGCTCTAACAATTGAGCGTTCTGACATTCGCTTCCTTTCTGGTACACGAGACCTTGGGTAATTAAACCGGGTTGAAACAACCATCTTCCGGTTTAAAAACCCAAGTTTCGCTGGGCAGTGTGCCAGACACCGCTGATTTCCTCTGACTGACATGAAAGGCACGCACCCAAAGGTCTTTATTTTAAATCTTTTTTTCCTTTTTAAATAATTCAAATTTGCATAAACTTCTTCTTTTGCATAAATTTTCATTTAAAAATTAGCATTTCTTTCGTTTTTCAAAACTTTCTTTAGAACTTTCAAATTGGCCCCTCCAAAATGCCATCTGTCCATTTATGATGCGTTTATGAAAGGTGAAAAGTGAAAAAAAAAAAGATTTGAATCAATTTTCCATCTGCTACAAAAAAAAAACAGCTGTTTAATTGAAATATTTGGTCAATGAAAGGAAAGAAAGTTAAGAGTTTTGTGGAAAAAATCTCCGATTTCGTTCACCTTTTGACCTTTCTCTTTCTAATTCAAATTTTTTGAAATTGAAATTGATGAGTTTTTTTGTTTTTTTTTTGGCTAAATTTCTAATCTAACCTCACTTAGTCATCAAAAAAATTTGTGATGTTTGAGAAAAATTGATGGAAACTTAATTTTTTTGTGTTTTTTAAGAGGATTTCTGGATAAAGGGGATTAGTAAAATTTTTTGTTAAGACGATAAAATGCCGATTTTTGACGTAAAACAGGGAAGAGTTTTGTGGAAAAATTCTCCGATTTTTGGTCACGTTTTGATCTTTCTCTTGGCAAGCTTCTTCGAGTTTTAAATCTCTTCAAATATGTTCAGAGATTGGTTTTAGCTTGTTCACTTTTTATCTTACTGGCTTTTTCAGTCATTTGGATTGGAATCCTGAAGTTATGAGATGTACTTAATTCTTGATGGGTTTTGACTTGTGTGGGCAAGGTTAGGGCTTTATTGGTCGACTTTATTGACGTGATTTGATCTGGCTTTACTGTAGATTTGATTCGCAAAAAGAATCAGGGTTAGGGCCTGGCTCCTGGCTCTGGGCCTGGCTCCTGGCCCTGGACCCTGGCTTCTGGCCCTAGGCTTGGCTTCTGACCCTGGACCCTGGCTTCTGGCCCTGGGCCTGGCTTCTGGCACTGGACCCTGGCTTCTGGCACTGGGCCTGGCTCCTGGCACTGGACCTAGCCCCTGGACCCTGCCCCTGAACCCTGGCTCCTGAACCTGGACCCTGGCTTCTGACCCTAGACTTTAACTTCTAACCCTAGAGCTCCTGGCACTGGGCCTGGCTCCTTGAGCTGAACCCTGGCTTCCGACCCTGGACTCTAGCTTCTGACCCTGGATCCTGGTTTGCATCAAGGCTTTCATGTTCCTGGACCCTGGCTTGTATGGCTTGCATGGCCCTGAACCCTGGCTTAGGCTTAGGCTTTTATTCGTAGAGCTCATGGTTTTGATTGGTAGAGCTCGTGGCTTTGATATGGTCTTTCTTTACTTCTTAACTTGCCATTAATCCTTCAATATATGCCCAATTCCTTTAACTGATTGAATGTCTTGTTCTCTTTGTTTTTTTCTTCTGATCTTTTCCACAATTGATTTACTTGGTGTACTAGGTGGAGCACGGGATCTCCTCCTCGCCCATTCCCTCTTTTTCTCCTCGATGGGCAGTCTTGGAGGGTCGATCTCTTCATCAACATGCTCACCAATCTCCGCACACTTTTCTTACGTCAATCCCACACATTTTCATTTGACAGGTGAGTTGGAATAGGTTTTTTGGGAGACCTGTAATACTATAAAACAATCTATAAAACAATCTTCAGGACCCAGCGGCCCATCATCGCTGAGTGAAAGTCGTGTGCCCGTTCTCTCGCCAATCTACCCTCCCACTCCATCCTCATCCAGTCATTTCCCTCCGCATCCTCATCTCCATCCACTCCACCCTTTAAATCATCCAATTCATCACCGTTTACCCTTACCAATTCATATTCAAAATGGTCAGAATTGTCTCGTTCAAGTTCTACCACATCCAAAAGCTCAAATGTTCAACGGGCAGCAAGAGGTGGGTGTTTAAAGTGTTCAAAGTCAAGATACTAGACCCAATTTGGCTTCTAATTCGTCCAGATTGGTCCAGGTCTTGGGCAGGTTGGTCCAGATCTTCCCCAGGTGGTCCAAGTCTTGGCCAGGTTGGTCCAGATCTTGACCAGATCGGTCCAGGTCTTGGCCAGGTTGGTCCAGGTCCAGAGCTGACGGTTGTAAATCCAGGAAACTAGGCTGGATCCTGGTTTTACCTCTTAGTTGAAACTAGTTTAAACTAACTAAAAATTCTAAGGATATCTTAAAGAAGATCTATCTAATGAAAGAGATTCCAGTATCTTCCCTCAATTAATGCCTCTTCATCCTGCAATGATGCCTTCTCTTCATCCGATTTTTCAACAAACCCCTTACGCCATCTCGTCAGCTTTTAAGCCATACTTGACAGTTTGTCTTAAATGAAATGAATATTATAAGCCGATCACTTTCAGCAAACTCCAAACCCCACAAACAATCAGAATTTTTTCTATTTCCCGCCAACTCCCACCGAAAGCCATGCCGATAGTGAGGATGATAAGGTTTCAGAGTTTAGAATTTGGATTTAGAATTTGGATTTAGAATTTGAATCTAGAATTTGAATCTAGAATATGACAGTATTCTGATTTATCTATGATTCATCTATAATTTATCTATTTAGTCTCAAGCTTCATCCGAATCGGAGATCATCCCACAAATGGATTGCCCAAAATTGGAAGCACAACCGAGCATGAGTTTAGAGGGATGAGGATTTGGATGAGGTTGGGAGAGAAAGGAAAAATAAGTCTCAACTTTGACACCACTCCTCCTTATCCCCTTGGCGCAGTGGCTAAAGTCCTCGCCTCTCAAATTGAGTATCGTGGTTCGAGCCCAATCCGGAACTTTTTATGGATTTTGTCTAAGAAATTTGATAGCTGTAAAGCTGAAGAAAAGCTATTGAGCTGTTCAATAGCTATAGCTGATAGCTGATAGCTGATAGCTGATAGCTATAGCTGATAGCTGATAGCTATAGCTATTGAAATGTGGAATAATAGCTATTGAATAAAATCTTTCTTTCAGCCACCACCAATCCTCACTCCGCCACCCGAGTTGAATCGAGAATGCGAGATGGAGATCGATCTTCCCTCAATCAAATCGGAGATAATTGACCCGAAATGGGATCTCCCAAAGCCGATTCCACAGAAAAATCAACTCATTATCAGTGTTGAATCGATTGAACCAACCCCACCAGTGACACCAGAAGAAGTTGAAGAAAAAGAGGAAAAGGATGAGATGAAAGATACGATTTCTGAGTCGGGAAACTCGATTCCATCCATTGAGGAGATTACACAAGAATTTGAAGAGGAAAAGACGAAAATTGGGAAAGTGATTGTGATAACGAGAATCGAGGAGGAGATTCGAGAGAAAGTGGCCGATGTTGAACAACGAAAAGAACCAGGTGAGCCACCCGAAGAATTAAATGAACTACTGAAACTTCTTTGTGTTCTCCCGCAATCGTATTCCCTTCTCGCAACAAAACTTGGGTAATTAAACCGGCCGAGAACCTTCCCGGTAGCCCCTATCCCGGCACAGTGTGCCAGACGCCGCTTTTTCCAATGAGCGACATGAAAGGTACGCACAAACAAGACCTGTGTGTTTTTCCCTGTCGCTCCCCGAGGTGTGTACCTTTCATGTCGCTTGTAAGAAAAAGTGAGGTCTGCCACACTGCCCCGATAGATGACGGGGCCGAAAACGTTTGCCCTCCGGTTTAATTACCCAAGTCTCGTGTGGTGCACGTTTGTGGATATCCACAAAGATTTGTTAAGCGAAGTATAAAATGTATTGATTTGTAATGATTTGTAAATTTGCAGAATCATCCTCAAAACGAGCGCATTCAAAGGATCGCAAATCGTTGCCATTAAAGCGACGAAAAGCATTGGAGATGAGCGATTACGATGGGAAATGTCAATGGGCAGATTGTGGGCATGGAAGTGAAGGGACAAATCAGCTATATGATCATGTGATCAATGTGAGTTTTTGGCAAAGAAGCTAAGACTGTTGTTAGTTGTCAGACGTATTGGAGAGTTCGGACGTATTGTATGGACGTTCGGACGTATTGTACGTACTTTCGGACGTATTGTACGTACTTTCGGACGTATTGTGCGTACTTTCGAACGTATTGTACGTACTTTCGGACGTATTGTGCGTACTTTCGAACGTTATGTACGTACGTACGTATCTACTTGAGTTTATGCTAAAAATGATCGTCACTAGTACAGCTCGATGAGTCGGATCGTGTTAAAAGTAAAAATAAGAAATGTTCTTTTTTTATCTTCTGAGAGAAGATAAAATCGTTCGTATGCAAATTTTACGATGCTTAAGAGGCGTTTGGTAGTTGGTAGGCGAGTAATTGGTAGGCGTAAGAGGCAAAAGTACCGAAACTATCTTGTCTTGTCTTGTAAAGAAATTAGAATTCGATATCAAAGTTGACAAAGTTGACAAAACATTTCTCTCTTTAGGAACACATCGTTCCATTGAGCACTTTCTGTTCGGCGACTCCATCAACGAGTGGAATCTCTTCGCAATCTCGAGAGGGATCTGTCTCATCAGAAATCTCATTAAAACAAATTTTGCGAAAGAGACGTTCATCACCGGTGCAATGCTCAGATCAAGGAATCGATTCAGATTCGGATGAGGTAAAGAAATGGATTCAGATTTCGGTTGAGAGCAATAAACAAAGCATTTTGTTATCTGTAAAAGAAAAATAGTCCAAAAATAGCTAAAAATAGCTTAAAAATCGAGTAATTTCGAAAGAAATAAGTATTTGGACACAGATTTGTGCTATTTTTAAACTTTTTAAACAACTTAAGCTGTTACAACTTGAGCAAACAGCTTAAGGATAAGTTCGATTCAGATTTGAATCAAGTCAAGTCGAGAAATCGAGCTTTAAATGACAATTTTGGATGCTTGTTTTGTTAGAAAATGAAAAATCTAACTAACTACAAAACAAAAACTCTACTTTATACGGAAAACCGTAAACACACCTTCTCTAGCGTACTGATTGCCATTAATGAACCCTGGATTAGGCTTAGGCTTTGATTGGTAGAGCTCATGGCTTTGATTGCTAGAGCTCATGGCTTTGATTCTGACCCTGGATCCTGGCCCTGGACCCTAGCTCCTGGACCTGAACCCTGGCTTGGCCCTGGACTCTAGCTTCTGACCCTGGTTTGCATCAAGGCTTGCATGGTTTTGGACCCTGGCTTGTATGGCTTGCATGGCCCTGGACCCTGGATTAGGCTTAGGCTTTGATTGGTAGAGCTCATGGCTTTGCTTTACTTCTTAACTTACCATTAATCCTTCAATCTAGCCCGATTCCTTTAACTGATTGAATGTCTTGTTCTCTTTGTTTTTTTCTTCTGATCTTTCTGATCTTTCAGATCTTCTGACCTTTCTGATCTTTCTGATCTTCTGATTTCAATGTGCGCCAAAGTAGATTGGTTTAGGAAAAGGCTAAAAGCACAAAGTACAGAGTGAGAAAGTAGATATGCTAATTATTTATGGATTAAGATTTGTAGACTTTGGTAAACTTCAAAGAAACTTCAAAGAAACTTTAAACAAACTTTAAACAAACCTCAAAAAAACTTCAAAACTTCAAACTTCAAGCCTCAAACTTCAAAAATTCAACTTCTAGATTGATCCACTTGGATGTCAATGGGCTGATTGCGAAATGTGCTTGACAAGAGGCGATTCTGATAGAAAGGTTTGGGAAAAAAGAAAGATTTAAGATTAATAAGTAGAAATTGATGTTTTTTGAGCTAAATAGAGCTAAATAGAGCTAAATAGAGCTAAATAGAGCTAAATAGAGCTAAATAGAGCTAAATAGAGCTAAATTGAGCTAAATTGAGCTAAATTGAGCTAAATTGAACTAAATAGAACTAAATTTGTCACTTTTTTCCACTTCTAGACCAACTTCAAAATCGTCAAACAGGTAAAAATTAGTGGCAAGAAAGATTAGAATGATTTGCATGGCTTTTTTCTTTTTTTTTTCATTTAAAGATTTAGATTTATAGTTGAATTAATATTTAAAGCAATATTTAAAGCTAAATTTAAAGCTAAATTTAAAGCTAAATTTAAAGAAAAAGCAAGCATTTTCAGTATCAATGGCTTCGAGATCATTTCCGAACAAGACACGCAAAAGGAGCGCAGACCTACAAGTGCATTTTGGAGGGATGTAATGCCAGATTTCACACCAATCGACAGGTTTGTGGAAAACGATATTGAGAGCTGTTTTACGGTGTTAGAAAGTCGCTTCTATTCACTTCTATTCGTTTCTATTCACTTCTATTCGCTTAAAGACAAAGTGTTCAATATTTATGGGACCTTCAAAGTTTCAAAGTTGTTTACGTTTTGTTGTTAACGCTCTCAAAATTGGTTTATAAAAAAAATCGTCAAGAAAGTTGAAAAAAAATGACTCGAGTATTTGTCTTTTTCTTCTTCGTCCTCCTTGTATTTCCTTTTTTCTCTTGCCCCACTAAGGTGCTGTAAGGCTCAGTGGTTAGAGCATTGGAAAGCGGAAAGGGAACGATCGAGGGTTCAATCCCGCTTGGGGAAAAAACGATCTAGTATTTCTCTTTTTCTTCTTCGTCCTCTTTGTATCTCCTTTTTTTCCTAGCTAGTCAAGGTACTGCATAGCTCAGTGCTTAGAGCATTGAAAGCGAAAAGAGAACGATCAAGGGTTCAATCCCCTCTCTTGAAATCTTTTTTTTTCAATTAGTCGAAATCTGTCAAATTGGAAATTCGTTCACTTCTTTATTACTGTTTACTAAATTTGTGCGAAAAATTGATTCATTGGATCACTAAATTCAGATGAGAGGTCAGAAGAATAACTAGATCTGACCTAAAGACGAATGACTAGATCTGACGTCTTTAGGTCAGATCTAGTTCTTCAGGCTCAGATCTGACGTCAGATCTAGTTCTTCAGGCTCAGATCTGACGTCAGATCTAGTTATTCGTCTTTAGGTCAGATCTAGCTATTCTTCTTTAAATGATTCTTTGGTTATTTTCTTCATTATCTACCAGTTTTTAAACTTATGGGACTTAAAAATGTTCGGAATCATATTTCGATTTTGTTTCTTTCAAGAAAATTGAACATAAGCTCGTGAGAAACTCGATGTAGCCTATCAAAGAGATAGGCTTTCTATCTTTCTATCTGCTTTCTATCTGCTTAAGAGCACAGCGCCCGCTTTCCAGACAACTTTCTATCTTTCTAGAACAAAGGAAAGTCAACAATTTTGAAATAAAAGTGACTTAGATCTTGTTAAAATTGTTTTTTTTTATATTTTTCTTTCTTTTTTAACATTAGATTTGTATAAAACGAGTTTTTAAACGAAGAGATTGATTGGTTTTCGAAAAATTGTTGCTTTTGAACACTTTATGAAAGATCTTTACAAGATTAAGATCTAGATCTAGATAAAATAGTTCTAGAGATAAAATATAGTTTCCCTGTTTACTTTCAGTTAGAAGATCACGTTCGCCTCACTCACATTCAACCAGCGAACGCAAATTCGCATCGAAAAGATCGAAAATCGGGGGATATTTGGAAGAAAATGTTGAAAGAGCTGCCTTCGGATTTCCCGTTGGGTAAGAAAAGAAGATTTTAAAGAATTAAAGAATTCCTTGTCATTATTGTACTAATTGTACATTATTGTACTTATTGTACATTATTGTACAAGCTCAGGCTCAGGCTCAGGCTTAGGCTTAGGCTTAGGCTTAGGCTTAGGCTTAGGCTTAGGCTTAGGCTTAGGCTTAGGCTTAGGCTTAGGCTTAGGCTTAGGCTTAGGCTTAGGCTTAGGCTTAGGCTTAGGCTTCCTATAGCACTTGTTTCCCACAAATAGACCCTTTTAATAAGACTAATTTGTATAAATTAGGTAAAAATCCATACTACTCATCGTTTCATCACGCTCAACTCGTTGGCCACGCTCGACGCTTGGAGAAATGTCGATCAGGAGTCATGCTAGAGTTCAAGTCAAAGAAAAGTGCTCATGGATCGGCGTGGAGGAAGATCAAGATGTAAATTTTTGGATTTTGGATTTTGGATTACAAATTGCATAGCTAAAAAGATGAATTCATTGTTTTTTTTCTTTAGTTTCTCCCAACCTCGACTCTCAATTGTTTACGAAAATTCGAGTGTCTTCAAGGTTCCACAAATGCCGATTAAAAGCGAAATGAACGAGGAGAAAGTCGATGAAAGAAGCCTCTCTTCTGCGGACTTTAAACAAAGACTTTATGCCTTAAAGGTGAGTACTTACCATTTTACTGATTTACCTTAACATTTTACCGATTTACCTTAACATTTTACTTACCGTAAATCCTGTAATAGTACCGCACCCCCATAATCAAGCGGAGTGTTGCGTAGTCTAGCTTTGAACGCGTTTTTCTCGACACTGGTTTAAGCTAAAATGCTCGTTTAGGTATCAAAAAATAGCTGAAATTCAGGGCTATTTTTTGATATTAAAGCGAGCATTGTAGCATAAGCCAGTGTCGAGAAAAACTCGTTCAAAGCTAGACTACGCAACACTCCGCACCGTCATTATGGGGGTGGGGTACTATTACAGTATTTACGGTACCATTTTACTTCCTTCCTTCCTTCCTTCCTTCCTTCCTTCCTTCCTTCCTTACCTAATAAAAAGTAAAGATGAGGCTTAAAATTATAGACTTAAAACTGGAAATAAAACAGTGAACTTAAAGCTTTAAAAACCACCGTACTCTAGACTGGATTTGTTTTCTAACGTTTTTTAACGTTTTTTTAACGTTTTTTAACGTTTTTTTAACGTTTTTTAACGTTTTCTAAAGTTGTCTAACGTTTTCTAACGCTTTCTAAAGCCTAGCGACTTTCTAGACTATTGTAATGCCCGTTTTTTAAGCCAATCTCTATTTTCATCATCTCAAGAGCAATTCTCATAAAGATTTCCCAATTTCCAGCCATCAGCCGTTCTCCTTTCACTCGACGATCTCTTCAATGCCTAAAAAATGAAAAACGAAAAGCGAAAAAACGAAAAACAAAAAAGAATCAAATCAAAATCTCCTCCACAAAAAATCCCACAAAAACTTTGTTCAAAATTCCCATTGCTCAGTGTTTTTTTAGAGAAAAATGTTCAAATTTAGAGTGAAATTCCCAGTTAAACTCTCAGCTAAATGCACAGCTAAGCTGTTAGCTAAATGCACGGCTAAATCCTCAGCTAAACTCTCAGCTAAGCTCTCAGTTAAATCCTCAATTTCTCAATTTTAAAATTTGCCCAATCTTTTTGCAAAATATGCCTTTTTGAAAAAAAAAAAAAAAACAAAAATTCCTTGATTACGCTCTTTTAGGCGAAGAAAAAAACGCATTTTAAGGGTTTTTTTTTTTTTTGAAAATTAAATTCACATTCTTTATTCTACAGCACAAAAAGCTAAAAAGCTTTTTTGCTTTTTACTTTTAAAAGTTTTAAAAGTTTTAATTTTCATCAATTTTAGGCATAATTTTGCAGACTTTTTTTTTCATTTTCTGAATTTCACGGGTTTTTTTGTGAATTTTTTGTAAGTATCACCAAATTTTTGTGGGTTTTTTTTTCCTCATTTTAATGCTGCCTATACCCAAAAAGAACTTTTTTTCTTTGAAAATTTGAGATTACGGTAAAACTTTGACTCAACAATATGAAAGTACACTCAATTTCTGTTGTGATTTGTGCGTTTTTCGATGATAAGTTAATAAATATTATCGTTTTGAGAAAGTTTTGAAAGAAAATTGAAAATCGACTCAAAAAGCACAGTGGAAACTCTAGGTTTAGCATTTCCCCAAAAACTTGGGTAATTAAACCGGACCATTGGCGTTTCCGGTTGCCTTCATCCAGGCCAGTGTGCCAGATGCCGCTTTTTCTTACGAGCGACAAGGAAAGGACACACGAAAATTAGGCAACAAAAGTAAGCAGTCCCAAAAACTTGGGTAATTAAACCGGACGATTGGCGTTTCCGGTTGCCTTCATCCAGGCCAGTGTGCCAGATGCCGCTTTTTCTTACGAGCGACAAGGAAAGGACACACGAAAATTAGGCAACAAAAGTAAGCAGTCCCAAAAACTTGGGTAATTAAACCGGACGATTGGCGTTTTCGGTTACCTTCATCCAGGCCAGTGTGCCAGATGCCGCTTTTTCTTATGAGCGACAAGGAAAGGACACACGAAAATTAGGCACCAAAAGTAAGCAGTCCCACAAAACTGGGTAATTAAACCGGACCATCCGGGTTTCCGGTTACCTTCATCCAGGCCAGTGTGCCAGATGCCGCTTTTTCTTATGAGCGACAGGAAAAGAACGCACAGGCCGCCTTCTATTCAAGCTCTCATTTGTGCGTTCTCTTCATGTCGCTCTAAGGAAAAAGCGGCGTCTGGCACACTGGCCCGGATCAAGACAACGGGAAACGCTCGCGGCCGGTTTAATTACCCAAGTTTGCAATTAAAGTTCGTAATTTTGTAATTACCCAAATTACTTCTAACAGAAGGCGAACGATTGCTGAAGCGCACAAAGAACAGATTGAGCTTATTGTGCTCTCAGCTTAATCCGGTTCAATTACGCAACTATATCTCGTAGCCGTTTACGAAATTCAACGAACGCTAACGAATGTGGGTATTTCTGGGCATCCAATCAAAAAGTCATTCACATAAAAAATGTTCATAATACATGTATTTTATAATAAATTTTTGAAATTAGTTCATTTGGTTCAGTAGAAAATTTTTTTTTGAGAACACACTGTCTATTGTAGTGTGCCAGAAGGCTTTTTGTTTACAATTTCTCATGCACAAAGTACCTTGGTCTTCACCTCGTAAACGGAGCCGATTTGGCGCACCGTTGAGGATCCAGGGTGGTCCGGAGGGGTCGATTTTTTTTACCATTTTCAGCTCAAGCTCCACTTAAATGTGACTTTTTTGCACTCGAATTTCGAATTGCTAGGTTTATTGCCGGGATTGAAGGCTGAAATGTGTTTCCGTGGGTATTCAGCGCTTCAAAAATTCCCTTTTCCTCATTTCCTCATTTTTCGAATGAGAAAAATGAGTCTTTCTATTAGGTTTTATGCAAAAGTCTTTTTCATTTTTTTCGTACTTCTTTTGAAAAATAAAAAAGTCATCAATTAACCTATGGTTTACTCTAAATGAAAAGTGTTTATTGTTCAATTTCCCATCTTTTTAAATCAATTTCGGTTCACTTTCAAGCAAATTCGAGAGTGAAAACGGGTTTTTCATAAAAATCTATAAAAACCTCTATAAAGAAATTGGCTGAATCAATTTCTCTGAAAATCTCAAAAAAATAGCGAACTTTTTGTGCTCTATCTTTTATTTATTAACATCAAGATTGGTTTCCTTAGCTAAAGCGTCTAAAATGCATCATCGAGCCGTCCCCTTTTTTGACTACCCGACTTCAGGCTCTCAAAAAAATCTAGACATATAACATTTTAACCTCGTTTTAATGTCATTTTGCAGAAAAATAATTTGGCCTTTCGAATGCAATAAACCGTTGTTCAATTGGTGCATTTGTTACTTTTTAACGGAAGTACGAAAAAAATGAAAAAGACTTTTGCATCAACCTAATAGATACCGGTAAGTTTAAACCAATTTAAAACTAGAAACAATACGTGTTTCTATTTTGTTTGTATCGAATAGTTGTTTCTTCATTGATTAGTGATTAAATTATGATACTATCCGGTCTGTAGCCAGACACCGGTGCGTTTAAACCAGTTTAAAACTAGAAACAATACGAAACAACATACTAGAAACTAAACTATTTAACTGTTAACCGTTAACTAGTTTAAAAGCTGGATTAATCAAGTCTATTTCTTCAAGTATAAACTAATAAACAAAGTTAACAGTCAACTGAACATCAGGCATACAAGTTTTACTTACAAGTTGCGTAAATAAACTAAGAAATTTAAGAAATAAGCCAGTTTTGTTGGCCAATTTTGGCCAAGCCAATTCGAATGCAATAAACCGTTGTTCAATTGGTGCATTTGTTAGTTTTTAACGGAAGTACGAAAAAAATGAAAAAGACTTTTGCATCAACCTAATATATAAGCTCATCTCATAAAAAAACACATTTTTTCTCACTTTTTCTCATTTTTTTCGAAATACCCACATTCGTTAGCGGCTGAATTTCGTAAACGGAACGGCTACGAGCATATATAAAGCTAATAGTGAGTTTTTGTTGTAGTTGTTGCAAGTAAGTTTTTGTTGTAGTTGTTGTAAGTAAGTTTTTGTTGTAGTCACAATCCCAAACAAAAACAAAAACACTTTATTCACTGAGAGAAGTCGAAATTTGCAGAAAAACGGGCGGGAAATTGGGAGAAAAAAATTGTAAAAAATACCCAAAGAAATCACGAAGCGAGGCGCTAATTTGTGCGAATTTTGTTGAATTTTGTCATTTTTCTTGTCTGGCGGTTCGACATAGGGAAATTTTGCATTTTTTTTTTTTTTTTGATTTCAATGTAATTTTGTTCTATTTTGTTCTATTTTCTCGATTTCTCGATTTCTTAATTTCTCGATTTCTTGATTTCTCAATTCATTTCGACTTCAAACGAGCGAAGAGAGCGACGACGACGGAGAAGACAAGACATCGGAGAGAACTCGCAGTCACTCCACCCATATCCAACTGGAAATTATTTCATTTTTTTTCAAAAAGGAATCAAAGAAATTGAATCTATTAAGTATTTAATTTTACTTTTACGATTTTCAACCTAATCTCTAATCTCTAAATGTTTCAAATTTGGTTTTTGAGAACTTTGTCGAACGTCGGCTTTGATCGACTTTAAAGTACGACTCATCTACCGTAACCTACCGTAAATACTGTAATTGGACCCCATGGGGTACTATTTTTTCCCTCCCCCTCTAGGGTGGGGTACTATTAGAGGGTGGGGTACTATTAGAGGGTGGGTACTAGTAGAGGATGGGTACTAGTAGAGGATGGGTACTAGTAGAGGATGGGTACTATTAGAAGATGGGTACTATTAGAGGGGTGGGGTCCAATAATAGTATTTACGGTAACAAAATCAGCAGTCTACCGTAATCCGTACGTTAAATAGATCTCACTGCAATCCGAGATCTTACTGTGACTCATCCTACCGTAACCCGTAACTCATTTTGAGTAGATATTATCGTAACTATTGTAACATCTACTCATCTACCATAACTACTGTACAATCAACCCTAAACTATAGCGCTCTGCTGGATGCTTTTCAGTTAATTTAAAGCCTTATCTGACTACCGTAACCCTACAATAGAATGAGAAGATGCTACAGTAATCTGGGCTTTCTCGTAATCACAAAGTTTACGATTCTTTGATAACTCAAAAATGATCTTTAAATTCTAACAAATTATCTACCAAAAATTAAATAGAATTTTAGACAAAAGTGAGCCAGTTTTAAGTGATTTAACAAAATTTATTAGTTCCTTAAAGATACCGTATCCGAGATTCAATCTCATTACAATAAAAGGTCCAAAAAGAAACATTCTCAATCACCTAGTCACTACCGCGAAAATCACGAGCGCCGCCTTATATACGACTCCTTTTAAAGATATTCAACCGCTCAACTGTTTTTGGTGGGAAATTCCCTTCACAAGTAAAGATATTCGATTTACTCGACGTGTAAAGAGGATTACTCGTAGTTAAAAGCGCCGATTAATCGAGTAAAGATTACGCATGCAAATTCGACTCGAGCAATCACCTAATCGCGCTAAAAACATTCTACTTTACAAACCTTTTCCGACATCTCTTTTGTCGAAGAGTTCACCCCATCGAGCACCCTCATTCAATGGCTGAAAATTGAAATGAATTTTTCCTTTTTAATGAACTTTTAATGAATCTTCTCATACTTTTCCTTTAGAAAAATCATTTTTAGAGCTCTGAAATCTTTGATACAAAAAAAAACCTCTGAATATTTTGCTCAATAACTTGCTCAATAACTCGCTCAATAACTGCTCGATAACTTGCTCAACAACTTGCTCAATAACTTGCTCAATAGCTTGCTTGATAACTTGCTCAATAACTCAATAACTCAATCACTTCCCATCCTCATTTCATCTGCAAATCTTCAGTGCTAATTTTCTTTAAAAAAATTCCTAAATTCTGTCTTGAGATTTTAAAGTTTAAAATCATTGATCCAGAAAAGAATTCTTTTGTTTTCTTTTCTTTCTTTAGGTTAAGGTTGAAATTTTAATGGCCAGGGTTCATTTGAGTGAAAAGAAAGAAAAGAAAAATACGTCAGAGAAATGTTGCAACTTACTGACAATTGGGGAATTGAACTGCCTTAATAATTGATAAAAGGTCCGAATGTTCGTGACTTTCCATCAACTAAGAGTTAAAATAAACCCCGCCAATCGATTCCTTGGCCCCGAAAACCCTTGGGTACAAATTTAGAGCTTTAAATCATATTTCGAAGCTATTTAGAGAAGCAGAAGAAAAATAAAGTGAATGTTCTTTGTGCGGAAACGTAATCGCTCTCCATCTGGCACACGCTCCCGATAGATCCTTTTTGAGCCTCGGTTTTCTCGGTTTAATTACCCAAGTTTGAAAATTTATGCCGAAAGGTTTCTATTTGAAAATTGTAAAGGCGGAAGGCATCCATCGGGAGCGTGTGCCAGATGGAGAGCGATTATTTTTCCGCACAAGAACACTCACTTTATTTTTCTTCTGCTTCTCTAAATAGCTTCTAAATATGGATTCGAAACACACGTTATTTGGCACACTGACTTTTCAGCATAAAATCGAGTGTTCCTTTCTCAATTGTTTACATTTTCAAAAATTTTTTTTTAATGTTTTTTTTATTTTGTTTCTTTCAAGTATTCCTTGTTCGATTTTGAGTGTACTCGAAAAAATTTCAAAAAAATTTTTCAAAGTTTCAAAACTCGATTAAACTTGACTTTTTTTTTTCACTTATTTTCTGACTCAAGAACCCTCGAAATAAATCCCCGATTTTTGGCATTAAAATAGAAATTTTGCGTGGGTCTCCAGGTGATAAAATATTCAAAAAAAATAAAAATATTTCATCGAATCGCGTGGAATTTGAGATTTTTACATACCTCACCCCCAGAAATTTCTCTATGAAAAATGAGTGAAAAATGTGTCATTTTTCGATATGATTAACAACTTGCGTTTGGAAAATCAGCAAAAAAATGACTATGAGATTTGGGAAGATTTGAAAAAGTAAAATAAAGTTTTTGAGTTTGGAATATTCTACTAATTTTTCATTAAAAATTAGATTTAACAATCCCCCACAAACTTGGGTAATTAAACCGGTCGAGAGGCTTTCTGGTAGGCCTTATCCCAGCACAGTGTGCCAGATCCCACTTTTTCTTATGAGAGACAGAGAGAGAACGCACACAGCCTGGTTCCAGCGTACTAGCTAAATCCCATCCAAAGTAGATTCAGCAATTCCCGAAAAACTTGGGTAATTAAACCGGTCGAGGGGCTTTCTGGTAGCCCTTAAGCCTGCACAGTGTGCCAGGCGCCACTTTTTCTTACCAGAGACATGGAGAGAACGCACAAAGTGGACAACGACCTGTGCGTTCTCTCCATGTCTCTCGTAAGAAAAAGTGGTGCCTGGCACACTGTGCCGGGATAACCGGGATACCAGAAAGCACCTCTGCCGGTTTAATTACCCAATTTTCGTTTGCGAAAAGGGAAACGATTGCTAGAACGTGTTTTGAAGTTTAATCTTTCCCTCCTTGATTTAATCAAAGTCAAAACCCCGAACGCTCCATGATCATTTCGTTTTCCTTTTGTTTACATAGAGCTTTAAATTACGAATGTCGTCAGAGAAGGTGAAAATTTGAGTTTTCTTCTTCATCAAAGAGATAAAAGGCGAAAAAAAAAGTTTTTTTTGACGTTTTTGAGTAATTTGAGAACCATTGAATGAAAAAGATATTCAGCTAACGGAATACCAACATTTTTGAGAACCATAGACTCAAAATGTTGGTTTTCCGTTAACTGAATATCTTTTTCATTGTTTCTTTTATCGAAGCAATGACAAAGATCCTTTAATCTCTTTCCAATGTCGAAAAAAGAAAGGCCAAAAGAAAAACTGATCGTAAGCCTCATAAAGATGATCTTTTGTCTTTATTTTTAATAAAAGAGAAGCCATTTTATCTAAATAATCTTTAAAAATTGAACTTGAGTAAGAAAATATTGTTTTTTTTTTTGTTTTTACATAGTTCTTTTACATCATCAAGTCTAGTTATGGGAATTTTAAGCCTCGTGTGGAAATGGCGTTACAGCTTTATCTAGTGAAAAGAGAATCTAGTTGAACATTGGTAAAGTCTAGTTATGTGATTGTCTAATTATCTAGCTAAATTGTGAAAAAAAACTAAAGAAATCAAAACTTTAACGGTGTATTTTAATAGATTTTGATAGTGATTTTCAACTCTGACAACTCATCGGATAATCATTTGGAAAGGAAACTTTGATAGATCAGATCAGATGACAGATTGCCAGAGAGGCAGAGAGTTTTTTGGCGCACTCTATGCACGCATTAACATTCTAGCAAAAGGTACCAGGCTTATAAGATTAATCTAAGCTTTATAAGCTTTATAAGATATAAGATTGGTCCAATTCTAGATACAAGATTGGTTTGATAGAGACTCTGTTTATTTCGAAAATTCGAATAGGTATGAGATGATTGTTTTAAAATAAGATTGATGTTTGTTTAATAGTTGAGGTGTTTAATACTGCTCTGAGATTAAAATATTGGCTTTTTTTATTAAACTGATTACTGTAGTTTAGTTGAATTGCTTTAAGCTTTAAGTAGTTTCTTATTTCTAGTTCTTAGTTCTAGTTCTTAGTTCTAGTTCTTATTCTAGTTCTTAGTTCTAGTTCTTCTTTCTAGTTGTCTTCTTAGTTCTATTTCTTCTCCTCCACTCACCGGTTTGTACATTGGTATCCGGGCCTCGACACAGCAAAGCACCGTCAAAGCGAGAGCGACAAATAGGAAATAGCGGTTCATTTTTTGAAGAACTAGGATACGGTAGAGGCCGCTTGACTGGAGGACCCGATACGAATGAAGATTTCCCGGGAACTCTGGAACTCTGGAAAAGGAATGAGAAAGGGAATGAGAAAGGGAAAGAGATTGGGAGATTTTGAGAGAAATTAGAGAATTGCGAGCTTCTAGAAGGCGTAACGAGGCTAATTTCTGAAAGATTTCCCCTGAAAATAGCTTGCTTAGTTTTCAGGGCGGATTTTTCGAGTTTTTGCTGAATGACGAATCTTCTACATTTTTGGCAAAAGACTAATGAAGAAAGTACGGTAGATTATGGAAAAAATGAGAAGATATTAGAAGTAGATTGATATCTGTTGTGAATTATGGTACAGAAACTTGGGTAATTAAACCGGCCGAGTCGAGTTTCCAGCCGGCTTCTAGCAGCCCAGTGTGCCAGACGCCGCTTTTTCTTATGAGCGACAGGGAGGGAACGTACAGAGGTCTTTGTGCGTTGGAGGTCTTTGTGCGTTCTCTCCTTGTCGCTCGTAAGAAAAAGCGGGGTCTGGCACACTGGGCTGCTACAAGCCGGCTGGAAACTCGACTGGGCCGGTTTAATTACCCAAGTTTTTGGTAAAACTTAATATGCATCTAATTCAGTTGAATTCAATTGAATATTTCTCTAGAATTATTGTTGTTTGTTTTGTTCATTGTTTTGTTCTTTCGTTGTTTTGTTCTTTCGTTGTTTTCCTCTATTCAACACCAATTTTCTCCAATTCCCACAATTTTCCCACAAATTATTCGTTTTTCAAAGAATTTTCTAAATATTTATTGCAGAAAATAGGAAAATTAAAACTTTACAAAGGAAAGAAATCGTTTTTCGAATTTAATTTCAATTTTAATTGTAAATATAAATTTTCGTAATGTAATTTTCGTTTTTTTTTTTTATTAGATGTGACCAGACTGGGGAGGGGGGACTCGTTATGAGAAAAAAGAATATAAAAAGAATAAAAAAAAAAGATGATTTGACTAGATTTTCTTAGATATTTGAAGGTAATTGTGAAATTTTTGAATTTAAAAAAAAGAAATGATAAAATTGGTATTATTTTAAAGTTCACGGAATGTACAACCACTTGAAAAATGCAAATTTTTCAAAGAAATTGATTAGAAAACGAGTAGAGGGAATTTTTAGATTACAGGGAACTGGGTGGGATTTTTAGAATTTCGAAAATAGGGAAATGGTTACAAAAAATCGGGAAATGGTTGAATTTAGAATAGAGAAATAATTGAATTTAAAATAGAGAAATGGTTAAATTTAAAATTCATCGAACTACGATCTTTTGAGGAGAACTTTTAGCACATCAAAAACATCAAAAACATCCAAAAAAAAAAATAAAACCAATAAAATAATAAAAAAAAAAGACATTGAGCTCGTGACGTCACTCACAGGCGAACTTTGGTTTCAGAGAAAAGAAGAGAATTTTGAAAAGAAAAAGAAAAAATGAGAAAAAGTTTAAAAAAAAGAATGTAAAATTTAAATGTTGTCGAATTTTTGAATGCAAAACTTTCACCAAACTCGGCACTTTTCTATGGGATTCATCGGAGTCCCGGGCGAGCATTGATAAGCTTTCGCGAAATCGAGCGAATTCGAGAGTGGACCTTTCACTCTAAACGTTTTTTTTTCATAAAAATTAAGCATAAAAGTGAGCTTAAGTTTGCAGAATTTTCGATTTAAAATTCATTGATATTGATTGATAAAAGGCCGTGATTGCAAATAAGCAATGGATAAAGGTCGATACTGTATTCCCTCTAATACTAGTGCACCTAAAGCTTTGCCTAAATTCCTCGAAATCTCGAAAAGCGCTTCTCAGAACCTATCCATGTGAGGTCGGAAAATGTAGCTGACGATGAGCTCTTGTGGGGGGATTTGAGTGTTCAGCTTCTGTGAAAGCTTTGGAACTGTCAAATAGTCACCAACTCGGCTCGGCGCGGTGCACTACTATTAGAGAAAATACGGTAGCTTGTTTATACAGAGTGACCAAGAATTGCGCCACTCGCCACGTCTGTAGTCTGTAAGCTGTAATCTCTAGTCTGTAGTCTGTGTGCTGTAAGCTGTAATCTGTATGCCGTAAGCTGTAGTCTGTAGTCTGTATGATGTAATCTGTAGTCTGTATGCTGTAATCTGTAGTCTGTAGTCTGTATGCTGTAATCTGTAGTCTGTATTCTGTAATCTGTAGTCTGTATGCTGTAATCTGTAGTCTGTATGCTGTAATCTGTAAGCTGTATGCTGTAATCTGTAGTCTGTAAGCTGTAATCTGTAAGCTGTAATCTGCAAGCTGTAATCTGTAATCTGTAGTCTGTAATCTGTAGTCTGTATTCTGTAATCTGTAGTCTGTAGTCTGTAATCTTGCGCAAATCCATTTCTAAATCAATTCTATACAGTATGATGCTTCTTTTATTGCTTTTTGTTTTGAACTCAAAAAGCTAAACGATCAATTCCTCTCCGAGATTCTTCGTTTTTAGCATTTTTTGAAGAAAAACAAAGACTTTGAACGCACTAGAAAGCGTTAGTTTACACATTTTTGAGCTCAAAGTACACCCAACAAAAGTCCATTGTCATTTTCGTGTTCTTGTTTGTTGTTTTTTCAGAAAAAAAAGAAAAACCAACGCGTCAGAAGGGATTTCTTTTCATTTTTAAAGCACAAAGTACACCTTTATTGCTTGCTGATTGCTTGTTTCTTATATTTCTAATGATTCTTATACTTCTATAGGTTCTTATAATTCTAATGATCCTTATAATTCTAATGATTCTTATATCTTCTAATGATTCTTATACTTCTATAGGTTCTTATAATTCTATTGATTCTTATATCTTCTATTGATTCGTATGCTTCTAATGATTCTTATACTGCTATAGATCCTTATACTTCTATAGATCCTTATACTTCTAATGATTCTTAAACTTCTATTGATTCTTCTATCTTCTTCTATCTTCTCCGATCTTCTTATATCTTCTTCTATCTTTTACTCAATTCTTTTCTCTTTTCCTTTGAAAAGATTCACTCATCACTCATTTTTCCTCTTTAAACGAACCTAATCGGGCCGGGTGAATGCTCAGAAGTTCTCAATTTTCTCAGCGCTTCTTTATCATTCATCGTACCACACCAAATCTAAAAAAAGAAGCTGTGAATCATAAAAACCAAAAAACGACACTCACTTGAGCATAATTTAAGAAGAAAAGTTGATCATGAGTGAGATTAACACCGGGCAATTGAGGTGGAGCTGGACGAGATTTTGCGTAACGTTTCCAGGCTCTAAAACGGAGTTTAACGAAATTTTAGCCTCTTTTCAATGACTTTTGATTCAAAATTAAATCCCACCAATCGATTCATTGACCTTTAAAACCCGTGGATACAAATTTATAGCTCTAAAACTTATTTGTTGGGTTTTGTGCGTTGAAAACTGCGAGAGTTTGAGCTAATTTTATTCCACATAAAAACTATAAATTCATTTCAAAGAATTTCCATTATTATTGACGATTTCTGCTCATTTTAAAAGCAATTTGCGAATTTTAGAAGCAATTTGCGAATTCTTCTTTCTTCTTTTGTAGTAGGCTTTTACGAAAAGAGGAATCCGCATTTGAATCGAGATCGGTTTTGAATCGAAAAACTTAAACCCAATTTTCGATTGCTTCTTCTGAATTGAAGAGTGTTCTCCCGCAAGCTCTAATAGTCCAAAATAAATCGTAATCAAGGGAATCAGAAGGGGCAAGGTCCAGAAAGCCTAAGCCTAAGCCTAATACCTGAAAATTTGCCAGGATGCTCCTATGGGGGGCGCATGCACACCGCCAAACGGGTGTCCCTTAGCTCCGAGAACTGGCTGAGATCCAGAAAATGGGGTTTCAGCCCAAACCCAAATAGACTTAGTGCTAGGCGCTAGCCGCTAGCCTTCGCACTAAGTCCAAGCCTAAGCCTAAGCCTAAGCCTAAGCCAGCCTAAGCCTAAGCCTAAGCCTGAGCCAAAAGTTTCCAAACAAAGCTGTTTTAAAGCTTAAAGCTTTAAAGCATTGTAAAGCTAATCAGTTTTGCAAAATGAGGCAAAATGGCGCGTTGTCGAGTGCAATAGAAGAACTGAAGAAAAGATACCAAAAAATAAAAAGTTGGAAACATAATTTTTACGCAATAATTCGAGGAAATGTTGAAATCAACAAGCCGCCCTTTCAGCCCGTTCTATGCTCTTGTTTTATGCTGTTTTATGCTGTTCTATGCTGTTGTTTTCTTTATCAGAGAGCTCCTAGTAATCCGCAGTTTTCAATGCATCAACCCAATAGAATCCATATACAAAAAAATCCAGAAGATGTTCTTTCCGCGCGCGCACGATCGCTCTCCATCTGGCAAAGCGCCCCGGGATAAGGTGCTTTGTTCAGGCTTTTCTCGGTTCAATTACCCAATCCAAGACTCCCTACCGATATGCTTGTTTGAGTCCTCCGTTGTCGGCAATGTTCTCTCCTTTCGTCGATTTTCCATTGATTTTCATCTGGATCTGTTCAAGGACATAGCTGCTGTACTGGGCCTGCAATTTGTATGCTAATGTAGTTGCTAATGTACGGAAAGCTTTAGGCTATTGTTTAGGCTATTCTTTAGCCTATTCTTTAGACTATTCTTTAGACTATTCTTTAGCCTATTATTTAGCGTATTCTCTATCAATTCTCTGCACCTCAATGCACTCGGCTTTCCGCTCGAAATTGGCGATTGTTTGATTGTCCCACCATTGACGAATGTTTCCAAGATTGTCGTACAGTCGACCTAAAGGCTTTGGAGGTAAAAGTGCGATTAAATTTTAAAATTAAGCTACTTTTTTTCTCAATTACCGTACTCCTTTCCTTGTCCTAATTCTAAGGTGGAAGGTGTTCTTTGCGCGTTCTTTAATCTATTGTAATCCATGGTGTATTTCCCCTACCTCGATCATCAAAACCGTGAGTGATCTCGTGTCCAATGACGACTCCGATTCCACCGAAATTCATCGATGATGGGAAATCTTTTGAATAAAAAACGGGTTGAAGAATGCCAGCTGGGAAAACTGAAAGAAAAAAGATAGGGGAAATGTCTAGAACGTCTAGAAGGTCTAGAATGTCTAGAATGTCTAGAACGTCTAAAAGGTCTAGAATGTCTAGAATGTCTAGAATGTCTAGAACGTCTAGAATGTCTAGAATGTCTAGAATGTCTAGAATGTCTAGAATGTCTAGAACGTCTAGAATGTCTAGAATGTCTAGAATGTCTAGAACGTCTAGAATGTCTAGAATGTCTAGAATGTCTAGAATGTCTAGAATGTCTAGAACGTCTAGAATGTCTAGAAAATGATTCTAGATAAAGCTTTGTTTCAAGTGGTTGAATAAAATAGATAAAGTTGAGCGAATCGACTTTCGATTAAGATTGAAGAGATCGTTCCCAAAGTTGTTTCAAATGTTTCATTTTCAAGCTAAGCTTGAAAAGCAATAACTTTCGAATTAAATGAGTTTTGTTTAAGGAATAGGTTTAGATCTTTATCTTTATAAGCAAGCAAAAGAATTTAGATCAAATATTGTTGTTATCTTTTAAAGAGACTATTCAATGACTATTGAACTGACTGATTTCATTAGTGTTTGGCGAGTAGAAGGCGTTGACAAGTGCTGCGCCGGCAACCCATCTAAAGAGTTTTTTTTAAAAAAAAAAAAATACCGACTGGGGCTACCAGTGGTGAATTTATCGCATACACGAAATATATCAATGACAATACAACGACACACACAATACTAGGCTATATCTTAACTTAACCCACGTCATGACAGACGGCTCCCTAACCCTAAGCTCAATGGGGAACTAAATAGCTTTTTTGGTGGTGAAGGGAAGATGACGATGAAGGAGTGGCTTGTCACTTTAAAGAACTGGGGCCACAACCACCAGACTGCCCTCCAGAAAACCTCTCAACCCGAAGGGAAAGGAAATCCGAAGGGGGTGACCATGTCGCATGTGGGGTTCGAACCCTCGACCTTCATAAGGTCGAGATAAGATAAGATAAAAGACACTTAACCAGTCAGCCACACGTGTTTGAGATGAGAGATTGAGAAAAATGATAAAAAAATGACGTTATTCATAGGTTTATAGTTTTATTTTGCCTTAAAATAACAATAAAAATGTCTATAAAATGAACCTTTCCCTGTCGACTGGTTGAACGATTCTCTCCAGAACATCCCGTTGATATTGCTCGTAGAATTGAAATTTCGTCTTATAATAGTTACTCTCATAGACCTAAAAACAAAATTAAACAAAATTAAACAAATTTATTGAATAAATTGATGTACTTTGTTCTTTTAAAATGATAAACATAAGCCTTTTAGTCGATTGGATTTCTAGAAAACTGTTTTAAAGGGATTGAGATTTTATTGAGATTTTATTGAGAAATAGTGCATTAGAAAGGATGCGTTTACTCATAATCTCTAGTACTCCATGTGTACTTTGTGCTTGAAAGAAGAAACACAAGCTTTCTAGTGCACAGAATGCGCACAGAAATCTCCAAGCGAGAATCGATTTGATTGAAAATTTCTGCCCTCAAAATACATCAAAATCTAGTACTAGAGTCTAGATATGATTCTTAAATCCAATTCCAATTCTTTACCTTGAACTGATTGTACTCTTTGTTCACAGCTTGAGCATCGTTTAAGTACTCTGGGTAGCCAATCTTTTGCTTCATCGTCTCCACCTAGAAATGAGTAGAAACTTTTACAAGGGAACTATAGAAAATTAGGAATGCCTATTGCCCTCAAAATTGGGTGGGTAGAGAGAATCGACTCTGGAGAACAACATATCAAAAATTCAGCTACAAAGCTCCAAGATTACGGTAGTTATAGTGTTTTGAAGATTTGCTAAGATATAAGACAATGGAGTTTCTTTCTCGAAGGATATTGGGGCTAGTTTGCACGGCCAATTCATTGCAGCATTGGTGTAGTGGTAGTGCGTTCAGTTACAAAACGAATGCTCGGGTTCGAGTCTTTCTTTGGACTTTTGAAACCATTTTGGACCATTAACCATTCTGGAATTATAATATTGTTTTATGATGATAAAGTTTAAGTTTAATATATGTTTAGGCTAAGGTCTTGGACCAAATATAGATTAGATTAGTTAAACAAATGCAATATTATAATTCCAGAATGGTTAATGGTCCAAAATAGTATAGTTTCAAAAGTCCAAAGAAAGACTCGAACCCAAGAGCATTCGCTTTGTAACTGAACGCACTACCACTACACCACCGCGCATTGAGGAGATTGTGGTAACTAGGGCTAATATCGTTGCGGAGGCCATTGTCTTATATCTTACCAAATCTTCAAAACACTATAACTACCGTAATCTTGGAGCTTTGTAGCTGAATTTTTGATATGTTGTTCCCCAGAGTCGATTCTATTTACTCATCAATTTTGAGGGCAATCGGCATTCCTAATTTTCTATAGTTTCTCTTTTAGTATTTAGAGCTTTAAAATCTATTTAGATCTCAATTATCTAAATAGGTTTACTGTAAATATTACCGTAAACCTTCCGTAAACTATTAAATAAACTAACATAAACTATCATTACAACTAAAATATCAAATAAAAGCATTAGAATGAAACCTTCTGCTTTGCGAAAGTTTTCGTCTCCGGAGTAAGCCAGTCTTCGTGAAGTAGAAGGTCAACGAAAGCATCCATAATCAATGAAATCATTTCCTCTACCTGAAATATTTATAAACTTCTGAATAGAATTCTAATAGATCTTCTTTAAAACAAGCTTTCTACCGTACTCTTCAAACAGTTTAGACAATTAGAAATTACAGTAGCTTCAGCTACCGTAAATACTGTAATATTAGGTTGGCAACTTAATAATGACGCGTCACTACTTAGCATGTTTTTTTGTAATTTCAAGCGCCGTTTCTTCCCTCTTTTTTGCATATATACAAAGTAAAAGATGTCTACATAAATAACATTTAGTGCTCCAAATTTCATCATTTGTTTTTTGGCAAAAAATGGAGGACAAAAAATTCCGTATTCGAGCTTCATTGTTCTACGATTTTAAACAAGGAAAATCACCAGCTGAATCTTATCGCACGATCATCCTTTTGGAGAGGAAAGGAAATCCCATCCAATGTAACCGTGGTTTCAAATTCCAAGGCGGGGGGCCGAAGAGGCACACCAAAAAACACCCCGAGTCCAAGGAAGTAGAGGTTTAAAAAAAAGAGGGGGGGGGGGAGGGCCGGAAAAAGGGGACGCAAAAGGGACCAGAAAGGGGGGGCCTTAATTGAAGATTGCCCAACACTCACCGTTCGTGAGTTGGCAGAAATATTTGAAGTATCCCATACGACAATCAAAAACTATTTACACACAAACCTTGGGAAAAGAATCGAGTTGGAAAATGGGTTCCTCACGAACTGACCCAAAGCAACAAAATGTCGCCTCAATTTTGCTACCAAAATGTAAATCAAACGACTTTTTCACAGGGTTTTGACTTCTGACGAAACGTGGATCAACTACGAGAACGTTAAACGCAAAAATCAATGGCTATCTGCTGGGCAGACCCACCAAACCACCCCCCCAAAACCGGTGGAAGGGAGAAGATAATGCTCTGTTGCTGGTGGAACTTCAAGGGGTTGGTGCATTATGAAGTGCTGAAACCTGGCCAAACCGTCGATGCTGATCTTTATTCGAAGCAGTTAATGAGAGTTAACGAGTCTTCGAAGAAATTTGGAGCTCAAACCGGAGGGAGAGAGTCAGATTTTTACACGACAACGCAAAACCTCACACTGCAAAGGTCACTTATAAGGAAATCAAGGGGGTTGCGGGAGGGTTTTTGTTTTCGCCCCTTATTCACCTGATCTGGCTCCTTCCAGATTACTTTTTGTTTCGGTCGCTGAAGCACTTTTTGGAGGGAGAAAAGTTCGATGATCATGCTCAGGTCATAAAAGCAGTGAATGATTACTTCGCCTCAAAAACTCCCAAGTTCTTCGAGGATGGAATCCGGGATTTGCGCAGAAGATGGGAAGAAGTCATAGATACTAATGGAGAATACCTTTCGAATTGAATCTTTTTTTGTTTTTTAAATGATTTGTTACATAAACGCGTCATTATTAAGTTGCCAACCTAATAGTACCCCACCCCCCTCGTACAGTCGCGTCGTCGCTAGTCGCAAAAGTTTTTTAGTATTTTTCAAAGCGCCCGTACTTTCAAAAAATGCGTCTTTGGTATCAAAAAATAGCCCTGAATTTCAGCTATTTTTTGATACCTAAGCGCGCATTGTAGCATAAACCAGTGTCGAGAAAAACTCGTTTAAAGCTAGACTACGCAGCGCTCCGCACCGTCATTATGGGGGTGGGGTACTATTACAGTATTTACGGTAGTTCTTTTTCTTTCTTTTCATGTCCTTGTCACAGTAATCCAAATGGTTAAGAGCTCAAAATAAATGCTTATTCTTTATTTTTTTACATTTCGATTAATTTAAAGCCATTCAAGTAGCCGTTTGTCGTAAAATTCGATAAAACGTTTTACGAAGATGTTGGTTAAACAGATTTTTTGAAAATTTAGCAGTTGGAAGTAGGAAAAAACAAAAATGTCCGCCGCCGGGATTCGAACCCGCGATCTTTCGCCTACCAGGCAACTGTGCTAACCATTACACCACAATGCACTTGCTTGCCCTTACTCTAGAGGGAGTTAAGTCAAAGTACATATTGAAAATTAAAAAATCTTTGGCAAATGATTTCTTGAAGGAACACGAAAGGATCAGAATTCAAAATGGAATTCATTTCTGAGAGAGAAAAAAGAGATTTCATTTTTATCTATGAACATAAATCAATAATATCTATGATCAAGTTCTAGTTCTAGTTCAAGTTCTAGCTCTAGTTCTAGTTCCAGTTCTAGTTCTAGCTCAATTTCTAGTTCTAGTTCTAGTTTCAGCTTCAGTTTTGGTTTTAAAGATTTTAAAGAAGGTTACCAAGACTTAGTGGATATCAAATAGATAATAGTTGGCTGAATATTTAATCTAAACATCTATAAAATCCTTGATTTCGCCACCTGTTGCTTTGAGTCATGATCGAAATGATATTTGACGTAAATGGACGATGTGGCCATAGGCATGAGTGAGTTGATTCTCGTGACACAGCCATGCCATCGAACCTTTTGTACATTCATCACTGGAATTGAGATTGGGAAATGAATAAGAAAGAAGGAAAGGAAATGTTTCTGTCTATTAATGTTAAATCTAGTAATCTTCAATCTTCTAGACTTTCTAGACGTACTTTGGCTTATCTAAACGTACTTTTTCTGGCACACTGGCTTCAAAAGAAAATCAAGAATCAAGTGCTCTAGAAAAGGTGCGTTTACACAGCACAAATTGCATAAATCAAAGATGAAAAGCTTTAGAAGATGGCGTTTAATTATCGAAGCTTCTAAAGCTTCGATAATTAAACAAATCAATAACATTTCTATGCCAGAAAGAGTGCGTTTACAAGCATTTCCATCAAGCATTTCCATTTTCTCTTTTCTAGAACTTCAATATTCAAATTAGACTACAAATTCGATTGTAAAACTTTCCAAAAAAAAAAAAACTCACAATTAAGAGTTTTATAGAATTTGAAAATCGTTAACGCAAAAGGATCGGGTAAATCTCGGAGCATCGTTTTGAAAAACCAACACCACTCCAAATAGTTCACGATTCGTCTAGATCAAATTTTTTTCGATAAAATTCCAAATCTCTATTCTACCTTTTTGTATACTTCGGTAAGAGTTTATCTAAACGCTCCAAGAATTCCAATCCATAGACAACGACTTCCGTTTCGTAGTTGAAAGTGATTGGGGTACCGTTCTGGAAAAGGAAATCGATCAAAATTCTACATCGATTAGAATTTACATCGATTAGAATTTACATTGATTAGAATTTATATTGATTAAAATTTGCATCGATTAAAATTCTACATTTAAACACTTTCAGCTGTCTTGTAATGCGTTTTTCTATAAAGCTTTTCTATAAAGCTATAAAGCAATAAAGCAATAAAGCTATAAAGCTATAAAGCTCTAAAGCTCTAAAGCTCTAAAGCTCTAAAGCTCTAAAGCTCTAAAGCTCTAAAGCTCTAAAGCTCTAAAGCTATAAAGCTATAAAGCTCTAAAGCTCTAAAGCTATAAAGCAATAAAGCAATAAAGCTATAAAGCCCTAAAGCTCTAAAGCTCTAAAGCTATAAAACTATAAAGCTATAAAGCTTATCAAAATTTTACATCGATCAAAATTCTACATTTAAACACTTTCAGCTGTCTTGTAATGCACTTTTCTATAAAGCTATCCTTTAAATAAGTCAATAAATAGGTGTAGAGTGATTTAAAAAAGTATTTAAAATAAACTACCATAATTTAAGCCTCAATTTTCATCTAATCGATTCAACTTTTGGGTTTATTGATTAATTAGTTTTTTTTTTGAAAATAAAAATCTTTTAGTTAAAGCCATCAAATTTTTACTTTCATCTTGATATCATCGAAAACCGAATTGAAGAAAAGAAGCCAGTTAAAGTTGGGTAAACGGCGTCGCATGTCACCGATGCTGAGCTTTGTGTACAATTCGGCGATATCGTGACGATGCTCGTCGGCCATTGTGATCTATAAACGATGTACTTTGTGCTAGCTTGTAAACACACCCTTTCTGGCGTACTGTATCATTGAATGAGACTCTCAAAAGTCTCATTCTTTTAGCTGTAATCGACAATGAATTTAAGAGAAACTAGGGAAAAACGGGGTTATGAAAAACGGGGCTTTTAGTCCGTTTTTGGTAGTCCTATTTTAGATTTAGGGTTACGGTAGCAAAGATATAATAGCAAAGCTACGGTAGGAAAGATCTTTGATAGCTTTAGAGGTCTAGTTTACAATCTATTCACTAACATTCGCTAAATCCGTCTCAAACTCGATGATCTCTTTAGCATCTCGAATAGCGATCTCTGGTCGGGCATGTAGATGAACCAAAACATCTCTAAAATTAGAATTGATTTGAAAAAATCATATCTAAACATTAAATAACTATAATAATATTCTTTGCGCTTTCCCACAATCTCGGAAACGGCAAACGACAAACGGCAAATCTCGCAAAAGAGACACACACGATCTGACACACAAAACTTGGGTAATTAAACCAGCCGACGCGCGTTTCCTGCCGACTTCCAGCAGGCCAGTGTGCCAGACGCCGCTTTTCTTTACGAGCAACAGGGAAAGAACGCACAGCGTTGCCTTCTATTGGAGCTTCCTATTGTGCGTTCTCTCCATGTCACTCGCAAGAAAAAACAACGTCTGGCAGACTGCCCCGATAGAAGCCGCCGAAACACCATCCCACCCGGTTTAATTACCCAAGTTTCGCTTGCGCACGCGATTATGGAAGCGCACAAAGAACATGATCTCTATCTGGGCCTGTATGCCAGACGTCTCTACGAGGGAAAGAACAGGGAAAGAACGCACAACGATCTTCTATTAACCTGATCAATGTGACGTATGCTAATCGTTCTTCATTCTCAGCCATGATGTAGAAATCGCGAGCAAACAGATTGAGTGCCGGTTGATCAACCTAAATTCAATTTTTCTGATGTTAGATGTAAAGAATAAAAACCAAAAGAACGTGTTTCTCCGAATTTTTGTCATCTGGTTGAACGGTGGCTTTGAAGAGGGAATCGGCACGGAATTTCGCGACCATTCTTGCGTATAATCGTTCAACAGAAGTATTCTCGTCGACTGAAAAGAAATCGGTTATGTTCGAGTTTGATTGGCTTTTGCGTTTTGTAGAGAGTTTATTGCCTAAAGATTGAATCTTTCCGGTTAAGGGAATTGGCGCAAGCTTTGGGGGCTTCTAGCTGGGCTACGGTAACTGGGGCAAGCTTTAGATGGCTTCTAGCTGGGCTACAGTAGCTAGGGCAAGCTTTAGATGACTTCTAGCTAGGCTACAGTAGCTAGGGCAAGCTTTAGATGACTTCTAGCTAGGCTACAGTAACTGGGGCAAGCTTTAGATGGCTTCTAGCTGAGCTACGGTAACTAGGGCAGGCTTTAGATGGCTTCTAGCTATGCTACAGTAACTAGGGCAAGCTTTAGAGCTACTAATAGCTTGATTACGGTGGCAACTAGTTACAGTATCACTTGATTACAATCATTTAAGGATTACTGTAATGCGAACAAGGTCTAGAGCAGTTAATAGCCGGATTACGGCAACTGAGCAAGTTTTAGAGGGCTTGTAGCTAGGCTACAGTAACTAGGGCAAGCTTTAGCGCTGCTAGATTACTGTAATTCACAGTTACCGTAAGCTTTATTTGCTTCTAAAAACCGAACTGTTTCCATTTTCGAGACTCGGCCATCCACCAAACGATTTCATGACCTCATCAAAAGTACTCCGCCACGTTTCGCTGATTTCACCTAAGCCACAATACAATTTTAAAGCCACAATTCAATTTTTATCCTTTCATTATCCAATATCTTTCTATTAACTCTAAAAAAATCGATTATAATTTTTTAAAGTCTTGGTAAAGCTAGATCGAAAGAATTTGAGAATGATTCTTTTATAGTTCCTTTATAGTTCCTATTCAGCTGCTTTATAGTTCTTTTATAGTTCCTTTATAGTTCCTTTCTAATTCCTTTAGAGTTCCTTGATAGTGATAGCCCTTTATAGTTCATCAAAAGTACTCTTTCACGTTTCGCTAATTTCACCTAAGCCACAATACAATTTTTATCCTTTCATTATCCAATATCTTTCTATTAACTCTAAAAAAAATCGATTATAATTTCTTAGAGTCTTGGTAAAGCTAGATCGAAAGAATTTGAGAATGATCGAGTGATCGATCAATGTCAAAATGTGATCAATGTGAAGCTTTCTTTTCTCGAAACTCTTTCAGTTTCCATTTGACAAGGAAGTTTAATATTTTAACTATAAAAGAAAGAAAGAATGATGAATTGAAGGTATTGATTGAAAGATGTTAATAAAGAAATGAATAGCTCGAACTAAGGGGAATTGAGCTCTCTTCTGTCTAGCAGGCAGATACTCTACCACTGAGCTATCAGCCTTGTTTGCCTAAGAAGAAAGAAGGAACTAACTTTCATTTAAACATTGCTGATAGAAGATCTTTGCTTTATTGACAGCGCTGTCTGGTTGAATGGTGTCATCGCGAGCCTCGAGTAGTTCTGAAAAGAGCATTTTGTAAAAGTTCGCTAGAAGATCCCGTATTCTAATAGTAGTAGTTCTCTAATAGTTCTCTAATACTAGTGCACCTAAAGCTTTGCCTAAATTCCTAAATTCCTCGAAATCTCGAGAACCGCTTATCAGAACCCATCGATGTGAGGGCGGAAAATGTAACTGACGATGAGATCTAGTGGGGGATTTGAGTGTTGAGCTTCTGTGAAAGCTTTGGAACTGTCAAATAGTCATCAACTCGGCTCGGCGCAGTGCACTACTATTAGAGAGAATAGAGGTATCTTCTAGCGAACTCTTAAATAATGCTAAGCCTATTTTTTTGGATCTGCACAAGGAAATGTACAAGTACAAGTACAAAGAAATGTACAAGTACAAGGAAATGTACAAGTACAAGTACAATTACAAGGAAATGTACAAGTACAAGTACAAAGCTATGTACAAGTACAAAGCTAGGTACAAGTACAAAGCAATGTACAAGTACAAGGAAATGTTTATAAAAGTTTCCAACCTTTCAACGCAAACTCGAGATCTTGTCCGAGATTCTCAAAATTCGATACAGATGGCGCATCATCGGGAATCGGATGTCCCTAGAAGAAAAAAGCAATTAAAAAAGCAATTAAAAAGCAATTAAAAAGCAGATTTTCAAATATTCAATGATCTATTCATATCTATTCATATCTAGATTACTATAATTTAAAGAAAAAGATCACTTTTATCCATTGTCCACACGCGTACGCATAGAAATCTTGACACGGATCAACTGAGGCGTTCATTGAAGATAAAATGACCGATGCTGAAATGTGAGAGGGTTTAAAATGAAAAAGGAAAAGGTTATGTCAAAATTTAAGATCATAAATCTATAGTTAAGTCTTTTTTCTAGCTTATTTCATTTTGATTTAATTCATTTTCTTAAGAAATTCAGTATGAAAGAGCTAAAATCTCTAGGAAAATGTCGTTAGTTCTCTTCAGTACTTTATAGATTAAGATATTCAGCCAACAACGCTACCGTACACCTCTCGATAAGCTGAATACTCAGTTGAATCTGTTTCCGGTAAGATCTAAGGTCTTAATAAAGGCCAAACATCAGCAAAGATCATTCAACGATGAGTCAAAGCAACAAAATTCGATCGATCGATCAACATCGATTAAGAAAATCCAGCGAATTCTCACCTGTATGTATGCATCCAGGTGTAAGGCAAACCTCCGGCGGTTTCGTGAAATAGAAATAAATAAGCCCGACAAGGAAAAGGCACGCCAAAAAGAAGAATATCCCGGCTAGGACGCCAAAAGTGCGCGCCGGCGCGCCCATTCTTCTACCTTTCAACTGGAAATTTGAAAAATACATTTATTCAAACGAATACTTTGTGAAAAACAATACACAAGTACAATCACTTAGCCCTAAATCTAGAAAAACTTTGATGTTTCGTAGCTGATTACGAATGTCAGCTGATTATGAATGGGTCTAGGCGTCGATGAATGAGTGGGTCTAGATCTAGACGATTCGTCAACAGACGATTAGACGTCTAGATCTAGACGATCTAGACGATCTAGACGATCTAGACGATCTAGACGATCTAGACTAGCTAGACGATCGGCGGTATAGCGCCGAATTACTTTCTTTGAAACAACCGGATGGCGTAGGGGATAGTGTCCCGGGAAAATAGAAGATACCGTATTCTCTCTAATAGTCCACGCGCCTTTTTAACCTGGTTCGATTCAGCTCACTCTCAAATCCTTTTTCTTGATTTACAAAAACCCATACCATACGGATAATGGAATGAAAATGAAAGAGATTTGAGATTATAAGATAAAAAAGTAATGGTAAAGTGATTTAGTATTTACTAATGGATCTAGGAAATCTATAAACTCTTTGATCGACTTTTTGAGTCATACTAGCATAGTCATACTACTGTATCTACTGTACATAATCATACTACAATACTAGCATCGATTCTACTGATAAATAGTCGTTTGAATCGTTACAGGAGTCAAGGTTAAGCAAGTCCACTTGACTATGAGGACTAGGGACTCGTTTCCATCATAATTGAGTGAAAAAAAATGAAATTAGATGCAAGATTTAATTTGTTTTCCAGTTTTTTGCTTTAAAAACTCAGTGTTTTGATAAAAATAGAGAGACACAAAATCTTCTGGGAAACGACAACCTATGAGATCTCTTAAGAAATATTAAAAAAAACCTAAGAAATCCTAAGAAATAGAGATTCTCAAAATTTCCCCTACCTCCTAGGCTATCCCTCCTAGGACGGCCACTCGATGCCGTCCAGTTTTTCCAGAATAATTCAATCTTTCGAAATGCAGAAACGATTCGTCGATCTGAAATTAGAATTGAAGAGAAGAAGAAAAAAGAAAAGAAATCGAGATCTCGATTTGCTCTAAAGAAATTCAAAAAATCCAATTCTCAGCTTTTTAGAGACAGTTTTCTTAAGCAAAACAAAAAAGATTAAAAAAAAGAATATCAATATAAAAATGAGTACAAGATTTAAAATGACAAGTACATGGTGTTTTTTTTTTCTTTTGGAGAGACGAAGAGTATAGATTGAGGAGGGGAAAGGGGATCAGTTCAGAGGGAGACAATCAAAAGAAGTGGAAATCACGGCTGAGGACAGCTGTTTCCAATCGCTCATTTTCTCTTCAAACACACTTTTTTTTTCTCTTGATTTTGGTTTTGAAAACGAAGAAGAGAATGAAGGGGGAAAGCCGTATGGGTCAATGAAAAGTCAATGAAAAGTCAATGAAAAGTCAATGAAATCAAACTTAAAAGTTTGATTTTAGGGTTTCATTTGGTTTCATTTGAGATAAAATCGAGGAAATCGAGGGTTTTTTGGGGTAAAATGATTTTTTCAGTGTTCTAGATGACTTTTTTCCGATTTCTTAACAGAAAAATAACGCATAACTAAAGCTAGCTAAAGTCTAGTGCATTAGAAATTATGCGTTTACAAATTTAAGAACAAAAGTTGGAACAAAGGGCAGAGCAAAAGTTAGTTGATGACTCGAACCCCCGATCTTTCGTTTAACAGGCAACTGTGCTAACCATTACACCACAAGGCACTTGATCGTCACTTACTCTAGAGGGACTTAAGTCTGATTCCCTTTGGTTAAACAGGTTTTTTGAAAATTTAGCAGTTGGAACTAGGAAAAATCAAAAAATGCCCGCCGCCGGGATTCGAACCCGCCATCTTTCGCTTACCAGGCAACTGTGCTAACCATCACACCACAATGCACTTGCTTGCCCCTTACTCTAGAGGGAGTTAAGTCAAAGTACATATTGAAAATTAAAAAACCTTTGGCAAATGATTTCTTGAAGGAACACGAAAGGATCAGAATTCAAAATGGAATTCATTTCTGAGAGAGAAAAAGATTCGATTTTTATCTAGGAACATAAAATATCTTCTATAAAGCTAAATTCTTCAAAAAAAAAACTCTTTACTATATCTAAATTCTTTCAAAATAGCGAAACACTTGAAAGAAAAGGGGTTCTTCCACTAAAAACACACTTCATTTTCGTTAAGGAAAAAGAAAAAAAACTTCAAAGGCCATAAAGAAAACTTTAAACTAGTTCTGTTACTTAAACTAATTACTTTAAACTTTAAAATAAACACAAACAAGCTAATTATGTTCAAAAAAATCTTAAAATATACCAAAAATCTATTGATCGACCCGTTTTGATTCGAGAAATTTCGAAAAATACCTTAATACGTCAAGATTTTAGGGGGTGGGACATTTGCGCACCTTTTTTTGCTGGAAAAGGCCTTAGGAAAGGTCGTAGAGCTTCAAAAATGTTTTCACATAAGGGAATCGTATGCGTAGATTCAGAATTTTGACAAATCAGACCTCACTGACACGTCAAATTTCGGCTAAAAGGCAAAAACTACGCAACTTAACGCTTTTCCGCAGTTTTTGCCTTTTAGCCGAAATTTGACGTGTCAGCGAGGTCTGATTTGTCAAAATTCGGAATCTACGCATACGATTCCCTTCTATGGAAACATTTTTGAAGCTCTACGACCTTGCCTAAGGCCTTTTCCAGCAAAAAAAAGGTGCGCAAATGTCCAGGTGCGCAAAAAAAAATTTCGCATTTGTCCCACCCCCAGATTTTATGAAAAAATGAAAAAGCTGCTAGTAATTGGGCTACGGTAAAATGGGGCACGCTTTAGAGTTAAACCAGAACTAACTTGGATCTAACATCTAATATCTAATATCTAACATCTAACATCTAACATCTAATATCTAACATCTAATATCTAACATCTAATATCTAACATCTAACATCTAATATCTAACATCTAACATCTAACATCTAACATCTAACATCTAATATCTAATATCTAATATCTAATATCTAATATCTAACATCTAATATCTAACACCTAACATCTAATATCTAATATCCAACATCTAATATCTAACATCTAATATCTAACATCTAATATCTAACAGATCTAACATCAAACATCTAACAGATCTAACAATAAGATTTTACACCATTTAGCTTTGGTCTAATTCTGAGTCAGAACTCATAGGTTCACATTGAGCCTTTATAGCTTCACAAAACCAAAAAAGTACATTCATAAGTGCAGTTGGGTCTAAAGCTGTTTGTAAATGGTTTTCCATAATTATAGATACAATGGCTTATGATCTATTACTAACAATCGCAATCTAACTAAAAGCTAAAATTTTGCACTGAGCAATAAAAGCATTTCAAGCGGTAGTTTAATTCTCTTTCTCTAAAGTTTAATATTATTTACCTACAAAGCTTTCTGCATCTATAATTATAGATTACCTTGTATGTATCTAATAAGTACAAAAGCTCGGTCAGTTTCAATGAAGTTAGAAGTTAGAAGTTAGAAGCTAGAAGCTAGAAGTTAGAAGCTAGAAGCTAGAAGCTAGAAACTGGATTCAAGAACTTCTCTTCCCAATCAATCTCTAATTCGAAAAGAAGGAAAATTAATGAATAAAAGAATAAAGAACAGAGAAAAGATAAGAAGAATTGAAGAAAAGAAGAAAAATAGATAGAAGTAGGAGACAATGTGGCCTTATAGGGCCCTATAGGCTTCCTCAGTGGCTCAGTCAGCATCATTTGTCTGTTCCGCTCTTTTCCCACCCCGTTAACACTTTTCCTCATCTTTTCTTCTTTTCTTGTCCATTGTGAATCTAATTCTGAAGTCCCTGAGGTCTCTAACATAGACTTTTCAAAGAAAATGATCATTGAGGGAAGAAAATGTTTTTCTGAAGAAAAAAAAGGATAAAGGAAAGGATTAGGATTCTCTTTTTAGTCTAATAACAAATTGTGTAGAAATTTTGTTTAATTATGAGTACTTTAGTTTTAAAAGTTACAGTAAACAATGCTAAAAACAATGCTGTAAAGTCTAAAGTGTTTTTATCTTTATTTTGCCAAGAAAAATCCACCAAAAGTGCTCCAGAAATGGTGAATTTCTATTAGCATAAAGTACACAGAAATAGAAAAGATTGAACTTCTCATTTCCTGGAGAACACTTTGCAAATGAACATCTATTTTTTTTCCAAGAGATAGCTGAATATTCTTTCTCTTTCTCTTTTTATCTCATCAAATTCTCCCTTCATTTCCATTCATTCATTTGCACAATTGGGTACGAATTGAGGGAAATGGAAAGAAGAAAATGGAAAGAAGAAAATGGAAAGAAGAAAATGGAAAGAAGAAAATGGAAAGAAGAAAATGGAAAGAAGAAAATGGAAAGAAGAAAGAAGAAAGAAGAAAGAAGAAAGAAGAAAGGGTTCAATTCACATTTGATTAACTTTCCTAAGACATATTGTTCCTGCTATTTTAGGATTTATGTGTACGAATTATTGGATGCTTGTAATTAAAAACTGAATCCATTTTGGCAACTTTCTAGACTATCGTATAAATTTTTGAATGACTAGAAAGAGTACGGTAACTTGTCCAGGTATTTGACCAGAAAATTTAACCCCAACTGTGCACTGAAGAACGTTCTACAGTAGTATTGTACTAAACTAGAGACAAGATTACAGTAGTTAAGGGACAAACTCTAGAAACCAAACGGAGGACACTTTAGTACTGATACACAGATTTGCTATAGTACAGTACACAGTAGAACACAGTACAGTACCTCAGCCAAGTCAAGGCTATAAGCATGACCTGGCTCTAACTGGTGTAAGCAGTTTTTAAGCCTTGGTCTTGGCTTCGTCTAACTCAGGCTCCAGGCTAGCTAGCTTATCCAGGATAATCTAGGACTATCTCTGATCCTGGCCTTTAGCAAATTGGTCCTAGAACCAGTTCCATTGTACAGACAAACCTACAGTAGTACTGTGCTATGTCCAAACCTACAGTAGTACTATGCTGATTCACTATTCTAAAAGCCTTTCCTTGGCCATCAATTTATTTCCGTTTTTCTCTTAGCAATGATTCAAAAGCGTGGATAAATGGATGTATCATTGATATGAAAAAGATATTTCTTTTCTTTTGGGATAAATCACCGAGTGTTTCTCTTTCATTTGATCGAATGGGCCCATTTGGGTGATGGATTATTGGGATGAAAAATTGGTGAGTTTAAGAAAAAAAGAAATGGATGAATGAGAAAGAAAAGGCACATGTGACCCCTGAAGAGATTCACTCATGGATCCATCAATGATTCGAGGGGGGAAATGGGGGGTTATCCGATCACTCGGACATTGTATTGATTGCTGACTCATTCACTGGTTTTAAATGGGATTGAGGAAGCGTTTAAGTAATTGTTAAAATTAAGAACCTAATTGGTTTACTGTATTAGCCGAAAATAAGAAAAAACCAAGCAAAAACAAAGCAAAAACGGTCAGTTAAAGTACTTGATAGCTCGCTAAACGATAATGAATGAGAAAACACAAGTGTAAGTATTATCCAAAAGATCCAAAATCCAAAAGATGCATATTTCCCATGTAGCTATGAAATTGTAAAGAGCAAAGACTTATGAAGTACCAGAAATATGCCAAACTGTTCAAGACTTAGGTCTGGTCAGAGTCCAAATGCTGATAAATAACTGATAAATAGCAAATAGTTGATATTCTATTATTCCTGGCAATGAGAAGTGAAAAGAGAATGAAGAGCGCTAGAAAGGATTTGTTTGGAAGCTGCCCTATAAGTCAAGTCGAGTTCAATTCCTGAGAAAATGCTGGACTTCACCAGAAGAGGTGTGTTCATACGATTAACGAAGACAACGTACGGGAGTCTAACAGATGAAGCAAAGCCAAGACAACCGGATAAGAAAAGAGTTTAGCGGTGAAATGGATGTGAACACAAAGTGAACAAAGTGAATGGTGTGTTAGATAAACGAGTGTGACAGAGTGGTGGAAAGTAGATGAAAAGAAGATGAAAGACCCGAGAATGGATGGGGAGGCAGCCGCTCCTCTCAATGGTCCATTGGGCCTATCACTTGGAAGGTGCCAATGTGTGGCTAATGTTACAGTTTAAGGGAAGGGGAAAAGGATATGGGGAAAACGAAAAGGCTCAATTGGTCTTTCTCTTCATTTCATTGCTTCTTTTCACTCATTCACTTTGGTGCCCTCCCACCACAACAAAGTGCAATTGACGCTAATAGTAAGTGGAGAATGTTATTTGAAAGTGGATCAGCTTTGGGATAGCTATGATAGTTAAGTTTTCAATAGTGGATTGGCTCAAGAATATCGTTGACTTGGATAACTTGCTCTTTTACTTAGAATGTGTTTCGTGACTGCTCTCCGCCTAATAGCGCTCTCCAGCTACCGTGCCGTCAAGCAATGCGCATATATAAGGCCGCCAATTTTTTTTCATTTTAATGGGAAGCGTGGGAAATCCAATACAACCAGGTGGGCATATGAAGATTGACAATTTTGGCGTTTAGGAAACCTTTAGCTAAAGATATCCCAAAAACGGGTCAAAACACTGAAAGCAACATAATTGACGTTTTTCACTTTAAATTTAATCGTCGCCAAACCAGGACGATGCCAAACGTCGTCCCAATTCAAATGCACACGTCACTCAGCCCATTTGTTGAACTGTTGATGGAATCACCAAAGATTTACACAAATCGAACTTTTAAAAAACTGAATCTCTATCCTGGTTCAATGTGCAAATGATGATAGCGTTTTTAATAAAATTAAGGGAATGCTTGATATTTTATTGGAAAAGGTTCAAAAGAAGTGACATCAAAAGAACGGCGAAAACGATTCAAGAAAAAATACAAGATTTGGCAAGCCTGTAAGCCGACTTAAGCTGGCTACCCCGCAACACCAAGGAAAATCAACGATTTGAGCCAGATGCTCTAATGACAACTAAAACAAAAAGTTATTTTAGATGGATGATTCTTACTAAAGGAAAGAATGAGCAAATAATGACTTAAATTTACTTTGTTCCAAATCTTTTTTAAGTTTATACGCTGTTTAAATTAAATTAATTCGTTAAAAGTTACCTATTTGATGAATAAAGAGTTGTTGTCGTTGTGTCGTTGTTGTCGTGGTTGTCGTTGTCTCGGCTAGCATTTTCTTCTGTTGGTTACAATGCTTCTTGCCGGCTCTGGTTTCTAAAAAAACTCCTTGAAATAAAATAATTCAAACATAAAACTTAACTTATAGTTAAATCGTTGCTTTTCTTTTCCCGATAAACTGACGATCGAATATCACTCCACTAAATAATAAGTAAAGAACTTTACAATTAGAAAAAGAAAAAATAAACTTCTAAATTAAAAAAATCCCACGGGAGTGGGACAAATTGCTTTTGCCGCACCGCCCTGTTAGCGCACTTTTTTTTCCGCACTGAACCCATTAGCGCACCTTTTTTCGCGTTTTAAAAAGCTCTAAAAGCTAATATTAACCAATTTCTATTCCAAAAGTTGTTTTTCTAGGTAATTTGAGGGTGTCGAATCGAAATTTTGACATAACAGAGCGTGTGGAAACAAACGGACGGAGTTATACAAAGAGAAAAATCAACAATTTTCTGTAATTTGACCTAGCCTGTCTTTCAAATTGATTCCACACGCTCTGTTATGTCAAAATTTCGATTCGACACCCTCAAATTACCTAGAAAAACAACTTTTGGAATAGAAATTGGTTAATATTAGCTTTTAGAGCTTTTTTAAAACGCGAAAAAAAGGTGCGCTAATGGGCTAAGTGCGGAAAAAGGTGCGCTAATGGGCTAAGTGCGGAAAAAAGGTGCGCAAATGTCCGGGTGCGCAAAAAAAAGGTCGCATTTGTCCCACTCCCAAATCCCACTCCGAAAAAATAAAAAAGAAAGAAAAAAATGAGCGAAATGGAGTGGTTACGGTAGCTGGAGAAATGGCGAGGGTACGGTAGCTGGGGCGCGCTATTAAGCCGAGAACAGCACGGATTTCTGAAAAAGAACTAACTAAACTATTATAGTTATCAAATAACTACAATAGTTTAGTTATCTTTGAATTTACACCAAATTATCAATAAAACAGTTAACAACTAAGCGATTTTACGCCGAAAATGCCATCGTCACGAAAGAACTGGATATTCCAGCTGTCCTAGAGTCAGGTCAGCCTTTTGAACTTTGTCAAAGCTTTAAGATTCTGCCCTAACTTCTCCCAAATGTAATTTGTGTTCAAATTTATCGCTGAAACGCATCCTTTCTGGTGCAATCAGTTCCCCAAATCATCGATTCCTCAGTCGCCAAACCATCAGCTCCTAAATTGTACAGAAAGTGTCTAGAATCTAGCAGAAGTACAATGTACAATGTACAATGTACGTAGTATAAATACTCTCGGTTACGATTGCAAGGACTCATTTTATCCATTAAAACTGTAAAAATAGTCATAATGTTTGTACAATTCTCTAAATTCTCTTTATTTTTCACTTTAACGCTTGCAACTGGCTCAGCCGGCTTCTTTAGCCTGATACAATGCTTGCAACTGGCTCAGCTGGCTTCTTTAGCCTGATACAATGCTTGCAACTGGCTCAGCCGGCTTCTTTAGCCTGATACAATGCTTTTCTAAATCCATTTTAAATCAAATGATATTTATCAGAATCAGATTTGTATCAAATAACATGAAATGAATCAAAGAGTACACAGAAATCTCAAAAAAAAAAGTCGCACCACTTATCGAAAGAAAACGAAATAAATTTAGGAGGAAAAAAAACAAGCGCTAAAGATAGACACCGTATCACCGTTTTTTGTGGGTTTCGAATAGATAAAAATCAAAAAAAAAGATAAGTGGTTAGATAGAATACTAAAAAGAAAACAAGCAAAATGTGATGTCACAATGAGTACAGTACAATGTACAATGTACAGTGAGTACAGTACAATGTACAATGTACAGTGAGTACAGTACAATGTACAATGTACAGTGAGTACAGTACAATGTACAATGTACAGTGAGTACAGTACAATGTACAATGTACAGTGAGTACAGTACAATGTACAATGTACAGTGAGTACAGTGCAATGTACAGTGAGTACAGTACAATGTACAATGAGTACAGTACAATGTACAATGAGTACAGTACAATGTACAGTGAGTACAGTACAATGTACACAGTACAATGAGATAGCACCGGATAGGGGAAATTTTTTGATTAAACTGGATTTCTTTTGATTGGCGCGTTTTCGAAAAGGTGTGCTTGGGAAAAGCTACCGTAATCCTTACCGTAACCATTACCGTAACTATTACTGTAATCCTTGCCGTAATTCTTACCGTAACTACTACTGTAGCCCGCTACCGTACCGCAATTCATACAGTAATACGATATCGCAACCCTTACCGTACCCTTACCGTAACCACTACTGCAATTCATACAGTAATACGATACCGTAATCCTTACCGTAACCCAGTATCGTAACCCTTACCGTAACCACTGCTGTAGCCCGCTACCGTACTGCAATCCACGCAGTAATGCGGTACCGTAATTCTATTATAATGTGGTACCGTAATATTCCGCTACAGTAATCCCTATTATAGCTACTGTAGCGGATTACGATAAGGATTATAGTTTACGGTAAGGATTACGGTATGGATTACGGTATGGATTACGGTATGGATTACGGTATCGTGTACGGTATAGCTTTATCTCAAGCACATCTTTTTGGAAAACTCTAAAACAGGTATTAGAAAGAATGGAGTTAATAATGGAAATTTTGAAGATTGGTTTACTTACCCAATTTTACTAAACTATAGTTGTTAAATGACTAAAGTAGAGTGAGATTCTCAGGGATTTTTGAGGTTCCATTCGATTGCCAGATTAACTCCTGGGTTTTGTGCTTTGAAGTGGTGGAACGAGAGAAAAATGAGAGAAGAGTTCGTCTGAAAGTTGGGGGGGATTTTCATTTCGTTGATTTGATTTAAGCATGCAAGCGTTTTTTTTGCGTTTTCCTTTTGACACAATCATTTTGACACAATCCTTTTGCCAAATTGAGATTGCTATCGATTTTTGTGAATCTTTTTAAGTTCTAGTTTACATATTTTAACAAAAATTCTTTGATTTCTTTGATTTCTTTGATTTAAACTCACCTAAACGCAGCACCAAAGAATAAATAGCAAAAGAAATTGGCGGTGGCATTGATAACAATTAGTAGATTGGATAGATCGACAAGATAAACCAAAAGTTCACCAAACTAAATTTTTAAATAAGAAATTCCTGGATTATCTAGAGTATTTGATTAGATTACCGTATTTCTTCGAATAGAAGACCGGGTAAAGAGTATCATCGCGTACTCCTGCGTAGCAGCCCTTCTTTTCTGCATAAAAGCTTTCAATCAAGTGCTATAGAGCTGGAAAATGGCTCAAAAATCTGTTAGCTCATGTGGTATTTTTGAGTCATTTTCCAGCCCTATAGCACTTCATTGAAAGCTTTTATGCAGAAAAGAAGGGCTGCTACGCAGGAGTACGCGATGATACTCTTTACCCGGCCTTCTATTCGAAGAAATACGGTAAATTGTTAACATTTGATTGTTAACATTTGATTGTTAACATTTGATTGTTAACATTTGATTGTTAACATTTGATTGTTAACATTTGATTGTTAACATTTGATTGTTAACATTTGATTGTTAACATTTGATTGTTAACATTTGATTGTTAACATTTGATTGTTAACATTTGATTGTTAACATTTGATTGTTAACATTTGATTGTTAACATTTGATTGTTAACATTTGATTGTTAACATTTGATTGTTAACATTTGATTGTTAACAATATTTTAATAAGATAATTCTTAAAAAAACGAACCGTTAACGGTAATATCAACTCTAAAAAGTTGACGAGTAGGGCAGTGAAGTTGCAAAAGATGAAGAAGAAAACGACAAGGATCAAGCTGACGGTATCAGATTCTTCTAAAGAATTGAATAAGATAATAAGGATTAAAAAAGCTTAAACAATAATCTATAATAGTCTCTAATAATCTCTAATAGTCTATAATAATCTCTAATAATCTCTAATAATATCTAATAATCTCTAAAGACTTTGAAGCGACTTTCCTCTACTCCATTACCTCCATTATCAACCTCACTTGTGACCACTGTGTAAACAACGCAAATATTGAGCAATATCAGAAGAATCAACGGTCCAACGGCGAGAAATGTTGTGTACATATATGTGTAATAAATCGTGTAATAAGCTGGATTCTTTCGGATATCGGTTGGACAAATTTGAGAGCTGATCTGTCCAGAGTCCATAATGCAAGCAACCTGGCAAACGATGATTAGCTTATCGATCCAAATCGGCTCATTCTTTAAGCGTTTAACCGTTCAGCCTTTTAGAAAAGCTATCAATCTGCTTTGTTTCATTGGAAAGCTAAGAATGTCAGCTTAGAATCGGCTACCGTAATGATGTTCTTGAAACTGAGATCTGAACGATTAAACATTAGCATTGATGAGATCGATAAGCAAGTCTAAGAATGTTGAATGGAATATTTTCAAAGTTTTTTAGGCTTTGAAATTTTTAGGAAAGACTTAGAATTCGTTTCTCTTGTCTATCGAATTGTAAATTCGTTCTCTAAGATAATCTAAACCTTAGAATGTAGTCAAGATTACGGTATTCAAATAGTTTTGAACCGAAGAGTCTATCTTCAGTTAAAGCTGGCCTAGTGAGTTGGTCGAAATCAAACTCAAACGAAATCAAGATCGAAATCGGCTACCGTAATTTGCTACCATAATCCGTTAAATTCCTATTTTTAGCTAGAAGTAGTCAGGGATTACGATAGGTTTTAGGTTTTAGAAAGCCGTAATCCATTAATTTGATATCATTACCTGACACCAGCTCAAAATCAGATCAATTTTTGATTTTAGACATTCCTTAGCTTATTTACTATTAGTTTACTATTAAAACGATAGGTTTTAGGCTTTAGAAAGCCTTAATCCATTACATTACTTAACACCAGCCCAAAATCAGAACAATTTCTGATTTTAGACATTCCTCAACTTATTTACTAGTAGTTTACTATTAAAACGATAGGTTTTAGGTTTTAGAAAGCCTTAATCCATTACTTTGATATCATTACTTAACACCGGCTCAGAACCAGATCAATTTCTGATTTTAGACATTCCTCAACTTATTTACTAGTAGTTTACTATTAAAAGAAGTGTAAAATTAAAAATCTAATTTAAATTAAATTAAAAGAAGTATACTAATATATTTAAAAAAAGTAATTAAACCTTTTAGATCCTTTAGATATTTAGAAATACTTCGCTTTCTGATCCCTGTTTTCTGATCCCTGTAATCCCTGTCTTCTGATCCTTGAAATCTCACCTTTTCAATCTCCAAAGCGTGCGGAATATTGTAAACAATACAGAAATTCATTATCCAAAAAACGGTGATTCTGGCTCTTCTGTAAAGGATTGTGGATTGGGTTGTGCATCAGAAAGAGTGCTAATGCAGTGCTTTGCTAATGCAGTGCTTTGCTAATGCAGTGCTTTGCTAATGCAGTGCTTTGCTAATGCATAGAGTTAAAAATCACCTCGGTGTACAGTACAATTGTTTGACAGAGGCTGGCAAAACCACTGTGATAAAGCAATCCACAGCTGCTGCCACGCATAAATATACTGAAATTGTGAAAATTTTTTGAAGTTTTGAATTGTTTAGTTTACCGGAAGAGGTCTGGAAAACAGCTGCCAACGGAAAAATCAATGGAGCGCCCGTTGTGTAGAGCCAAGCAAGTACTGAGAATTAAAGTTATCCCTTGAACTGTATGTACGTTCTTTACTAGTATTGTCTGTATTGTAAGCCTAGTAGTAGAAATACTACACTGCAACACTTTATCACACTAATAGAGGAAGAAAAGATCAGCTCGGTCACATTCTGACACACTGAACCCGGTTGGAACCCGGTTGGAACCTGAGTCAGCACACTGAACCGACTCGTTGTAAGAACCTAGCTCTATTACAAAAGAAAAAATGACTACTTGCCTAATAACTGACTCCCTAATAACTTTAATCTTGTACTAAATTAGCTTTGGATTACATACATGGATAATTATGATGCCTCCACGCTTCGAGTACAAAGAGAAACATAGCGGTGATGATGAGAAAGAAATCGGAGAGCGCAAGAGAAGCCAAATAGATGGAAGTTGAATGGATGCGGTGATGACGAGAGAGGTAAACAGTGACGACGAGAATGTTACCGAAGAGACCGATCACACCGACGACGGCGAGAAGGACGCCCGAGACGGCGAAGTTGTATGTCTGGAAAGACGATTCAATAACTACAGCTACAGTCTTACAGTACTCTATTAAATATGAAAAATTTAATGATAATTAGAGTCTAAACTTTAGCATAACCAATAGATTTGCTTATTTCATTACTTGGAATGGATGCGGTGCTATTACTTGGAATGGATGCTAAAAACTGTGTTTTTTCAGCTCCATTCAACCTTTTGAGCTTTGTTTAGAAATTCTTCTTTGATCTTTTAACCATATTTGTTAAGGATTAGTTATAAAAGTACAGTAAAAACAGGTAAAATACTATTTTTTTATTTTTAAATCAGTAATCTCTTAGTAGATTTTGAGCTTAAAAAAGTAAAAAAGCAAAAACACCCTTTCTTAGGCACTCTTGCTACAAGAAAATTGCGCTAAAAACTATGTTTTTTCAGCTCAAAGTACTATAAACCTATTTTGAATTATATTTGATATCTATAAGTCTACAAGTTTATCTATAAGTTTATCTTTATCTTATCTTATCTTTATCTTTATCTATTGGGTTGGGGAGAATGAGTCGGCGCCAAACTTTAAAGGGACTTTTTTGCACACATAAAGCCTTCTTTAAACATACGTTTGGTTTCATCAAAAGGATCCACTATTTCTCTACAAAATCACTTTTGAGAGATTCCACAAAGCTTTTCTTTCGTGGAGTTTATGAACTTCGAAACGCAGCTGGTTAAAATGGCAAAGAGTCCGACTCATCATTTGAACAGTTTCTTTCACATAAACCTTCTTTGGTGTTTATATAAAAAAGATAGAGCACATTCAATTACTTAAGTTGCCAAATTTGCAGGAAGATCCCACCAATGGTTTTTTTCTAGATCACAGTTTGTAGTTTTTGTGAAAAAATGGCTTTTTCTTGAGCGGAGGCGCTGTTTGAATTTTCTTTTAAATGTCATTTTGTAGAGAATTAGTTAACCATTCTACTCATATCAAACGCATATTATTTGACGAAGTCGAATAGAAGTTTTAGACATTTTTTTTGATTTTCGGCGCCGACTCATTCTCCCCAACCCAATATATATTTATCTATATCTTTATCTTTATCTTTATCTATCTTACTTACTTGACTTTGACCCTAATTTTCTCGATGATTTTCTTAGTAAGTTCACAAAACAAATTCCATATTTCTTTACTCAAATTTCATGTAGATTCTAATAAAAGAAACCGAAAGTTGATTCAGCTTCTACATTTTGAGTTATAGAGGTTTTGAGAGGATCCACCCTTTGAAGTAAGTAGTCTAACTTTGAACAAAGTTTTCTTTATGTTTTTACATTAAAATGTATTAAATAAATTGTGGGTTTTTATAACAGAATTTTATCAAGAATATTTCAAGACCAAGCACCAGTTGATCTGTCAATTGGAAGTTGAGATATGGAGAAAAGAGAAGAGTGGTCGAACTCCGGCGAACAATATTAACCAAATTTTTCCCTTCAATCACCTGATAATCGGGATCTGTACTGCCCAAACAGGCGCTACACCACGTCAAATTCTCATCGTTTTCCGGTAAGGTTTCCATTTTAATCTAAAATTTGATATAAATGATTAGAATCAAATGAATTTTTGAATTTCGAATCAAAGTCGAAAGAAAAATTCGTAAACTGTCACGTTTTTTTGCTACAAAAATTGCCAAAAGACTACAAAATTAGTAGATTGGAGTTGATTTTAAGCACAAAACACACATGAAAAGACTATAGAATATCTACAATAGTGTAAAAAGTCAATTAAACAGCTGAAAATACATGAAAAGGGCTTATCAATGAGTTAGTGCAAAATAGAAAAATGATCGAGCTAGTTTTGGGAACAACGGCTGCTTTACAAGCGCGCCCTTTCTACCGTACTCGATTTTCCATTAGGATCTCAAAATAGCTTGTCCGGATCGTTTTTCTTTTCAATTTTTTTTACTTTAACATTAAATTTTCTCTTTTACTTTATAAAAACTATTAATATGATTACAAAGTTTAATTTAGACGATCCCGATGAAATAAATGATCGAGGAGGGGAAAACGGAGACGATTCGAGAAGAAGGAAACGATTCTCAGGTCAATTTTGGACACTTTTTGATAAAAATATATAGTTTATGGTACCATTAATGCAAAAAAAGCAATATAGCAATGACAATCGATCCATTTTTGTTCAAAGTTGAACTTTTTAAGTGAAAATCTTTGTGGAATGTTGTTGAGAGCTAGAAGTTGACTAGAAGTTGAAGTTTTTTGACTAGAAGTTGAAGAAAATCATATGCAACACATGAAATCTCTTAAACAATACGTTTTTAAAATTTATTTTATGTTTAGAAAGTTCAACTGGATCTAGAAGACGAAGAAAAAGAGTCTTCGACAAGTGAACAACAAAAGGACATCGGCTTAAAGCGAGGATCTACGGGAGGAAAGGTTTGTTTAGATTTTTTTATTCTAAACATAGATAATAGAAGTTGTAAATGACTTGTAAGATGGTTAGTTTTTGACTGTCTAGTTTACATTTCTAATACTTTTTTGTTTAGGAAAAAGCCACCACGGAAAAAAACGCGTTTTGAGGAGAAAGAAATTGAACGAGCCGACGACACGCCAATGAATGTTGGGTACAAGATTGTTGACGGTTTGTTTTTTTTTCTAATAAAATGAAAATGAACTAGAAATTTGCAACTACAATCCGAAAATCAATTGCAAAAGTATTAAAAGTAAAGTACCGTATTTCTTCGAATCGAAGACCGGGTAAAAGTATCATCGCGTACTCCTGCGTAGCAGTCCTTTTAAAATTCTTTCTGCATAAAAGCTTTCAGTGAAGTGCTATAGGGCGGGAAAATGACTCAAAAATACCACATGAGCTAACAGATTTTTGAGCCATTTTCCAGCCCTATAGCACTTGATTGAAAGCTTTTATGCAGAAAAGAAATTTTAAAAAGGGCTGCTACGCAGGAGTACGCGATGATACTCTTTACCCGGCCTTCTATTCGAAGAAATACGGTACTTTAAAATCTTTGAGCTGAAAACTGTCTCACTTTATTTAACATTTTGTCAAATTTTTGAGAAGATCGTTGAATTTTTATGAAACGACAAGAACAAGATTTGATATTTGTCTCATTTGAATGACAAAATGATCAGCTCTGTTCAAAAGCCCCAAAAAGTAAAACATCAAAAACCTTTTGACCGGCTGAAGCCATACTTTGATCGTTGGAATACGACGCAAAGGCTTAGTTTTGTGACGAAAAAACTATAGCTTTTAAAAATATGAACAATCCCTTGTGAATCAATTAATTTTTTAAGTAAATAAACTCGCAAAAGAAAAGTGTATCGATATTTTGCCGGTGTTTCCAATTTGAGCGTAAACCCGGCAATTTGGTATCAGCTAGGTGCAATTATTCGAGAATCCAGTTCCCCTTCATTGAATGACTTTAGAATTTTTTGTTAAAATGATAAAATTGCGAATGGGCGCAGAAAGTCGAAATTGTTGATTAGATAAAGTCTAAATTCCGAAGAATAATTTGTAGATTCAACTGTAGATCAAAGTCTCAGAAAGCTTGTTTTTATTGATGCAAACATTTAATTATTTAAATAAATGGCACAATAATCATTTGGATTGGAGAACTAAAATTTCTCCCAAAAATTTTTGACGTACACAAGAATAATTTCACGGGCAATAGGTTAGATAAATGAAAGGCTGGAAAGAGAGAAATTTTTTGGAAATGGTCATTTGTTTAGCAGAAACAGGGTAAAAATGAAGGCCAATTGGGTAATTTATTCCAAATTTCATTTATAGAGGCCTATTCCAAATGAAAATTGTTTTTTTTTATTCTATATGCTTCCAGTTACAGATTAGTTTAAAATAAGAAAGCAAAAAGAATCCCTCGTCTAAATCTAAATAAACTTTTTATTAAGTCTAGCCTTTCTAGTGAAGGGTAATGTCCAAAAAAATCGTTGAGTTCTTGTTTTTTTGGGTTCACCCAAAGAAGAACTAAAAAGAAAGAGTCATTTCCGATGAGAAAGTTTAACGAAGAAATTTGGAGATTGGAGAAGTTGGAGAGGAAATTAAAGAATACTTCTTTCATTCATCGAATCACATTTTGCAAAAGGCGAAATGCGGATGATTTTGGAAAGATTGGGGGAATGTGAACGGATTTCAGAATAAAATAAAGTAGTGTTAGATTTACCGATAGATTTAATTATTTGAAGACCAATTCTTTTTCTTTAGGCATCCGTTATTTGGATCCGTATTGGGCACCGTGGAGAACACGAACGAAAGGTCGATGGATCGGGAGGAAACTCGTCGAATGCTTTGCTCAGGAATTTCTCTCGGCCAACAAACATTATGCGGTTAGTTTAAAATTTTAAACAGGTACAGTACCGGACAGAATAATATCAATCCCTCGCAAAAACCCCATCTTCAAGCCCTTTTTTCGATATGTAAACGTGGGAGTTACCCTCGAACATCATATATATGTTACGTCCGAATCTGAGGAGACGTCCATCTCCGATCCGGACGTCCGAATCTGAGGAGATTCATTCTCCTCCGAAACGGACGTCCGAATCTGAGGAGAATAATCATTCTTCTCGGAATCGGACGTCCGATCTTGAGAACAAATAGTTTAAATGCAAATCTAATGTTTTGAAAAAAACAAATGAAAAAGGAAGTTAAAATGGAAATTCTCTCAATTTACTTTTTTACTAAAGTACCGTTAACCTTTATAACAAACATAACATAACAAACAAAAAACAACAACGAAAATTAATAGTTGCATAGACCATTGACATTAAAAATAAAATTGAAACAAAAAAGAGACAATAATTACTTGTTAGTACAGCTTTTCGAATAGTGGCATCTCGAATTGCAGAGCAAGTCCTTCCTTCCGAGAAGAATGATTATTCCGAGATTCCGAGAAGAATGATTATTCTCCTCAGATTCGGACGTCCGGATCTGAGTCGGACGTCCGTTTCGGAGGAGAATGAATCTCCTCAGATTCGGACGTCCGGATCGGAGATGGACGTCTCCTCAGATTCGGACGTAACATATATATATTCTGAAAGCTCGATTCAGCTATCTGCTATAGCTATCTGCGAAATGAGATGAAAACCTGTTAAAACCGGTTAAGGGCCACTTTTTCTAGAGCAAAATTTAACGAGGAATTCGAAAAACGAGGTTTCAGAACGATTGGAGCCCGCTATCATAGAGAAAAATCAATTTTGAAAGTTGAAATTTTCAGTGGTCATCTTTGAAGGGTTGAAATGCTTCAAAAACTAATCTGAACTGAAATACAAAATATACCATTCGCTAGATCTTGAATCGAGCTTTCAGAATATATATATATATGATGTTCGAGGGTAACTCCCACGTTTACATACCGAAAAAAGGGCTTGAAGATGGGGTTTTTGCGAGGGATTGATATTATTCTGTCCGGTATTGTATATTACTTGTCTCTCTTACTTGATACAGTCAAATTATGAGAAACAAATTTAATCTAAAAAAATTACATGCATCTATAAATAAAGTTGATATGATCAGGGATATGAAAAGCTATGTACGAGGCAGTTTTTCTTGAGGTTCGCCGTAACAGCGGCGCCCATAAATTCGTTGATCAATTGAACAATTGGAGAACATTTTTCACTCTCTTTTGAGTATCGAATTGAAAGCTAACATGAAAGCGGTTGAGGAGTTGATTTTAGTTAAAGCTTTAAAGCTATTGAATTGATCGATAAAAAAATTGAGTGAAAGAAGTTTTCTAAAATTGTAGTGAATAAAATGAATAAACCCATAAAAACTGCCTAGATTCTTGGTCACTGCAACGAGAGAACTTTTTATGGAGAACATTTTCCAAGAAGATGATCTCAAGAAAAGACAGAAAGCTGCATATTGTGAGCGTTCACAAAGACCCCAAGGGGCACTTTCGGCACCTGCGGGCATCTCTTTGTAGATTTTTCCTATCAGAAGGCACGACCGGATTAATGTCACCTCATATTATCTGAAAGAGCCCCATCCCGAGTCGGCGACGAGTTGAAAGGCCACTCAAAAGGAGATCTCAAGAAAAGGAAAAAATGAAAAGAACCCTTTCATAGGGGCCATGATGCCTAAAAGGCCCGTGACAAACTCGATTTGCGGAAAAGAAAAGGGGAAAAGAAGTTGTGTGATTCTTTCGCATGTGAAGAGCAATAGATGATTTTTGGAACAACACATCGGATGAGGGAAAGTTCCTCCTTTTGAAACACAATTTGAAAGTCTCAGAAATGTGAAACGATCTCTGTAATTAATCCCCCAGGGATTAGGCTTTGAATTGGGGAGATGTAAATTTGAATTATGTTTGTAGCGAGTTCCTGGGCAGTATAGCAGCATGAAAAATTATAAAGATAGAAATTATGATTTGAAAGCACAATTTTATTACTAATGCCAGAACTTTACGGTTGATACAAGTCAAAAGCACAACAGATGAGTAACTGAAAATGAAACAGTTGTTTGCATAACTTTGGGCTTCAATCTCACACGAATCACATATTTTTGGTTTATGATTGAGTCGTGAGAGAGACAGACGCAATGTTAAGGAGGGTTGTGATCGATGTGAACAAGGGCAAAACGATGTGCTTTTGTCTCTTCTCGAGGCTTTGGAAGGTCCCCTCCCTCCCGCCAACCTATCCGGTTTCTTCTTTAATTTCCGTCTGTCAGCGATTTTCCAAAATTGGCCCTTTAGAAGCTTTGTTGTGCTTGAAAAAAGGCATAAAAATGGAGATGAGTCTCGAAATTCTTGATCTGCAAAAAACGAGAACTATGAACTCTAGAGTTTGAATTTAAAGCAGTCGCCTGGAGATTGTAAAGTTCGTGAAAAGTCCGGTAATTTGAAATATCCGGTAATTTGAAAACAAGAATTGAAAGTGAACGCAAGTCCATGACGCCTTTGAGGATCGTAAAAAGTTTGAGAGACAAGAGATAAATGCTCATGCTATATGACTCCATTGGTTCTCATGTCCAAAAGGAATATTTTGGATATAGCTTTGAGAATAAGCAACTAGGAAACAACTTATCAAATGAAACTTTGGATGACTATATTTTAACTTAAAAAGAGAAAAACTTCAGAATTCAGTTCAAAATCGCTTTCCAAATGAGTAATCTTAAAAGAATCTAAGAAGTTGGCCTGTTATCTAGATAATCAAAAGAACCAACTTTTGACGTGGTTCTTTTTGGATGCGAACAACGACTTGCCGAAAAATAATGACCCCGTTCAACCGGGCAGTGGCTAACTCCCCGAAAAAGTCTCTTTACCCCCTTTTTTTGGTCTACTGGGAACAAAGCATGTGGAACATAATGAGTTGTTCCCGGGAAGTAGTCGATTTCGCAAAAGGGGAAATCTTTCGATTCATCTCAATCAATGACGACGAAATTGAAATGTAGTCTAGCTGAGTTTATCTTCAAATCATTTTGAAGAAGAGGGAGCACTTATTGAAAAACGATTTCACCAATTCCCACTTGACGGGGAAAAGAACGAGTTCCTTTTAGCTGACAACTTGAAAGAAATGTTTAAATAAGTAAAACTGGGGGTTTTCATAAGAAATTAATTTTTAAATTTCAGGTAGTTGCGGCGAAACTTGGACGAATGTACGTGAATGGAAAACAAATCACTGACACGGATTATGTGCTAAAAAATGGAGATTCAATCGAACATTGGGGACACCGACACGAACACCCAGTGAGTAAGTTTATTCGTTTTATTCGTAAATTTGCGATTTGCAACATCGACAAATTACTCTAGAATTACTCTAAAATATCTTTTAAACAAAATCACATATTATGGCTTCTCTTTTCAGATCCTCGATTGTCAAATCAAATTTGTTGCTGATACGGAGGACCTTTTGGTGGTGGACAAGCCGGCCTCACTCCCCGTTCATTCATGTGGTCAATATTCACTGCACACGGTTCTCGGAATGCTCCGCACCCAACACAATATTACAGGATTACGGGGTTTCCGCTTAAATAATGATTTTAATTTTGAAACTTTCAGTACTTCATCGTCTTGATCGCACTACATCGGGCATTTTGATGTTTGCAAAGAATTACAGAACGGATTTGGAGGTTTTTAATTTTTTTACTCGATTTAAAGCAATACTTTTAAATTTAGTTTAAAGAAACGCTAAAGAAAGGTCATTGGGTGAAGGAATACGTATGCAAAGTAGATGGTGTGTTCCCAGAGTGAGTTTTAAAAAAAAAACATGTTGCTAGCATTTAAACGGCTGTTTCTACTAGTTACTATATTAAAAAGTTTATTTTTAGAGAAGAAATCCCCCTGCAACCAGCCAATTGGAACGTTGGTGGTCGGGATGGGGATTCAATGTGTTCGACCCGACGGGAAAGAAGCAAGAACACGATTTAAACGGCTATGGACAGATGGAAAGACCTCAGTTTTGAAGTAGGGCTTTTAAAACCTAGTTGATTCTCCGGTAAAGCTATCAAAACTCGCATTTTAGAGCCGTGATTGATACGGGACGAACCCATCAAATTCGCGTGCATGCTCAATTTTTAGGTGAGTTTCGAACGGGGTCTAAGTTATATATACGCACTTTCAGGCCATCCCATTGTGGGTGATCAGATCTACAACTCGGACGCGTGGGGCCCGACGAGAGGCAAAGATGCTGACTATCAAAAGAACTACGAAGAGGTTTGTAAAGAAAACTTTAGGAAGGCAAGATTTCTTTTGAAGCTTGGTGTGATCATTCGCGACAGGCACAAAATGGAGAATTGGCTCGAAGAAGTGCTTCCCGGATACGAAGAAATGATGGAAAGAATGGCGACTGGAGAGGTTGTCTACACAAGAAATTTTGATTTTGATAGACAGACAATTCCAACTAAAAAAGTCAATACTTTTTATGTAGGTTACACCGGAGCCACCGTTTATCCCGCGTGAGCAACGACCCGAAAAAGATTCCGTGTGCTTGAGTTGCAATGTCATCAAGAAACCGCCTTCAAGAGCACATTTTTCGTTAAATTTACATTGTTTAAAGTAAGTTTTGCGTAAGTTGAAGGAATGTAGATAGTATTGAAACTAGAAGGATCTAATGAATGCATTTTGCAAGTACCTAATTTGCATTGTCTAGATATGAGACGGAGAAATGGAGCTACGAGACGGAACTTCCCGATTGGGCAATTGAACCGCACAAAATATCAAATGAAGCGGATTCTTAAGTTATAAATTGTTTTCTTTTTGTCATTTGATTTAATTTTACTCAACTTCTATTTCCAACACAAAGTGATTGAGCTAAATACACAAAATACATAAAAAAATACATCAGCTACAGCTTTGAAATCTGGGATGAGATGGGCATAATTAATCACAATATAATAAGTATGAAGAGGAGGGTCGATAAATCAAGGAATGATTATTATTAGGGTAAAAATAAAACGGCAATTATTAGGGCGTCATAGAAAAACGAATAATAAAATACCTAGGACTTAGAAACCAGCTTCCTTGAAGATCTTCTCGATGTCGGTGTAGACCTATAATTAGGTATGGATTTAAATTTTTGGAGAACGCCGTTTTCAGGTTTGGTGCTTTAAGTGTGAAAGTATTTCGAATCTAGCTTTGGTGTAATTTTTAATTATAAGTTTAACCAATCACTCACCTCATCAGTATCGCGGCATGTAGCAACCTCACGCACAAGTCCAAGCTTCTCGTAGTATTCGATAATTGGATATGTTTGCGTGTTGTAAGTGTGAATACGTTTCCTTAATGATTCCTCGTTGTCATCGGCTCTGAAAAAACAAACATTACTAACTTATGGGATTTAAAATTTAGATGTAACAGATAGAAAATTTTTACCAACCTTCCTTGTTTCCGATTGAGGCATCGACTCACACAAACATCTACTTTGCACGAGAGGTAAAAGCGTGAACTTGACGTCCACCTAAAAACATGTACATTCATTGTTGTAACCAAACACTAATTAGGCAATTGCCTTAACATTAACTTTATTAACTTTATCAACTCTATTTATCAAATTGTCGTAAATTTCAAGTTTTACTTTCTCATTCATTTCGTTGGTCTGCTGAAAATGATCAACGATAATTTTTTTTTTGCCAGGACATGCAGTCAAAGCTTTTTGACCGCAAAAAATGGCACGGGGAAACGGTGTGAAACGCCAGATTACCCCGCACGATAAGGGTCGAAAGGGCTAGCAAAAAGTGCAGATTAACCAAAGTTTTCGACTATTTTAATCGCTCTTTTCGAAAAAAGAACCAAGGAATAAAAAAAGTTGAATCAGGTTAAGATTTAGAGACCCCAATAAATAAAAACCCTACCTTGTCTGCCATGTTCTTTTGCCAGCCGTCCAAATTGTCTTGATTTCGCGGGAAGCCATCAATCAAAAAAGCCAGCGCAATCACCTGATGCCTTCATCGCCTAAAAATAAAATTTTAGGAAAATTTGAGATAAATGTTGGACTCGTACTTCAACGGTTTACAATCAGGAAAATTTCAAAGACTGTAATACTTACATTCTCCAATAAAGCACACGTGATGGCGACGGGGACGATCGTTCCATTGCGAATGTGCTCGGCGATGAGTTGTCCATATCTAAAGAATTTGATTAGTCAAATTGCGTTTTAACTTTGAAGAATCATGTGACTTACTGCGACTTGGATTCTTGTTCCTCTCGCAGTAAATCACCGGCGGAAAGATGAACGAGACCAAAGTTCTAAAATTAATATTACAATGAAACGTTCAAAAGCTGCATAAACTGTGATAGCCCCAGCCGAAGAATAATACCTTTTGAATCAAAGCGCATTGGGTTCCTTTTCCCGATCCGGGTGGTCCGAGGACAAAGACGACTTTGTAGAGGTTGGACATCCCTCTCGCGACTGATCGACCCCCTATAAAAAAAATGGATAATGTTATAATAAACTTGTGTTACAAAATTTAAGGTTCAGTTTTAATCAAAAGATTGGGGTAAAACTCATGGAAGAGGAGCTCTGCAAAAGTTTGGATGCTAGTGAAAGTGGAGCTCTTATTCATCGGAAATTATCTAAGATCTCCGACAAATGTGAGCATTCATTTTCAAATTTGTTTCACAAATATAACTTGAAACAAAAAGTCAGAGCGTTCATTGGCATTCAAAAATCTTTTTGGGGCATTACTAAGTGTGAAAATTGGGAGGGGAAAGGTGAGAGTTCAAAATGGAGCCATTTGAACACGTGCAAGGCACATGGCTCGCAAAGGAAGGGCTTTCGAATTTGAAAAAAGCATACATAATGTATCTCATTTCTAAAGATCCAAAGAAAACACTAGCTTTGTAAGCATTTCGATCAAAAGATGTGTATATGTTAAAATGGGATTCCTTTTCAATCGTAACACATGTGTGTCTGCTAGGGTCAAAGGATGCGCCGAGAAATAGGGAGAAAAAGATTAAAGATAAGGGAGAAACGAGTCGTACAGCCCACTGCTCACACCCCTTTGCCCAATATCGTCGAAAATTTGTGAGGAAATTAATTTTGAAAGCAAATTAGAGAATGTTGTCGAATTTTGAGCGAGTTCTGCAAAAAGCCGTCTGAAATCCGGTTTCATTGAAAGAATTGAATGCTGAACTAATTTTCATAGCCGTTCAGGGAATGAGATAGACTTTCTCATAGACATTTATAAGACAAAGAAACTCACTCGCCCAAATGCTACTGCCAAAGAGTCGTCGGGTTGCTATTTGTGCTGAAATTAAGCTATAAAATCTTGTTTGACGATTATAGTGTTTGATAGACATAAAAATTGATGTTTAAACGCCAAAACTTCAAAAATGAGAGTAACTTCATAATCAGTATTTATTATACATATATAAATTATTAAACCGGAAGAATCAAATCAATTTTTCATATCCGGTGAAAAAAAGATGGCAAAGTAGAGAATATCCCGATGTTGAATCTCACAATTTGTAGTCAAACTCTAAAAAAGAACTCGTAAATATAGCATTTCTTTGTTAATCTGAAATAACTAGTACTAGGTAAAATATTGAGCAAGTCAATTAAAAAACTAATTAGCTTATAAAATTAGCCCCTATTTCTTTAGCTTCTGTGCTTTACATGAAAAAGTGCAAACCAACTTTATCAATACGCATCATCCATGTCTGCTTCCTTCAATTTTCCCTTTGCAGAGATTGCCGTCTTTCGTTGTTCAATCTAAAGAAATTAAAATAGAATAAAAGAAGCGTAAGATTACTTTTCGTTGGCGCTCGTTCCTCTCCTCTTCCATACGATTCATTTCCTCGACTGAAATCTAAAATTCAAAAGATTTTAACAATAACGAAACAAAATGACAACCAGTTTTGCAAAGCTTAATGATAGAGGTAGCAAAAGATCACCTTTTTGGAATTTGATATGCTTTTTCGCTAGCATTATCCTTAACGTTTCTTCACATAAAACGTTTTATTAACGCTTAGAACTAATAGCTTAACCAAAAAAAGATGCGTTTCCAATTCACCTTTTCAAGTTAACCCTTAAAACACCTGCCTTCGTTAAGCCAGTGTCGACCGTCTCATCAATTTCCCCCGCTAGCACGACGTTCTCTCCTCGAATCAACAGAAATCCTTGGCGAATATCGCTGTAGTACTTGTCGAAAAACGTCCTTTCCACCACTTCATCCAATATCAGATTCGCGAATTGGTCGATCGAGCGCAAACATCCGACAAGTTTTCGGCCATCACGTAGAACGACGATGAGTCGCTTGTCGAGTTGATCGAGAAGACTGATTGCACCCGGTAGATAAGGATGTGGCAACTCCATCTTGAATCTTGAAAAAAATATAGTTTTAGATTGAGTTGAGAGCTCCAAGAGAAGAAAGAATAGAGCGCGTAAAAAGAAAAGCGATGGCCGACGCGGCAATACAAATTACGCATTAAGGTCTCGAGGCAAGCGACGCGACATTATTTGTCCCGCCTACCGTAATCCATTCGGGCCATTTTCTTTTCTTTTTTCAAAGTTGAAATTGCTCCACTAACAATTTCTTTCGTACTTTTTTGTTTCTTTGGCTCATTTTGCAAGCAAAACTTAATATTTTTGATTTCAGGCAACATGCCGCGGGTAAAATGTGTCCATTCGAAAGTCACGAAGACCCCACGCCGTCCATTCGAGAAGGAACGTCTCGATCAGGTACTTTTTTTTGTTTGTTTTATATATTTTGGAGTAAAAGTTGGTTAAACGGCAATAATACACATAATCTTTGTGATAATCGTCCCTCTCTTTGGAAAATATCCTACTTGCCAAAACGATGTCAATTGTTAACGGGTTGCAGGAGTAGTTCTGTGTTTGTAAAAGATTCTAACCATGATGTGATCGTGAACCGATTTCCAATCTAGGAAAATTTCTGGTGGTTTTGCGCAGTTTTGAACCATCTAAATTTTGCGACTAAAGGGTTGTGGTCTTGCTATTGGTTTAAGCAAGATGTGAAATTCAACGGGTTATTTTAGTTATCAGGATCGTTTTAAAAATCACTAGCATAGTCGTTCCCCTCCGCTTTGGAAAAGATCCTACTTGCAAAAACGAAACATCGAGATAGTCAACCTTTCAACAAACTTTTTAAAAAGTTGTTGTTTTCTAAAAAATTTTAATTCTTTTCTTTTTAGGAACTCAAGCTCATCGGCGAGTTCGGTTTGGCCAACAAGCGTGAGGTGTGGCGTGTGAAATACACCTTGGCCAAGGTGCGCAAAGCTGCTCGAGACCTGTTGACATTGGAAGAGAAAGACCCTAAGCGTCTTTTCGAGGGAAATGCTCTTCTCCGTCGTCTCGTCCGCATCGGTGTGCTCCCAGAAGACAAGATGAAGCTCGATTACGTCCTCGGTCTCCGTGTTGAGGATTTCCTTGAGCGACGTCTCCAAACTCAAGTGTTCAAGCTCGGACTCGCCAAATCGATTCACCATGCGCGTGTTTTGATCCGCCAAAGACACATTCGGTTAGCTTTTCACTTTATCTAGTAATGGTATTTGAAGTATTAATATATTATTTTTGAGCATTAAAAGACCATGTAAAAATAAATTAAGAACGATGGGGAATTGATCAATTTGTTTTAGTGTTCGCCGTCAAGTCGTCAACGTTCCTTCATTTATGGTTCGACTGGATTCCCAGAAGCACATCGAATTCGCACTTACATCTCCATTCGGAGGTGGCCGCCCAGGAAGAGTGAAGAGACGTTCGATGAAGAAGGGTGATGCTGGAGCCGGAGACGATGAAGAGTAAATAATTTCTTTTTTGTTGATAAATTTTTGTTATTTGGGACGCATAAATTACCTTAAATACACTTGGAAAGACATTACATGAACTAAAAAATTGGCACAAAAGCTTCTTAGCTTTAAAGGTACGACAAAGGGAAATCACCATGATTTACTAAGATTTGATGATTTCATATCTAGAACTTACTGATTTCTTTCTTGGACTGTGCGAACCTCTGTACACTTGACACAAGGCATAATCTTTTATTTTTCTTGAACGAAACCGGAACTCTAGTATTTTCAAAAAGAATATTTCGTGAGTTTGACGCAATTTGTGGCGTCTATGTGGTACCCGTAAGTAGAGATTCTCCCTTGCCTTCCTACGTCATCCTTGGCTCAGAACTATTTGTGAAATACATAATCACCGCTTAGGGTGTAGGCTTTGTGAAGGTGTCTTGTCGTGGACACGGTTTTCGTTGAGAGTTTTGCGGGGGCTTATGCAGGGATGGTTGTTCGCCGTTTCGTGTAAACCCAAGATTGATAAGGAAACTTGCCAACAATCCGTGAATAACATTTGCTTTAACGGGGCTCGTTTTTTTTAGGGACGATGTGGGCGGAGTCAACAGCGGATGGTATCCCTCACCCCTCCTTCAAATAGCAATACCATGAGGAGGTATTTCAGAGCAAAGGACGGGGTTTCATGAGAATTGAAAAGTCCTCTCCTTTGAACATTTCCTGATTTCGTTTTCTTGAATAGGCCAAGTGATGAAAAGAATATACGAAACAGCTTGTTTAACTTTTTAAAGCAGTAACTTCTTCCACATTAATCTTACTGTTATTTTTGAATTGATTTGCAGTTTATTAGCTTGACATTTCGAAGTCCTTCATCTTATTGATTCTTAAAATTTACAATTTTTCATTACAATTTACACTTTCAGCTAATCAACAGCCATGATTGGGATGGTGAATGTGCAGTGCGACAGCACAATGGACTTCTATGCGGCTCCAAGGTGACTATTTCGAAAAGCTTTCTATTTGAGGCTAGGGCTAGGGCTAGGCTCTCTTCTTCTTTCTGTAAACCTATGTTCATTTTTCCATTTTTCCTTTAAAGGCGTTCACCAAACGCCGCCGCGCAGGCGGAAGCGAATTCGGCGGTGGTGGCTGAGATTGGGAATGAGAAAGGAAATGGAAAGAAGGAGAAATCATCGAACGTTCAACGGAAACTCTCTTACAGGTCACTCAATTTTCAGCTCCTCCAAAAACGGTCATCCAACTTCTAGACCGCTCTTCGGCCGACGAAAAATCGAGAAGATCGCCTATTCGGCTGATGGAAGAAAGATGAGCAATGGGGAAGTGCTCGAGGTGAGTGAATGGGATATTGTAAAGTGAGATAGGATTTAGAAATGTTACAGTTAGATCGAGAATATCGAGTATACCATTGATCTTTGATAAGTGATGGGTTAGCTAGAATATCTTGAGCGTTTGTGTTAAAGTTTTGGATCCAGTTTGGATCATTTCCGCTTCCAAAGCTAGAGTTCTTTCAAAAATGTTTTGGCTTTGATTCTTTCTTTCTTTGCATTTTCAGCTGACTAACGAAAATTTCAATTTTTAGCTTTCAGAAAGGGAAACTACATTATCTTTAATCGTTAGTGAAAGAAAAAGAACTTGGGTACGAAAATTTTCCTTTACTGGATTATTGTAGTTTTTCCTATTGTCTTTGGCTTTAGCAATTGTTAATTTCCAAAGCATTTCCCATTTCAAAATCAGGGGTAGGCTAGTTTCCGCAACTTTTTTTGCGCAAGAGGGTCATTTGCGCAACTCACCATAACTTTCTTCTAAGTGGGCTAATCTTTATGATTTTGATTTCATTTTGTAGATCTCAATAAGTGCACGAAAATGAAACCAAATTCATAAAGATTAGCCCGCTTAGAAGAAAGTTATGGTGAGTTGCGCAAACGACCCAGTTGCGCAAAAAAAGTTGCGGAAACTAGCCTACCCCCAAAATCAAAATCAAAATCAAGAATCCTTATCAAAGCCAAAACATTTGCAACTTTTACTATCCACCCACTCTCGAAATTTTTCAAGTTTTTACGTCATTCCTTCGCGTTTTAAATCTATTTTGTGTTTATTTTTCCACCCCCAATTTTCTCTAGCTCAGATTGAATCTTTTGACCCGGGCTATTATCCTTTTTTTTGGATAGGAAATCTTTTGTGAATGGGCTGAGTCAAATGTTTACTTTATTTTCCGGCCTGTCCCTTCCCTTCTTTAACCCGGAATAGATTGGGAGAAAATTTTGAAGACTTTTGAAGAATTTAGAAGACTTGCAAAAAAGGAAGAAAGAAGAAAGAAAGGTTTAGAGCTAGTTGAAGTTAATTTTATAAGGCACCTTTTAGAACCTTTTAGGTACCTTTTAGAACCCTGTAACCTTTTAGAAAGTAGTCAAAAAGTAAAGCTTAATCAAAAAGTTGAACATTTCTTTAAAAACCCTTCAAATTTGCAGAAGCACAGTCCAAATAAACTTTGGGAGGAGTTGATCATTCGCACGTTCGCGAAGAAAGTCGAGGATGATGTGAAGTGCCCATTGGAGGGGATGAGACAACTTGGAGAGGGAATACAAACGATTCGGAATCTAGGTGAGGATTGGGATTGAAATTGAAATTGAAACAATTGAATTGAATTGAATTGAACAACAATTTGAAACAAATTAGAATATCACTAAATAAACTTTAAACTACAGTTTTGAAGACTGTAGCTACAGCTAGTCTAGAAATCTAGCTTGATGTGCTTTTTGCTTGATGTGTAAACGCGAGCTTTCTGGTGCGCTAGATTCTTGAAAACTTGGAATCTATGATCAATAGACTTCTAGCGATTATAATTTTAACATCTATAAGCTCTAGTGTGCTAGCAAGCGTGCGTTTGCTAGAGCACAAAGAGCAGAACGGGTTTGGGCTGGCTTACTTTTAGCATTGAAATTTCTATTTTCCTTAAAGTCCATCCCAATCACTATTTCCAAAAAACTTATCATTTTCATTTCTTTTCCAAAAACCCTTGCACAGTGCTTGTTAATCTTTCTTCTAATTCCCGTTGTCTTTCACGGGATTATGAATAGGTGACAATGAGTGGTACAGGCACAGTAAATCCTTAAATTCTTTGAGTTCTTAAAAAGAAATCAGAAAACGTTTAGGAAAAAAAAATAGGAAATTGAGAAAAGAAAAGAAAAGAATCGATTGATCGATTGGTTTTGAAATTTAACTTAACAGACTAAAAACTTAGTCAACTACCTAATAACCTACCGTAAATACTGTAATAGTACCTCACCACAATAATGACGGTGCGGAGTGTTACGTAATCTAGCTTTGAACGAGTTTTTCTCGACACTGGTTTATGCTACAATGCTCGTTTAGGTATCAAAAAATAGCTGAAATTCAGGGCTATTTTTTGATACTAAAGACACATTTTTTGAAAGTACGGGAGCTTTGAAAAAAATGAAATACTAAAAAACTTTTGCGACTACGCGACTGGACGAGGGCGGGTGGGGTACTATACAGTATTTACGGTAGTCAACTATTTAACAGACTAACAACAGTACAGTACGCAGCAGGATTATTGTTCAAAATAGACAGGTGCTGGGTCGCCAAATTCATTTCGCCAAATGCAAATGGCTTTTCTGAATCACATTTTATTAGAAAACAAAAGTCTAGACAAAAGACAAAAGGACTTAGAAAAGTTAATGCGCTATTCTCCAAGTCAATGCGTTGTTCCCAATGTTGTGGAGAGGGGATGGTTGGTTGCTTTAATTGTGAGATGCGGGAACGCGTAGCACAGGAATGTGAGCTACTGCTTTAGCTGTTAAAAGGCTTCAGCGACGTAGCGACTATTCTCAGCCTGTTTATTCTCATCAGCTAGAATGCATTTGGCGATTTGAATCTTTAGTTCAAACTAATTCTTGAGGCTAAGAATAACAATAAAATAAAATACAATAAAATAAAATACAATCAAAAGAATAACAATAAAATTCTAGATCGTCAACAATCGTGCTCAATGTATTCACTTGTTTCCGATCATCGTTTGATGGCTGAGATTGAAGAGGGAGAGAAAGATGAGGAGCACTTCCATCAACAACAGCAACAACGCCCGCTCAAGGTGGTCGGCTTCTCTTTCGATTAAGCGATTCAATATCCTCTCAATCCACAGTTGCACACATAAAATTTGTTAATATTATTTATTTTTTTGAAAATGCACGTTATCAGTTTAACTTTGGCTACTCTAACTTTAACTAAATTTGCACAGAAACATAGATTAGATCTAGATTAGACTAGATCTAGTCTAGATTAGATTTAGATCTAGATTTAGCTTGCTTGGATGAAGATAAAACAATTCTTGAGCTCGAGAAACTTGTACAGCTCGAGAAACTTATACAGAATCGTTGGTTTAGATTTAGCTGGATGAAAGTCACTGTCACTGACCAGCCACTGACCTTCATCCAGTTAATCCAAAGAGTACGATAGCTTTTTCGTATTTTAGAAAACGAGAAGTTTAATAGTGATCGAGTAGCATAAATCTTAAGATTATGAAATCGTAAGCTTATGAAATCTGAATGAAAATTGATTCAATAAACAATTCCAGGGCCTCATCGAAGAGCCCTATATGGGATTTGGTGACGATGGATGCGATGGTGTTCGTGAACGGGCCACATCCACTGTTTCATATCCGGAGACTGCGGCAAAGATCACAAAGATTGCCGCCGCTCGCCGCCATCACAGCCATCATGCAAAGCGAGCCTCGGATATTCTCTGAAATCTGGCGATGAAATCTGAAATAACGATAAAATACACATTTTTAAAGCACTATCTATTGTCTAACTACAGTATACTGTAGCCAGACAATCAGACAGACAGCCAGACAGACTACGGTAACTTTAAAGTATCTTTAAATTCTTTAAACTTTAAATTTTAAACATTTTTTAAAACTTTTTTTAAACTTTAAATTTTAAACATTTTTTAAAACTTTTTTTAAACTTTAAATTTTAAACATTTTTTGAAACTTGAACCAATTTCTTTTCATCTAAATTTCATAGCTCAGCTAATTTGTATATAGTGCATATCCAAAAATCAATAAAACCCTAAAAACATTTTCATTTTATGATGATTTCAGTGAGTTTTCCGTTTTTCTTCGTTTTGCCTTGCTTTATCGGCTTTAAATCCTGGAAATCTTTCTTTTTATTGAAAACTTGAACGTTTTTTATGCTTTTCTACAATAAAATTTTGTTTGTTAGCAGTTTTTCACAAAAAAAATGCAAACTTATGCAAAACTTTGAAAGAGCAAAACAAAATAGTACCAAAAATGTTAAATTTAAATGTAATTTCGAAATTTTCAAATATAAATTACCACTTAACGGTTATATTTAAAGCTAAAGCTCGCCACAAAATCATTTGCTTATTTTTTGTGAGGTTTCTTCTGCTTGTTCTGCTTTGTTTCTTCAAAATCCACTTTCGACCATGAAATTCCCGTGAGTTTTTGATTTGATTTTGTTATTTTACTTTAACTTTACCTTTGATAACTTGAATTCTTTAAAGTTTTTGCTTTGCATCTTTGCCATTTTGCCTCTTTGCCATTTTGCCTCTTTGCCATTTTGCCTCTTTGCCATTTTGCCATTTTGCCATTTTGCGTGCTTTGGTGTATAAAGTTACCGGTTTTTGCGTTGTTTTACACAATTTCTTTAGTGAAGATGTCCCGGTGGGAGCCTATGTGCCGCCAATCCTTCGCTCGGCCACCATTGTCCCATCCGATTGCACATTCACCGCCCGTTACAACAAGAACACGAAATTGTAGGAGTTCTATTTCATTCTTTGACATGATTGTTTTTAGAATCAACTACAAGTACGAGATGACTTGGAACGAGCTGCACGAGTCGCTGGATAGAGCTGAAGAACGGGGTGAGCGTTAGCATGGTTAACTTTGTAATGTTTTTGCTTTAGATGATAGTTTTCACAAAGTAGAAGCGATTGAGCCAAAAGTGATGTGTGACGGTGTTTGCAAGAAAAAGCATAAACCAAAGAAGCTGTCGGTGAGCGTTTACATTGGATTCCTGATGGTTATTTATTTTTAGCAACGAGGACGATGTGGCCATTACTTATGTGTTCCTTGCTCAACGCTTGTCAAGAACCCGGACGGTATTTCATCATTGCATACAAGTAATTCTTTGCTTTAGGAACTGATGGTTGTTCGGCTTGGCAATGTTACCGCAGTGCCTTTGGTTGGGAGTCCGAACAACAGGCCAAGAAGTACTACGAGACTCGAATTTGCGCGAGCAAGGAAAGGGACAAGCTCCAACCGGTGGTTCGTATTGAATTCAAGCTTTTAACTGCTGTTTTTAGATATCATGCTGTGCCTCTGTTGCGAGCGCCAACAAATCGCCTATTTCGAGTTCGCCGTTGGCTACATCGACACCGTAAAGTTTCATGTGTATTTTTATATAATTTTGTGTTTAGGATTTCAAAGCCGAGTCATTCGGTTTCTCTCTCACAAGACGTCTCTCGGCTTCAGCGCTCTTCCAGTGAAGTAAATGATATTTATCGTTGAATAAACTAACCTATAACTTTTAGCCGCGTTCTTACGGAAACACGTCTACTCGTGCGTATCAATATGAAATGCTGTTGGTGAAGATTCTCGAGCACGAAGTCATTCCAATCAATCGTCGTCATACAAAGATGTATGAGGTAGCTTGTGTCTAAATTCTACGATTTTCTCTTTAGGAAGAAGTCGGTGGTGAGGTGACCCTTGAGAAATGTCTGAATGAGATTATCGGGCCCCGTCCGCTCAAGTACGTTTCAATTGCAACAACGTTTATAAATTATATTATTTTAGGGATGGTCAAGTCTTTCTGTTGACGAAGGAGTACCCCTCGAAGAAGCATGTCTTGTTCCTCATCAACAAAGAGGCTAACAGGGGACTTCCGCTTTACAAGGTGCGTTTGTTTTGTGGATTTTCATGAACACCGAGTTTAGCTTGCGTCGATTGGCGGAAAGCCTGAGATTCAAATTGCCATTGACTACAGCGGTCAAATGCGCAGCAAGAAGGTTCTCTGAAGGACAGCACTCAACGAATGATTTACAAACTTGATCTTTATTTGTGCAATACCATGTTTTTGTGAAAATTTTATGAGGCGAATAGTAAACGGTTGGAATGAAGATTGTTAGTTGAAATTAGACGTTGTAATAACTACAATTTAAAACATTGGAGGGGTAGTTATTAGACTTTACCTTTTAGATCTAGTACTCTTCCTTATCCAAAAAAGCATGCTGACAGAAATTTGATGAAATTTCTGTCAGCATGCTTTTGGAAGTCGGGTTGGTTTAGAATGCTTCGTTGATTTTCTTCAGCCTATCCGTTATAGATTTGCAAACGAAAAAAGGATAGCTCCAACACTCCAATCTTTCGTTCGAAATGAAGAACTTGAACATAGACATTTTCCGATGGACAAGTTGTGCTACAACTTGAAGTTGGAAGTTTGAGAAGAAATAGATGGCGAGGATGTAGTAATCTAGATGTTTCCGAAATTTGCATATGTTTTTCATTTAAAAGAATTCTTATCGATCAAAAAATCATTTCTTATTCCGGCTACTTTCCCATTTGGACGTTTCTGCAAATCGATAATTTTCAACGCAAACGACAACAATATGTGCCGAGGGTGAGTGAAATTTTGTTATTTTTTTACTTGTTCAAGTAGTGTCTTATTGTTAATAGTTTTTTCTTATCTTTGTTGGGGAAATAGGAGCAACTACAGGATGTGCACTGTTAAGAACAAATATTATTGACAGCTTGGACTAATTAGCGTCGGAGTTTATGTCCTTTTTCAAATCCTTTTGTTTTAGAGTTAACAACAAGAAAGGATCGACAAACGAAGGGGACATCATCCGTCGAACTGGAGCGAGTGACAAAGAGAAAGAAGAGTCACCAAGCCGAGATCAGGATCCGGGACCGAACACTCCGTCACCTCCACCAACGAAAACTGCACAAGAAGGAGGAGGAGCCTCAGCTTCCGAGAAACACAAGGTAAAAGATTTCTACTTTTACCTATACCTGTGTTAGTTGCTTTAAAACAATTTTTATTATTGTTTTTGGGAACCAAAGAAAGACGAGACTGGAGTGATAGAAAGCAGAAAGGATTCAAAAGATGACGCCGTTCCTGGAGCTGAACAGCAAGTACGTTTTTAATCTTGTTCTTTATTTAGCAATGGTTATTGCATAGTATATTTCAATTTAGGTCCACAAATGGATTCAACGGACTCTCGACATGGGCGTACCGGCTCTTCGCAACGAGTATCGCCAGTTATCGAAATGGTGTCCAGAGGGAATGACGTACGATGCTTTCAAAGCCAATCAGGGAGCTCAACCGCAACGAAATCGGTAAGCTTTAGATGTATAAGTTATATCTTAGATAAACCTACTGATAAACTTTATTTTTAGATATCAAGATGTACCATGTGGAGATGCGCGTCGAGTGGTGATCAAGTTCCCGGGAGCTCCATGCGAATACATCCATGCCAACTTTGTGAAGACACCGCAGGCCGAGAATCGTTTCATCTGCACCCAGGGACCTCTCGAAAACACGGTCGTCGATTTTTGGTTAGTTTGCGCCTTTTTGTAAACTAGAAAAACTTTTTCATTTTAGGTACATGGTGATTCAGGAAGCCGTCGAGACAATTGTCATGTTGTGCAATTTTTTGGAAACTGGCAAAACCAAATGCCATAAGGTTGAGCTCATTTTTTAACGCACCCAACTGTTTTTTTAGTATTTCCCGATGGAGAAAGATGAGACGATGACGATCACTCCAGATATCACTGTGACGAACACCAAGGTGGAAAAATTTCTTTTTCTTTGTGATCTTATATTTAGATTGGACCGATGTGCCCCGAGGAACCTTCTGTAAAGCTCTCAATGCTGAAGGTGAAATTCAAGAAAGACGGAAAAGAGGAGACACGAATGGTGGGGTTCGATTTATTAATCTTAGAGAACATTATTCTCTAATAAGTTTGCGCTAAATAAAAATCATTGTTTTGTTTTAGATCCGCCACTTCCATTGGCAGGACTGGCCAGATCGCGGCGTTCCACCATGTCGCCTCACATCGACGGTCGGTTTTTAAAAGCTGCCTACCACTTTGTTTTGTCTATCCAATTTTTTTTTTTCATTTAGGAGCTTCTTTCGCGAATTCGTGATAATCAGAAGCCAATTGTGGTGCATTGCAGCGCGGGAATCGGTCGAACGGGCACGATTGTAGCAATTGAGTGAGTTTACCGTGGATAAATTTAACCCTTCTTCTTTTAGACACGTACTTGAGAGCTTGCAATACGGAAAGGAGTGTGTCGATATGGATAAGTTGCTCAAGGAGCTACGCGAGCAACGGCCTTGGTCGATTCAAAATGATTTAGTTGATTTTGGCTCTTAAAAAAATTGTTTATATTTGTACATTTAGCAATACCTCTACATTCACCGCATTCTTCTCTACTACTTTCTCGAAAAACACAAGGCAAAGAACCAGGTAGCGAATATATAGCTGCCTTATTTCACATTTGTGTTTAGGCCTTGCTTACGCCCGACAATCAGGCTAAGTACAAGCAGTTCAGCGAAGAGTACGAGAAAGCGACCACTTGAATGAAAGAAAATTGAGACAAAACGAGAAACGAGACAAATCGAAACGTAATTTAGTATTGTCTTTTAATCGATATCGAGTTTTTAATCGGAATAAATCGTTTATTGGTTGCTTCTTTTTTTGTTTAATGTTTATTGTTATATCGCTAACAAATAACTAAATGATAAGCAGCACCAGGAAGTAGAAAAGTGAAAGACGTGAATGGGTGTGGAACGGATAAGGACAATGATTGAATATCTATCTTGTTTCTGTATGCTGTAATGAAAATATTTAAACTGTACAATATCTTTAATGTTGATGGGGTTTCTGAAGAAGTGGAGATGGTTGTGAGAGTGGGCCGCCAACTAATCGGTCCACTCGAATTGAGTCTCGTTGAATGCGTTGCTTTTGTCGGATCTCGCCATAAGGAATCCGATAACAAGAACAAGAACAAACCTGAAAATTTTACGTTTCAGTTTTCACCAGCTGCAACTCACCGATATATTGTCTTCATCTAGTCGTGCTCCGAAAGCGGTCTCTTCTTCATCTGACGAGTCATCAACTTGGATGAGACCCCGTTCGGCGAGAAGAGCTTGATGCGCGTCTCGTTTCTCGTCCTAGAAAGCAAGTTACGATCCAAGGTATGGTTTTATGCTTCGAAATGCTTTGGCAGATTTGGGATTTTGATTTTGCAAAGAAAGCGTTTTGGAAGTATAAAAATAAAGAACGGCGTCCATGGTCGCTCTTTTCCTTTTCCTACGTTATTCATTTTCAAAGCTATTTTGCAAATGATGGAAGGAACCGAGGGGAGTCGAACCCTCGACCTTTCACTTTACAGGCAGGCGCTCTACCCATTGAGCCTTAGGCACTTTATCCGCCAGAGCGAGCGAAGCTGATTTTCTACCATAACTCAAAAACAAACCTCGGTATTCATTGTGAGGAACCGCAAGACAAGCAAATTCATCGCCGCCGAGATCACCGCCAAACCGAACATGATGAAAACTAAGGAGAATATCACGTAGTCTGGCCTTTTCTGCAAAGCGCCATCCTTTTGCAGGGCTACGAAATCGCCGAAGCCTGAATTGAAGGGTAATCTTTTGTAAAGAATTGCTCAAAATGAGATGCTGCTCGTCGTTTCCTTACCGATTGTCGTTAGTGTGGTGAAACAATAGTAAATCGAATCGAAATACGACCATCCCTCGTATTGTTGAAAGGCGTACGCGCCAGCCACAATCAGAAAAGTGCCCCAGCCCGAGGCTATGAAAATCAGATCGCCCTGGGTTACCTAGAGGATTTCGGAATGGTTGAGAGTTTTTATTTTTACCCACCTCTGGCGCTCGCCCGGATATCCGACGAATGAAGCGCAATAGCTGTGCGGCGAAAGTGTTCATTCGTTCACCTAGAAATTTGATTAAGCTGAGATTCAATAGCCTATAGAAAGTGGCTATTAAAAGCTACCGTACTTCAAAATAAAATAGATTCACGACTGACTTACTGTAGTTTTTATAGACTTATAGCTACTTATAGCTTTATAACTTTTTTGAATGAAATCGAAGCCTCACCGATACTTTGAAACATCACAAGTCCAAGCGGGATCCCGGCCAACGCGTACAACATACAGAAAATCTTTCCACCTGTTGTCATTGGCGTACTGTGACCGTAACCTGAAATTTGTTCAAATTTCCATACGATTAGTGCGCCAGAGAGTGGGCGTTTGCTAGAGAGCACAAATCACAGTTCAAAGATTGTCTTGGTTACAGAATTAAGCTTCTAATGCTACACAAAATGCAAATTTTAGATATTGGATTTCTTCTTAATTTAAATTCAAATAAATAAGCCACTCACCAATCGTCGTGATGACGGTGGTAGCGAAATAAAAAGCGCCGCTGAATTTCCATTGATAGCCACCCTTATGTGGCACGCTTTTCACGATGATTGCCTAAATAGGAGAAATATTAAAGCGAATTATAAAATAATTGTAAAAAATATGAGATAAACGAGTAATAAATGGTGTTTTTTTCGATTTAAACCGAAATTTTCACCTCTAAAATATCGTAATCCGCTTCGGACATGTTGTACTTTTGGAGAAGCATTTTGCGAATCTTTTGCACGAGACTTCTCTAGAAAATTTGAGATTTTAAGGAAAATCCCTTTTTATTATTAGAAAAACGTTTAAAAGTTTGATTTTGACACTTAAACCACTTAAACCTGTTGCATTTCGTTGTCCGATTCGAGCGCGTCGAAAACCGCCGCTCCAACCAAGAGATAGGTGAGTGTGCAGACGATAAGAGAAAGTGTACGGACATTCTGAAGAAAATATGTAATATAGAACATAGAAAATAGGAGTTAAACAGTAGTTAAACAGTATATTAGTTAAACAGTTTACCGGAATTTAAACGGATCGAATTTGACCGATTAAAAGCGAAAATCAGATTTGAAACGCTGTACACTTTTCGTCAAAATGCTACCGTAATACCTCTAGCGTAGTCTAACTTTGGACGCATTTTTCTCGCCACTCGTTTGTGCTACAGTGTGCGCTTACATATCAAATGAAAGCTGAAATTTAGGGCTATTTTTTGATACCAAAAATGTATTTTTAAAAATTATGAGCGCTTAGAAAAAAATGATTTAATAAAAAATTTTCTTGCGACTACACGACTGTACGGCGAAGGGCGCTACTATTAGAGGTATTACGGTAGCTCTTTTCACCAGATCTTTTCTGGTGTCTTTTCCTATTTTTTTGCCAAAGATCTCCGATTCTGATTCTGATTTTAAAAAAATAAGCAGAATTTTGGGAGTGGGACAAATGCGACCTTTTTTTTGCGCACCCGGACATTTGCGCACCTTTTTTTCCGCACCTTGCCCATTAGCGCACCTTTTTTTTCGCGTTTTAAAAAAGCTCTAAAAAGCTAATATTCTAATATTAACCAATTTCTATTCCAAATGTTGTTTTTCTAGGTAATTTGAGGGTGTCGAATTCAAATTTTGACATAACAGAGCCATATCAGAGCCAGTGGAACCAATTTGAAAGACAAAACGGCTAGAGCAAATTACAGAAAATTGTCGCTTTTTCTCTTTGTATAACTCCGTCCGTTTGTTTCCACAAGCTCTGATATGTCAAAATTTCGATTCTACGCCCTACAATTATCTAGAAAAACAACTTTTGGAATAGAAATTGGTTAATATTAGCTTTTTAGAGCTTTTTTAAAACGCGAAAAAAGGTGCGCTAATGGGCAAGGTGCGGAAAAAAAGGTCGCATTTGTCCCACTTCCAGAATTTGAAAAAAAATACGGAATCAGTGTCTGATTGAAGATTGAAAAATGATGAAAAATCGACTTTGCTAATTTTTAATCATTTCTTTTTCTAAGCTGATATTAAAGCTGATAATATTTGTAATATCTGAAGAAATGACAGAAATGACTGCTTTCATTTGATATTTAAGCGTGTAAAAACAAACGTGTCTAGATATGAGCATTTGTTTAAGTTTTAAAGGCTAAATTTAGACTACGCGACGCTCCTATTGAAGCTTTTCTTTTTTTCTTTAACTTTTAAGACTAAATTTAGACTACTCGACGCTCCTATTGAAGCTTTTCTATTAGGAGATTTATGGTAAATTTGTAAGATAAAGAATTTTTTAACAAGTTACAATAAAAAGGGTTATTAAATCGTTTAAATTAAATTAATTAAATCGTTTTCGATTCCGATTTCTTTTGAAACCGATTTTTGTGAATCTGTTTATTTTTGAAGATTTTGAAGATCCGGCCTTACCTGGCGCTTCATCGATGTTGGGAAGTGATCATGAAGTTATGGAATGAAGAATGAAGGATAAAGAATGAAGAGTGAAGGATAGAGAGTGAAGGATAAAGGCTAAAGAATGAAGGATGAAGATCAAGAATAGAGATGAAAGAATATAGAATATAGAATATAGAATATAGAATATAGAATAAAGAATTGAATAAACTTTAGACTATAAAAAGAAATCGAGAAATCAGAGTTGATTGTTGTGAAGGAAAGAGATCTTTTTGAGTTCTTTTAACTGAAAAAAGAGGATTTCTCTCTCTTTTACAAACCCTCACTGTGTAAAGGAGTGACGGAAACGGCTAAATGGAAAGCGAAAAGAAAGCTAGGAAAAGAAGAAAGCTATTGGCTGATTTTCCAGATTTTACAAGCAATGTAAAGCTGTTTAGAGATTCGATTATAAAAAAATCTCAAAATTTTGAAAGAATCGCCTTCTAGAACTGTTTACAACTCTGCGTTACAACAAAAATTGTTTATAAAGTGTTATAAAAGTATTTCCGTTAAGAGTAGTGATTTTTTAAATTGCCTCTATTACAAGGCTAGATCTAGGGGAAAATCTGGCTCCAACAAAGCTCCAACAAAGCCAAACAAGACCAGAACCAGGCAAGAGACACTTCAGCTCAACCCCAGAGCTGTCCAGAGCTCCAACAAACCCAAACAAGACCCGAACCAGGCAAGAGACACTTCAGCTCAACCCCAGAGCTGTCCAGAGCTCCAACAAACCCAAAGAAGACCCGAACCAGGCAAGAGACAGTTCAGCTCAACTCCAGAGCTGTCCAGAGCTCCAACAAACCCAAACAAGACCCGAACCAGGCAAGAGACAGTTCAGCTCAACTCCAGAGCTCTCCAGTCCAATCCAGACCCAGAAAAATCACCTTTGAATAATCTAGATCAAGATCTAGTTGAAGAACTTGATGAACAAATCCAAAAGTTGCTCTTGATTGAAAATTTAACTGTCTCTGTTTTGTCATAGAGATTTTTGTCTTAACTTCACTTGACTAGAATCTTTATTAAGATGATCTTAAGCTTTGCTTTACTAAAGAAGCTGTAAAGCTAAAGCTCTAACTATTTCTTTCAAGAATTCGAGTTCCTGATCAAGTGGGATGAATGGAAATGTTCTGGTCTCGTTAATGCATTCACGATCTCATTCTTCAGCTTCTCTGAAAAGAGAAAGCTGTGGAGAAAAGAGTAAAAGAATTTGAAGGGGAGAGGGGTGATCGATTCGTCTTTTCGAAAGGCTTGGGCCCTAGATGGAGAAGGGAAGGGTTGTAGGGGAGAGTGGAGGGGAGGGGAGGAAGGGGAGGGGAGGAAGGGGAGGAGAGGGAAGGGGAGGAGAGGAAGGGGAGGAGAGGGAAGGGGGAGGGAAGGGGAGGGCACAGAGAAGGGCCCCTTGGCCCTATAGCCCCATGAACCAACAACAGTCAACGAATCCCTTTGATCAGCTTTCGCTTTTAAATACACAGCAAGGTATAAAGCCCTACCCTGACGGACCGCCACACATCTCGGTGTGGCTCATTGGTAGAGCGCGGGGCCGGTGAGCGGCCGGTGAGCGGGGGGTCGCGGGCTCGAATCCCGGGGGCGGCGTTTTTTTGTATTTCTGGCTTGACGGCCCAACTACTAGCTTTTATGATACTGTAAGCCTCTTGTCTTGACTATACTCAGTCAAAATAATCTTTAAAGCTCAGTGAATTCAAAATAAAATCGAAAATCTTTGATAGTCTTGTTGAATAAGTCTTTCTTTATCAATACTGAGACATTTGCAGCATCATTAACAATATTTCTCCGATGTTTTCTTGTAGATTTTTAGCCTCTAATTCTCTGATAACTTGCTGACTTTCGTTTTTTTGGCTTCTTGAAAACATTGCCTTCAACACGCCATCCCCAAACGATCTAGATATTCGGAAGCAGCGTAAACGAACTGTGTCTAGGCTTAAAAGCCAGGTGTAACTCGAAAAGCATCCCTAGTTAGTTGATAATCTCAAAAAATCCGTACGGGTGGTGTAGCAGCTTCAGGAGAGCCCAGGATCCCTTCAGCCCTCTTGCCGGTTCTCTTGCTGTCTCCCCTCTCCTCCTCCCCTCTCCTTCCCCTCTCCTTCCCCTCTCCTCCTCCCCACTCACATCCACTAATTGCCTTCTCTTCTCCTCCACATCCCATCCTTTATTTTCTCACCAAATTCTTATCTAATACTCTCACAGAAATTTCCCCCACTTACCTCTTCTTGCTCAGCCAATTTTAGACAATTTTAGACCCAAAAAAAATATTGCTCTTTTAATTTTAACCCTCAGAATGTGTTAGCTGTTGAATTTTTGTATCCTTTTCTTTTTTAAGGCTAAATTCCAGGCTCATTGACATTTCGATGTAGTCTGGCATCAAATTTCACCTCCAAGATGTTTTTTGGTCGAATTTTCGCTTCATTTACAAGATTTGTAGCCGAGTTTCGATTTCGATTTGAGATTTTTGATATCTCGTTCATTCGCTTGTTTTATTTGTTGATTTAAAACGTAGATTGTTAGATTTCTGAACTTTTTCAGATCTTGGGCAAAAGAGGAAATGGCCGGCACTTCTCGATCGGCACCAATTGACCCACCCGATTCCCTCTACACGCAGGAAACGGGCGGCGAGACGAGGATCCCATGGTGGCAAAGGTGGGAAAAGAATTCGATTTAGCTTCTAATGTATAATCTATATTTCTATTGTTATTTTTTATAGGAAAGGCTTAGAGCTCTGAGACTTCACCGATAAACCCTTAGATTACGAAAGAAAAACATTTTTAACATGTTTGTATGCAAAAGAGAAAATTTTGGTCGCAAGAGGAATCGAACTCGGAAGGCTTAGTTCCGAAACACTAGGCCACTATCCGCTAGGCCAACCGGTGATTTGTGTGGGCGGACAAGGGAAGGGTTATATGACCGAGCAGGGAAGGGTTATATTTCAATTTTTAAACATGGTTTTCTAAAGATTAAAGGGTTTATTTGGTTGATTTTAAAACTAGATTTTGCTCAGAAATATGCGTAGAATTTGATGCATTAAGTCTCGTAGCTTGTCTTCTTTCGTAGCTCGTAGTCTTCAACTTCATACCTCGTAGTCTTCAACTCCGTAGCTCGTAGTCTTCAACTTCGTAGCTCGTAGTCTTCAACTCCGTAGCTCGTAGTCTTCAACTTCGTAGCTCGTAGTCTTCAACTCCGTAGCTCGTAGTCTTCAACTCCGTAGCTCGTAGTCTTCAACTTCGTAGCTCGTAGTCTTCAACTCCGTAGCTCGTAGTCTTCAACTTCGTAGCTCGTAGTCTTCAACTCCGTAGCTCGTAGTCTTCAACTTCGTAGCGAAGTTGAAATAGTTCTCTAGTCAACAAAAGTGTAGCAAAAATGGCAAAAATGGCAAAAATCTGGAGTTTTCGAGCAATTCCGATTTTGTTTACATAATTCGGATTACCCGTTCGATTTTCTATTGCACGATGATCTAGTGCTTTTCTTTAGTCAGCCAGTTTAGTCTTTAGTCATCTTTGCATTCCATTTCATCCAAAATAAATAAGGTTTAAGTAAATAAACGAAAAATAGATGAAATTGCCTAAAAGAATTGCAAATTCTTGATTGTTTTTCTCGTTTTTGACAAATTTTTGACAAAAATTAGTAGGTTTTTTTAGCAAATAAACTTTAAAAAAAACTTTAAAGAAAACTACGATGATCTAGTGCTTTTCTTTAGTCAGCCACGGAATCTTTGCATTCCATTTCAAGAAAACTAAAGCTATAAAGCTAACAAGTCTTTGCTTTTTTTCTTTTGTTTATTTTATGGCAAAAAATTCAATCTAAAGGAATGACTAAAAATTGCTGAAAAATCGCTGAAAAATGCTTATCTTATCAATGAGATCTGGTCTATTACTTTTTCCTCGATTTGAAAACGATTTTTGTAGAAAGAAATCCAAAAAGCTAAGACAAATAGAAAGCTTTTTTTTTTATTTCAGAAATCTCCTTTTAAATCAACCGGTTCTCTTTGGAACTTGGGATGGAGTTTTCCCGACGGTCATGGTCAACATTTTTGGGATCATCGTTTTCCTCCGAATGGGATGGATTGTCGTGCGTTTTTGGAAGTGATTTATGATTGAAAAGCTAGCTAAAGTTTAGCATTCTTTGCTTTATAGGAAGCTGCTACTGTTAGCAAGCTTTTACTGTTAGTAAGCTGTTACTGTTAGTAAGCGGTTACTGTTAGTAAGCTGCTGCTAGCAGCTGCTGCTAGCAAGCTGTTACTATTAGTAAACGGCTACTGTTAGTAAGCTGCTACTGTTAGCAAGCTGCTGCTATTGTTAGCAAGCTGCTGCTAGTAAGCTGTTACTAGAAAACTATTCTAATCCCAGGGAACAGCTGGCGTCGCAAACGCGCTCTTGTTGCTCTTGATCGGCACCGCGTTGTCGTTGATCACCGTCTTTTCGGCGATAGGTACGGTAATCTAGATACTGTATTGTAATCGATATACAGTAATCAATTAAATCAGTAATCAGTACAGTAATCAATTAAAGTCAATTCAGGGATTTGTGAGCGAACTCGTCTCCAACCGGGCGGCCTCTATTTCCTCATTTCGCACGTGTTGGGCGCGAAAATCGGCGGCGCCACCGCACTCATCTACACTTTTGGGCAGGTTAGGCTTTTAGCTGCTTTTAGCAAAGAAAAGTAAAGATTTAAACACTCTAGCAAACAATAAATATATGTTAGATCCGATTTAGAACTCAACAATTGTTTTAACCTGCTTAACGAGTTCGCGCAAAATTTTCAGACAGTCTGCCTCGCTCTTTGATTTTTTACTGTCCAAAGCTCCTTCGAGCATGAAACCCAGTTCCCCAGCAAGCCCTTATTCTAGGCTTCATTTTGATACTAAACATGGCTAGGTTCTGTTTTACCATTCTTTAGATTTCGATCAATCTTTCGCCGGACTCGATAAGACGAGTCGAGAAAAATTTTGAACTAAAATAGTCGAAATCTAAAGAATGGTAAAACAGAACCTAGCCATGTTTAGTATCAAAATGAAGCCTAGAATAAGGGCTTGCTGGGGAACTGGGTTTCATGCTCGAATGAGCTTTGAGCAGTAAAAAATCGAAGAGCGAAGCAGACTGTCTGAAAATTTTGCGCGAACTCGTTAAGCACGTCTAGTTTAGCAATAGTTTGCTGTGTTGAGAAATCCTCTTTTGCCATGTTTTTTCCATGTTTTTGTCATCTTTTTGATGCCTATTTTCACTAAATCGTTTTCTTATACCAAAAACAAGGTTAGAAAACAACAACTCCTTCCTTCTCCTTCCTTCTCCTTCCTTCTCCTTCCTTCTCCTTCCTTCTCCTTCCCTTCTCCTTCCTTCTCCTTCCTTCTCCTTCCTTCTTCTTCCTTCTTCTTCCTTCTCCTTCCTTCTCCTTCTTCTTCCTTCAGCTGTAACTTTTCTTGAACCCAAAATTCTCCCTAGGCTGTCGCGACTGGTTTGGTGGCGGTCGGCTTCGGCGAGTCGATGCAGCACTTTTTCGGGACCGATTCGAAATTCGTCGTCAAACTCATCGCCATTCTCACACTGATGGCTTTAACTGGTCAGCTAATACATAAATGATTCTTAAATCTAGTTACCGTATTCCTAGGTAAAGTAGGAATGTTTTAAAAGTCTAGAAAGTGAGTCACATCGTAGAGCTAAGCTCCCTAAAGAGGAGAGTTAAGCAAAGCTCTCGTAATCTAAAAAGAAGGTTGAGTTGGTGTAGTTGCTGTAGTTACTGTAGTTACTGTAGTTACTGTAGTTACTGCTGTAGTTAGTACAAGTAATTCTTCTAGAATGAATCTATAAATTTGCAGTGGTGAACGCAGCGGGTGTGTCGTGGGTTGTGCGACTGCAGCTGGTGCTTCTCGCGTGTATCGCTATGGCTACTCTGGACTTTTTTGCGGGCAGTCTCTGGACAGTGGATACGGGTAGATGAATTCGTGAAATAATTCGAGTTTAAAGAAATCCTTAAACAGTAACGAGTAGACAAAAAAAGTCAAAAAACAAAGTCACTTTTTTTAGATAAACTTTTACAAGAGGAAAAGTTAGCGAAAAGTCGGAATCGTTTTTGATTAGCTGATTTGAATTTATGCAATCGGCTATAAGCTTTTAAATCAAACTAAGCTGTCAACTAAACTGTCAACTAAACTGTTAACTAAACTTTAAACTTAAGCCAAAACTTTAAACTTAAACCCAAAAACTTGTAGAATTTAGATCACGGTGTTGGCCACATTTCATTCGATCGTTTACGCGCAAACTCAGAGCCATTTTACAATGCCGTCAATTGCTCAGATATTGGAATTGAAGTCAGATTTCGGAATCATTTTATCGATTTCATTTTTGCTTTCCAGAAAACGCTTCCCCAGCAAAGTTTCTTCACCGTTTTCGGAGTGTTGTTTGCGAATTTTCTTGGAATTTTAGCAGGTAAGGGTTACGATGGGATTACCGTCGCCTATTGACTGTAGATTATTGTCGACTGTCTACCCAAAGCATAAATTCCAGGAGTGAACATGTCCGGTGATCTCCGGGATCCACAAAAATCGATTCCATTGGGAGAATTGTCGGCTGTCGGCCTTTCCTCGTTGATTTGTTTCCTTTTCATTCTCGTTTTAGGCAAGTTCTTGTTCTTTAATAGTTCCCCATAAGCTTTCTGGCAACTTGGGTGATTTTTGAACGTAGTATCTTCAACATGTTCGAAATCAAAATCAACATCAACAAGTCATGTTCAAAATCAGGTCTGTGCGTTTCTCCCTGTTGCTCGTAAGAAAAAGTGGCGTCTGGTACACTGCCCGGATAGAACTCACCTGAAACGCCGCCTAGCTTTAATTATCCAAGTTTTGATCCAGGAAACTTGGGTAATTAAACCGGGTCAGGGAGGTTTCGGGCCGGCTTACCCAGGGGCACTGTGCCAGACGCCGCTTTTTCTTACGAGCAACATGGAAAGAACGCACAAGCTCTTAAGTTGAGCGGGGTGTTGAATGTTGAAGTGAGCGAATGATCGATTTTCAGGCTCGGTGGTTGATCGACAGTGGCTTCTTTGTGATCATTTGATCTCGGAAAGAGTTTCGTTAACCGGTTGGATGTTTATGGGTGGATTGTACATCTGTTCTCTTTCATCAACGATTGGATCTCTTCTCGGCACTCCACGAGTTCTCCAGGGGATCGCGGCTGAGGGGCTTGTTCCCGCATTGGCTCCACTTGCACAAGGGGTTAGTGGATAAGTTTTAGCTCAGTCTAGATTCGAACGGTTAGCTATCGTAAGTAAGCTACTGCGTCTCAAGTAAGCTTACTTGAGACACAGTAGCTTACTTACAATAGCTAACCGTTCGAATCTAGATCTGTAAGCTCAAGTGTCAAGTAGTAGAATCGATAAAATTGCAGATCGGTGCCAACAAGAACCCAGTTTTGGCGACGATCGTTCTCACCGCGATCGCCTGTCTTTTCGTGTTGATCGGCGACTTGAATCAGGTAGAATTGAATTGAAAGATGCGCTTCAAACAAGTCTCCAAAGCTTAATCTATTTCAAAAGATTACTCTAACAAAAACATGTCCCTTCAGCTAGCCATTCTCTCAACGATGCCATTTTTGATTACTTACGCGATGGTTAATTATGCCTATGTTTCATTGGCGATGAGTTTCGATTTAGTGAGCGTCACCGAAGCATCGTAAGTCATAAAAATGAAAATTTTGCAATTTTTTTTTGTTTTGCAGAACAATTCCCTCTTATGGTTCGACACAACAAATCGCTGAAAGAGCCGATTTGGATGAGCTGTTCCCGGAAAGGAAACAAGTATTGTACAAGTGTTGAAATCAGTAATGAGATTCAGTTTTCCGCGACTGGAATCGAAACTACAGCCGACATCGTCAGCCAGCCGGCATCTTGGTATTCGCATTTCAGCAATCGATACGTTTCACTCGTTGGGGTTCGTGCGAAATGAAATTTTTCAAAGAAACCCCTATTTAGTGTATGGTAAACCTCTTGATCCTTATCTTCATCAACTTCTGGTATGCGATCGTTCACTTTGCGGCTCTCATCTTATTGTATTTCTATATTGCGCAAGTGACTCCCGCGTGTTTCCCAGGTAAGCAATGTCCATAAGAAATGCATGCAAATCATTCAGGCATCTCTCAATTCTCTATTGTTCACATGTTCCGCACCGCGTTTTCTTCGATTGAATCGATCGGTGTTAATGCACATAAACCCTGTGTGATTGGTTCTGGTAAAGTCAAAGTAGAAATAAGAATAGAATTTGATTTCAGGTCCGACACCGAGCGAGTTCAGCACTCAACAACTGAATGAGCACAGCAGCGATTATGAACAACGAAAACAGTATCATCACGCCAAAGAAGTGACTAGTGAATTTGATTAGCCGATCACTCTCCTAGACACATTTCATCCAAACATATCAAGCACTCTCGGTTATCTGTATATCAGTTATTCATAGGCGCACCTTCTTTTAATAAACTGCCATTGTTGCTGTCAAATCGGAAATAATAAAACTTTGAAAAATGTATTTCAAAAATAAAACATTCAGTGTTTATTCAACAAAAATCAAAACAAAACAATTTAATCCGCTTAGATGTTCGATGGGTAGAGGAGCTAAAAGAAAACAAATTAGCACGTCATTATGAATTTAGAGAAGAAATTTATAATTTCCCTCCAGCTACACATTGACATATTCTTTACAAGTCACAACCGTGTCAACTCACCACGCGAATTCGCTTTCCCATGGCCGCAGGTGGAAGGTTGTGGCCGAACTTGGCTCTGACGGATCCGGCGTTTCCATGAACTCGTGTGACTTTTCCCCAGATAGCACGCACTCGGCTTCCCTAAAACAACATGTTATTGATACCCAAAAATGTGAATTTAAAAACTCTAACTATACCCATAAAAAAAAAAGCTGCAGTTTGTGACATTTAGTAGTTACCTTACTCAGCACGATTTTTACGCGTTCAATTCAAAAAGGTCTGACTAGACTTTAAACCACAAGATCGAGCAGCAACCGTTAATAGACTTTCATCAAATCGTCAGCACATGAGATTTAAGATTTAATTTAGAGTAGCAGGATAAAACGACTAAGCAAGCGTATAGAAGAGAGCCGCGCATACTTTCGCATTTCATTCAAAGAGCTTTTGGCACAGCGTTTTTATCTTTGCAGACATTAATGAGCAAAAACTTACGTTGGTCTTGTTGTGGGCCTTGTAGAAGTAGACAGCTCGTTTGCCGACGTACCAATGAGCCTCGTCTTTTGAGTGAACACCGTCGAGCGTCAAAAGGGCAGTGTTCTCGCGTTGATTCCGAAGTGCCCTCTTGAATCCGGTGAAGACGGCTTTCACGTACAACCTAAAGTCAAAAATATAGTCAACGAATTAAAGCAATGTTTTGATTACAAACAATCTCAAGTAATGAATAACAAAAATATTTTGGCCTGCTTCTTGCGTTCAACAGAAAAAGTTGCCTTGAGGCATTGACATTTCATATTACCAAACTGGTTTTAGCTCTAAGGACCCGTTTAATGAATCAACTTTTTCAGTTTTGACCAAGTCTATAGTCTAAACAAAAATATTGGTACTTGGGCGGTTTATGGTTTATCCTGGCTTAGTTGGATCTAATGTTTTGAGTGGTTGTCTTGATCCCGTTTATCTATTCTAACCTAATCAAATATGCTTAATAGATTGGTGACTATTTTAGCAAGTTCTTGGCAATTCTAGCCTAATATCATGTACTTTAACCACCAAACGCTTCTCAAAGCTGCTTACACTTGAAAATCAAATAAAAGCGGCAATACGAAATTTGAAACATGTTGTAAATGCTCTAAAAGCATAAGCATATTTGATTATAATAGAATAGGTAGATCAAAGGTATCAATACAACCATCTAAAACATTAGATCCAACTAGACCAGGATAAAAGTGGCCCCTCCTAACCAAGGACCAAAATATTCAAGTACTAGGCAAAGTAACACTATAGCCAAACGACAATATCAAAAATTTATACCTGCCAGCGGCACTGGGTCCGTGTTGTCTTGCGGGAGCAGCTTCAGCCATTTTACCTGGAATCGACAAAATCAGTAATGGATTTTTCGTAATAAATTAGACAGAACAAAACTTTGGAAAAAAAAAGAATTTGGGCCCAAAAAGAAATTTTGCGATCGAATCTGCAACAGAAAAACGGCAACAGATAGACGGAGAAAGAACGTCATTTGTCGTGCGCGTACTCTTTTCGTCCATCTTTTTCGCCAAATCCAATGAATTAACTGAGTATCTTAAAATGACGAAAAATTATAAAAGGAAAATCCTTTTTTTTCAATTTAATTTGGTTGTGGTCGTTTATTCATTTCTTCTGTTTTCAGTTACCTACCTTACTAATTTGTCTTTTTTAGTGATGTACCTGCTTCGTCGTGCAGGACCACTGGCTGGGATGGTCGGAGCGGCCTACTGCTACAACGATGATATGCTACCACTCAAAAAGTAAGTAACTATTTTTAGTGACTCCAAAAAGTAACTAACTATTAGGTCTTCGGGAATGCATGAAAAACCTTTAAGTAAAATGCTTTTGCTTTTTATGGGAAGAATTCATAGATTTTAAGCAAAGTGTTGAGAATTTAGTTTGCTTACTTCTGTGGATTTTTCCTGTAAAACAAGGGTTTACAAGCCTGGTTAATTGATTTTAACTTTAAGTTTTAACAATAGATTTCAAAGTAAATTATGCAGGTATACATATAAATTGTACTTTTAGAACGATTCATGCATTTGTTGGCAATGAATCGCATCCGCAAGCTTACGACTCGTTCGGCGAAATGTTTCCACGCCAAAAGTGGAATTACAACTGGGATTTGTAAGTTATTAAATTTTATGCATACATTTTATCATTTCATAGGCGTGACCCAAAGTCGCTTATTGAAAACAAGGAGTTTGACAGCGCTTCAGAGGAAAAACGCAAAGAGATGATAGCCGAGGTAGTTTCTAGCCGATAGCAAGCATAAATTTGGTTTATTTAGAGAACTTCAACAGCCACTCGCAACATTATCCTCATTCGTCATGGCCAGTACAAGATAGAGTCGCAAGAGGATAAAGGTTTAACGGAATTGGGTATGCTGTTAATTTAATTTTCTAACATAGTTTTCAATCTAGGCCGGGAGCAGGCTGCTCTTGTTGGTGAACGCCTCGCTCGCTCCGGCTTGAAGGTTTGTAATTGCAAGTTTTTGTTGAGATCATTCTTTTAGATTACAAACCTCACGATGTCAACAATGGACCGAGCCACTGAAACGGCAAACATCATTCTTTCAAAGGTCAGTTATATTTTGTTTAACTTTGAAAAATTTGTTTTGGTTGCCAGAGAATTTGAAACGAAAAAGCGATTCGCTTCTTATGGAGGGAGCCCCGTATCCACCAGAGCCTCCAGTCTCGCATTGGAAGCCAAACAAGCTGGTAAGCTGTTTCGGAACAATTGTATCTAACATATTTCTTGAGGAGTTTTTCCAAGAGGGATCACGCATTGAAGCCGCTTTCCGCAACTACTTTCATCGCGCCTCGCCAAAACAAACCGAGGATAGTTATGAGGTTTGTCTATTTTATGTTGTTTGTATTTATTTTACGCTTAAAATTGTTTTTAGGTTGTTGTTTGCCATGCCAACGTGATTCGCTACTTTGTTTGTCGGTTGGTTAGCACATTAAAAAAAAAATTGGTACTTTTTAGTGCACTTCAATTTCCACCAGAAGGATGGCTCCGAATGTCGCTTGGCAACGGCTCAATCACTTGGCTCATCATTCGTCCAAATGGAAGAGTTTCGATTCGCAACTTGGGAGACATCGGCCACCTTCCACCGGAAAAGATCTCTTACAGCTAAGTATTTTACGTTCCTTGTGGGCTTAGGCACTACTAAAGTTTTGCTTCGAGTTTTTGTGTTTAAAAAGCAGGTTTTTGTTGAGAAAACCTCTCCGATAGCTCATTTTTTCTGCTATAACTTGTAAAGTTAATGATTCTTAAGGGCTCATAATATAAGGCAAAGTTGTCGAGTTTTAGTGAAATTTTCAAAGAATGTAAAATTTTAGGAATGTCAGGGAGGGAAGAGTACCTAAAAAAGCTGCTACTTTTTAACTCAATGATCTCATGAAAATTTTAAAAACTTGAAAACTTTGCTTTAAATTATACGATATCTTTCTGTTTCCTTGTACGGTTTATGGTTTTTAATATCTCGCGACCTGTGATTCTTGCCCGATTGTTTCTGTTTTTCTTTTGTAAAGATACGTGTGAATCTTCTGAAGTTGTAGTTTTTTAGACCGGTGGTGTTAGAAATAATTTATTGTTTTGTAGGAGGATAAATTTTTGACCCGCAATTCCGAAGATTGTACGTGAACGGTTAAGGAAGTCCGTAACTTGTTGGTGATTCAACATGAAGGCGATTGGCTTAAAGTTTGCAAATTTTTCATCATAACATGCAACTTACCGGCTTCTCTCTGTTCACGAAGCCATTCTCGGAAATATTGAAAGAAATCAAAAGCATAGGCAAAGGATTGAAGTAGGCAGATACCCTGAAAAAAATTGTTATGGAAAATCTTTCTCTACTCACCGCTGCAACTGTCCATGCGAAGCTTGATGTGTAGGTTTTTGCGTTGAAGCACAACCACAACGAAACGAAGTGAAGAATGACAAGGAGAAGTGCTCCGAGAGATTCCTGAAAGTTTTATTATCGTGTACTTGAAGATACTGAAAGACTACAATAGGTCAGGAAAAAGTATTCAGTTTATCGATTTATTTTATGTAAACTTACTGTCATACTGTAGGAGACCGTTCGAAAAAGCGGGAAAACGATATTTTCGAGTTCAAAGAGTAAAATTGCGGCTGCAGATAGATTGAGGAGAAATGAGATGAGAAGAGTTAACCAAACGAGAAATGAACCCGATGCTGAGGGGGCGATGATCAGACAGAGAGTCAGACAAAGACTCAAGATCTGAATTTGAGTGTTAAGCTCATGGAAAAGTGCACTAAAATGAAACCATTACTGTTTTAAATGCAAATTTTACTCAAGTACGGTAGAAACACAAAAAAGACTAGCTTTCGAGGTAGGTTCATTTATTTATTTTTTGAATTATCTAAAAACTTGTGAATGTTAATTTTTGGTTTTCAAGTAGAAGAATCGACAAATGACAATCGACAAAGTACTCACAAATGTTAGCGCTTTTATAGCGTGTGGAAGTTGAGCGAATTGCGAGATGTATAAAGCCATCTTGTTTTCAGAAAATCTATCAAAGATCAAAGAAATTTCGATATTTCCTCTGTGAGTTATGAAGAAATGCAAGAAATGCCCGATCTTTTTTCTCTTATCTTTCGTGAGGTGAGTGAGGTGTTTGAAGAGGGGAAATCGATATTGCTGAAACCATTCGAATACTTATCAATGTTAGTAATAGAATAGCCACAAAAGGTGACTCTGTTTTTGCTATTGATGAAAATGAATTGCTGAATTGCATGAATTGCTAAAAGTTTTTATTTATTTACTAGTTTTTTTTTATTTACTAGTTTTTAATTCAAATTCCTGAGTTGCATTGAATTGAAGTTTGCAAAAAAAAACAATAAATGCAATAAATGATGCTAAAAAGCCTCAAAACACCCCTTTCTAGTAGACTGAAATCGTGATTTTTCCAATGATATAGCTAAAAAGTGATGATTTCAATGCACTAGAAAGTGTATGTTTACAAATTTTGAGCAAGTACAGAGAAGAAGGTTTTGCTTTAATTAAGTGGATTCGGGAAGTGAAAAGTTTTTGAAAGGAGATGAATATTTTGAGTTGGAAACATTCCACTGTTCGACTTTCCAACAATATGCCATCCATATGGTAAACCAGGGCTCTAAAATTTGGTTTGATTTGGTTTGGTTTGATTTGATTTGGTTTGTTTTGGTTTGTTTTGGTTTGGTTTGATTTGGTTTGTTTTGGTTTGGTTTGATTTGGTTTGATTTGATTTGATTGGTGATTGGGGGTGGGGGGGGGGGGGGGGGGGGGGGGGGGGGGGTGTGGTGTTGGTTTGTTGGTTTGCTTGGTTTGATTTGGCTTGATTTGATTTGATTTGGTTTGATTTGGTTTGATTTGATTTGATTTGATTTAAAGGGGGGTATTAATCGCGGCCGGGTGACGATAAAAATTTTTTTACCGCAACCACCTGTTTTTTATTTTAATATCGCTGATTTTATTATAAAAAGAATAAAAATCACCCGGCTAGAGTGATTTGATGGGTTTACAATCTGCAATTAAAACTCAATCGATCTAGACTGTGTTGAGGTGTCTGATGAGTGACGATCTTGTTTTTCTCCTTGCAGTGTCTCCAAAAATGTCCTTGTCCAAGCCTTGCAGTGTCTCCAAAAATTTGTAAACCCATCAAATCACTCTAGCCGGGTGATTTTTATTCTTTTTATAATAAAATCAGCGATATTAAAATAAAAAACAGGTGGTTGCCGTAAAAAAATTTTTATCGTCACCCGGCCGCGATTAATACTTTAATTTGATTTGATTTGATTTGATTTGATTCGACTTTTCTTTTACGACACTTTACAGTACAGTACGCTTTACAGTATCTCTAGAAAATCTAGCCTAAAAACTCACATCCTCTAGCGTTGACGGGGATCCAACTTGAGTGGAAATCGTTCGACTCACCGAACCAACTTCCTGCATACCGGCGACACCAAGAAGTGGTGAATCCTAAAAAGAGTTTTTTTCTTTTTTCCATTAAAAATGAAATTTTCCAAATAAAAATGCAACTAATGCGAATGTGAGAGAAAATTTTGAACTAAAATAACTACTCGAAATGGCGACTCGGACATTTGATCTTCCGCCTCGCCCCTTTTCTTTGCCTATCTATTGGGTTGGTGAGTTGAATTGGTGAATTGTGCTCACTTAAACGCGAGTTTCTGGCGTACTAGAGTTCACACTGTTAACTGATCTTCAATTAATTTTTAATTTCTAGATCTAAATTCTGATTTCCTATGCTAATTCGCTCTGGGGACGGTAGCCGCGGATACCACTGGGATTACTGTAAGATCTAATTATATTCCGGATTACGGTAGTAAATACGGTACTAGTTATAGTATCGATACGGATTACGGTACTAGTTACAGTATCTCTGGATACCGTCCGTGAACGTGAGCCTTCTGGCACACACTGTTATTTCTCGGAACGAAAATTCAAATCCCATCCAAATCTATTGGGTTGGTGAATTGAAAACTGCGGGACTTTGAACTAAAATTTATTGAACATAAAACCATAAATTAATTCTAAATAATTTCCATTATTATTGACGACTTCTGCCCATTTTAAAGGCAATTTGCGGATTCCTCTTTCGGGATTTAGGATTTTGGTTTGTGTGTGAGACAAGTGTGAGACTCAAAAATCGAGGAGAGGTCCCGGTTTGAGCACTTTCTTTAAAAAGAAACCCATTTTGGTGTCAATAGAAAAGTTGTAGAGAATCAAAAAGTAGGCTTATAGCAAAATTTCCAAAAAGATACACTTAGTAGTTTCGCTTAAAATGCAAGTTTTGTGAAAATTCGTAACATTTGGAATTTCTTGAAAACCGGTTTTTGAATCGTTCTGAAATTTTGGATATAAGCTTGATTTTTGATTCTCTACAACTTCTCCATTGACACCAAAATGGGTTTCTTTTGAAGAAAGTGCTCAAACTGTCACATATGACAATAGTCGGCAGTTTTCAATTCATCAACCCAATTTTATGCTCAAATTTCTCGGTGTTGATTTATTCAATTTAGAAATTATTAATATCATTAAATGCGCCTAATCTTTCTCTATCGATTTCTATAAAAACTATTTATATTGAACAGCAAAAAAACCAAGAAATTTGAGCTTCAATGGCGATCAAATATCCCACAATCACTGCCAAGCATTGGAAACCTTTTTTGATTCTCATTTTTGAAGTCATTTGTGGATTTGTGGAACAAATGGGCGAGTTGGGGAGTTGTTTTTTTTGATTAGACTTCAGAGTTATAGATTGTTTAAGATTTTTTGAGAATTTCTTGATAAAATCATTTTTTGTTGTTGATATTTTTGAGAAAATTTTCATTTTTCGTTCTTTTTTCTTTATTTTGAATTCTTTGGAATTGGGATTAGCGGTTTTTTGAATTTTTAAAGAATTCTTAACATTTCGAGATTTCTCATTGTTCAATTTCTTTTCCAAAAGATATTCTCGGAGATTTTTTGAATGTTTTCGATTATTGGCTTTCCTGAGATTCTCCTGTGGTTTAGGCGTTTTTCGTTTGCCAGGAATTACTGTCGATACCGTAATTGGGAGTTTTCCTACCGTAATTGGCCCATTTCCTTCCGAATTCTTGAGCTTTTTATTCGATTTCACTTGAGCTTTCAATTTCTCATCTCTAAAGCTTTTTGAAGGTTTTTTGAAAGTTTTACAAATTTTTGCGGTTTTGTTGTTGTTGAGAATTCATTTGATTGTTGTTTTTGAGAAGTTGATGAACTTTTTGAAGCTTTTTTCTTTGGACAATCGTCTTCGGACAATCGGACAATCGAATTCCTTTCGATTTTCGAAGTCTCAGGCAAAAAATCGAACTTTTTCCTTGTTCGATAAAGTTGAAGTGAGAATTTTCTCAGTCGAACTTTGCTTTTTCTCATTTCTTTGCGCTTTCATCGTAAAATTTGCCGCTTGTGAAGCGATTTCTTGCAGAGAGAAACGTTTTGAATGCTAAATTCAGAGAAAAGTTTATCAGCTATTCGTTCAGCTATCAGTCTTTCTGAGAAAATGTTTATTATAAAATTTCAAACTATCCATTGCACTTACTGGTGTAATCTTGTCACAAGCTGGCATTCCAATGATCCCGCAAACCGTTTGCCGAAAGAAAATCGAGTTACCTTCCTGAAATTTTCGACTTCGTCTTTTCTTTATCTATTATATAAAAGACACCTATTTTAGGTAAATTACCGTTACCAAACTATCAATTTTTATTTAATCAGCTCGGTTTACTGAAAATATTATCATTTGGGTCTTATGATCATTTGGCTCGGACGAGATTCGGCTTGAAAAAAGCAAAAGAAATCAAGGCGGGATTGAACTTGTTATGTCTCGCTCTAGAAGCGAAAGCTTTACCACTCAGCCACGGCTGCAACGAACCGGGTCCGCAGGGAAACCGTTAAGAGGCCGCTAAGCCCGATTTCAGAGTCTTAACAAAAAAAAAACAAAAAAACAAAACAAACAAAATAAAAACTTTAAACCCTTATAACTTCTGACAGATTGTCATTTGGAAAAAACGGAATATAGATTCGGAATCAGCATCAAATTCTGCGTATAGGTCGTATAGCATTTAGCCGGTTTAGCCAGCTGAAAAGTGGATGGATGAGCAAAACTCAGCCAGTGCCTGAGCTGATTGAGCTGATTAAAATGAAACAAAAATTGAGCTGATTAAAGGGAAACTAGTGGTTTGAGTAGCTTTCTAGAATTGTTTTCTTTTAAAAAAAACTTGAAAACGCATGAGTTTATGTAAATGATTTACCTTAAAGCATTGTGACAAGAGGTTCTCTTCGAGTACCCGATCACCCACATCTAAATCTTTTCCACCATCGGTTCGACATCCTAAATTTGTATTTTCTTTTAAGCGCTTAGTCAATTGCTTGTTGCTTAGTCAATTTTCTAAATTTAGAAAATTGAAATGCGATAAATTGATTGTAAATCGAACCCTCAATAACGTAGACTCCGAATTTTTGACAACGATATCGCAAATGGCCTCCTTGAAAAGCCTCACCCTCAGCGTAATCCTTTCCATCTTTATAACATCTCTAAAAATAGAAGAGAGAGCTTCTAGCTAGCTAGCTAACTAGCTTCCTTTCTACTAGCTTCCTTTCTACTAGCTTCCTTTCTACTGGCCTCCTTTCTACTGGCCTCCTTTCTACTAGCTTCCTTTCTACTAGCTTCCTTTCTATTAGCTTCCTTTCTATTAGCTTCCTTTCTACTAGCTTCCTTTCTACTAGCTTACTTCCCTTATCTTCCTTCCCTTCCCTTCCTTCCTTTATCTATCCACCTTATCAAATCTCTCATCAAATCTCCCAACCTTTGGCATCGCCTCTTCAAGAACTTTTGCCAAATCCTCATTTCCATGCAATATAATCGTTTTCTCAATCGTTTCCCCGAGAATCCCGGCGATGAAAATCCCGAAAATGAACCACATTCTAAAAGTTAACTTTTAAAAAAGATCTAAACCCAATCTCGCAATCTAAATGGTAAACAGGCGCCTTAAAAAGACTTTAAAACTCAAAAGTTCTAAAAATTAACTTTTAAAAAAAGATCTAAACATAAAAATCAATCGTATTGCAAGCAAAACAAAGCTTTTATATTAGGAAAAGCATCCAAGGTCAACTCTCACAAAAATCTCTGTCTTTCTCGAGGCGCCAACATTCAGCAACAGCAAATTTCTCTTGACAATGACCTAATTTTTTTTAGGGAAAAATTGAAAATTTTAGATACAGAATCATTGAAAATTTTGAGTTTTAAAGTCTTTTTAAGGCGCCTGTTTACCATTTAGATTGCGAGATTCGGTGGATAGTGGAAAAGAATCGAATGGAATGAAAATGAAATGAAAATCGAATTGAATGAGATGAAATGAAATTGAATCGAGAAAAAGATCTTCCAAGATTTTTCAGATCACCTTTGTGATGATGCAGAGTCAAACAAATGGTAAAAACGATTCGCATTTCTCAGAGTTTTTGTTCAAATTTTTTGGGAAATCTTTTTCCCCCGAATCTAGGGATTCCATGAGTGGAATCGTTGAGGAATCGTTGAGGAATCGTTGAGGAATCGTTGAGGAATCGTTGAGGAATCGTTGGGGATTCGTTGGGGATTGTGGGGGATCGTTGGGGGGATCGTTTGGGATTCTTTGGGGGGTGTGTGGGGGGTTGGGGGGGGGGGGGGGGGGGGGGGAGGAATCGTTGAGGAATCGTTGACTGGTTATCTTACTTCCTTTATCTTCCGTTGAAGTTGAATCCATGAGTGGAATCGTTGAAGCATTAGGGATTCGATGAGTGGAATTGTTGAGAATATCAAATCGTAATTTTGAGTAACTTTTGAGTTTTTGAGTAACAGTTTAAGTTTTTGACAGATCAAAGTACTTCCAACAGTAAAGTAAGGCATAAGGCCTTTTCCAGACGGTGTAGCTCATTGGTAGAACGCTCGCCTACGAGGCGAGACGTCGTGGGCTCGAATCCATGCTGTGTTTTATTTTTTTGGAATGTACATTGTGAAGAAATTGAAGCACTTTGTACTTTAATACTGTACTTTGTACTTTACCGTATTTACTCTATTAGTACTGCGAAATACTATTTTTGTGGTGACGGCTGAGTTCAAGAACTTGAACTTTGTTCAAGTCGATTTCCTATGTAAGATAAAAACTGTAGCCAACAAAATGGCCAACAAAATGGTCAACAAAATGACTGACAAGGGCTTTTCTGCACTGTTCTACATTGACACAAAGTTTTTCGATTGTTCGTTGATTGATTGTCTAGATTGTTCGGCCAATTGTTTTGCTCCTTCTGGAATTGGAAAATTTTTCTTGAAACAGTGAATGAGAGCATCTTCTGACTCATCCAAAACCATCGTAATTGCACAATTTTGGAAAGAATGAATGATCATACCCTTTGGCAACTCACTCTGAGTCATCCAAACCCAATCAAGATTTGTTTCCATTGGTGGAGGAGCCGGGTTTCCATTCCGGATCACTGGTTTTCGTTCATTCGCCATCCAATGCTCGGAAAATGATCAAATTTTGGCCTTAAACAGTGCGTTGCAAACAATATCGGGAGCTTGAATGAATTTAGTGAATCCACATGCACAGAATTGAATTGAACTGCACAAGAATTGAATCACTCTAAAGCTCCTTGAGTTTCTTCTTCGTTGTCTCACTTTTGTGAGTCGAGATCAACTATGATCTCACACCAGCAGCCGCTTTCCGAAAAGCGAAGCTCCGAGAACCTTCTGAAGATAGACACCAATGAAGGTATCGTTCATTCAAGTAGATCCTCCGCAATGCAACTCGAGTTTGTTGTGGAGCTTGGTGACAAATTTTGGATCGGCACGAACTCGATTTAGCAAAACAAAAGGGATTTAGCAAACAAAACGTGCATTTGGGACCATCATCACGAGCGGAAAAATTGAAAGATATTCAGTCAACAAAAAATCGAAAATCTAGACTTTGCGTCAATGTTGAACAGTGCAGAAAAGCCCTTGTTAGTTATTTTGAAACATATTTACTTAATTAGCAAAGAAGTCGGCTACTACAGTCCTGGACAATGAAATATGATATTTGAGAAACGAGCGTCACGTTCGCACGTTCGTCACGTTCAACTGAGATCACCATGAACGTTGCTTACCGATCTAACGAGATAGCTGGATTGCGAGATAGCTGCATTAGGAGACAGCTGGATTACGGATAAAGTACTGGACAATGAAATATGATATTTGAAAAGCGATCGTCACTTTCGCGTCACGTTCGCACGTCTGTAACTTCCTTGTCTTTGAGTTTAAACTATTAGTGTTTTGCATTTTCTGAAAGCTCTTTTCAAGCGCTACACAATGGTAATATTAATATTAAAAATACGATAAAGACAAGGGAGTTACAGACGCGCGAAAGTGCGAAAGTGTTTTTCAAATATGATATTTCATTGTCCAGTACTGTAAATACCAACAAATAAAAATTAAATTTGGATCAGTGCAAATTTGCGTGCAATACTATTTTTTTCGATCTACCCCTAGCCCGCAGTACTATTAGGGGTGTGATACTAATAGAGTGAATACGGTACAACCCTAATTACAACAGTTTACAACCCTAATTACAGAAGTACTCCAGATTACGGTTTGTGGAAGGATTGTTGACGAAGGGACCAAGTCACCGGGGGATTACTGTACGTCTGGGAGTCGGTTTAGACCTTCCGGCTGGTTTTGGTTTAACAGGATCTGGAATTTGTAGAAGGCAAATTTGGCGCAGGTATTGTCAGCAGGATTTTGGGCCTACTGACGCCCCAAAAGCTAAACGTTAACAACGTTAACATGAACCGTTAACACGGCTTTGGTCGCCCGTCGCCCGCTCATCGCTGCCGTGTAAATGAACTCCAAATTTGCTATTGGGTTGGGGACTATGACTCGGCGCCAAACTTTAAAGGGACTTTTTGCACACATAAAGCCTTCTTTAAACATACGTTTGGTTTCATCAAAAGGATCCACTATTTCTCTACAAAATCACTTTTGAGAGATTCCACAAAGCTTTTCTTTCGTGGAGTTTATGGACTCCCAAACACAGCTAGTCAAAATGGCAAAGAGTCCGACTCATCCATTTGAACAGTTTCTTTCACATAAACCTTCTTTGGTGTTTATATAAAAAAGATAGAGCACATTCAATTACTTAAGTTGCCAAATTTGCAGGAAGATCCCACCAATGGTTTTTCTAGATCACAGTTTGTAGTTTTTGTGAAAAAATGGCTTTTTCTTGAGCGGAGGCGCTGTTTGAATTTTCTTTTAAATGTCGTTTTGTAGAGAATTAGTTAACCATTCTACTGATATCAAACGCATATTATTTGACGAAGTCGAATAGAAGTTTTAGACATTTTTTTGATTTTCGGCGCCGAGTCATAGTCCCCAACCCAATAGTATAACTAGACATATCTGAGTACTTTCTAAAGTAAACCTAAAGTAAACCGCTTTAGAAAGTAACTTTCTAAAGTAAACCTAAAGTAAACTGCTTTAGAAAGTAACTTTCTAAAGCGTCTAAAGTCTAAAGTCCATTCGCTTCTAATGGAAAACTATTTCTGTAGTTAAACAAAAGGTAAAACTGAGTAACTTGTCGAGTAACTAATTAGACTTGAGTATTAGGGGAGCTTGTACAATTATCCACTCCAGTTTTCGATTTGTTATTGGATAAAAGACTTGTGCGGGTAATCCGGGCAACTCAGAGAACTCATGTCTGCAGAGGGGTGAAGGGGCGGGGCGCCTCTCTTCACCTCTCGATCCCTTCACTCCCTTTCCCCAATCCAATCCATTCCACTTCCAGCTGATTCCTCATTCTAACAATATAATGATTTAACTTTCCATCTCTTTTCAAAAAAAAATGTCTAAATTTCTAATTATCTTTTCTCTTCTGAGTTTTTGGACATTGAACAATGGAATCGTTTTTCAAGGTGGGTAAATATTTCTTCTAAAGCTTTAATTATAAGTTTTGGTCGATTTTTGAAGATAATAATTAGTTATTTTTGAAGATAATAATTAGTTTAAAGTTAACAATCACTTCTTTCCACTACTTTGTTTTAAAAATAAGAACCTTGTAAAATACTTTGTGTTCAGAGTTTTGTAAAACGCTCTCTAGCGACTTCTTCTTCTTTTGCCTTTACTTATAAAGAGTTTAGTGCGCCAAAAAGCATGCATTTCTAAAATCCGAAGAACACAAAGTACAGTAAAGTAAAGTAAAGTAAAGTAAAGAAAAGTAAAGTAAAGTAAAGTAAAGTAAAGAAAAGTAAAGCAAAGTAAAGCAAAGTAAAGTAAAGTAAAGTAAAGTAAAGCAAAGAAAAGCAAGTTTTCTGAATGTAAATGCAAAACTAAAATAAGTAAAGCTAAAATGTACGTGAATAATTGAATTTCTGATTTGTTTCATTTGTTCATTCATTTCATTTGTTTATTTCTAATTTTATCTGTCTATTTTCTACCAAATCTTTTCTTTTTCTTTCCATTTTTTAAAAAAGAATAAAGAATAGAAAGAATTAAAAAAGAATCTGATACCGTTCACCCTTTCTCTTCCCACCTCTTCTCACCCTCTTCCTTTTCTTTTCATTTAAAAAGAATACCTCTTCTCATACCGCTCACCCTTCCTCTTCCAATCTCTTCTCACCCTCTTCCTTTTCTTTTTATTTAAAAAAGAATACCTCTTCTCATACCTCTCACTCTTCCTCTTCTCACCTCTTCTCACCTCTTCCCACCTCTTCCCACCTCTTCTCACTATTTCTCTCCTAGCAACCCCTCTTGTCTTTTCCAAAAACAGAAAAAGACTTTTAAAAAAGAAAAGGAAAAGCTCCATTTCATCCATTGGCTTTTGTTTTTTAGTGAAAAAAAGATTCACAAAGATTCACAAAGTTAGAAGAACTTTTATGCGCTGATTCGTTACTCTTTTAGTGAGTTTTCAGTCAGTTTTCAACTAAATTTTCTTCAGAATTGTCTCCAAATTCTGACATGAGAAAGCTACATTTCGAATCTAATTCCACCATTGTTTTCACCAATTTCTCTATTTTGTCTACAGATAGAAATCGATTCCAAACAAAATGTAGACAGCTTGTAGACAGCTTGTAGACAGCTTGTAGACAGCTTGTAGACAGCTTGTAGACGGCTTGTAGACAGCTTGTAGACAAAATTAGAGCAATCAA